TACAAATGGTCAAATGCCAACAAAACCTTTTCACACATCCACACAACATTTTCATATTATTGTTCTTGTCTCTTCATTGATTTCGGCGAAATTAAAGCATAGCGCGCATGCAACTTTTCTAACGACGATCCTTTATATATCCATTTCTTGACTTGCGGCGGGCTGTTTTACAATACCTGGGATGATTGATATTTTCGGGGAGCGAAAAGGGAAGGGATCTTTTTTTCGCAAGAATTAAAAGTATTTGATAGTTCATTTTTTCGGTAGTACCTTTTTAGTTTTACTTGGTTTTTTGTTTTTCCTTTTGAGTGAGGTTTACACTTGTTGTAGTGGTTATTTGGGACACATACTTTTCAAAGCATTTATAGTGCGTATGTATACTAGCGGTTGGCATGGGTAGGGATAGTGGATAGGGTGATTGGGAAGGAATGGGAAGCAAGGGCTGTAAGATGTATCGGGTTAGGATCCATATATTTCCATGTGAAGGGGTTGTGTCTTATGGTATGGCACATGGTTTTCGGCTGCTGAGGTTACGGGCCGGATTGGCGTTTTGGGAATGGGGGTGTATTCGCTTTTTTATTTTATAGAAGAGGGTGGATGTGATGGGAGGTGAGAATTGAGAGGCCGGAGGAATGAGATGATGAGGGAAGAGGGAAGAAATTAGGCGTGGAATGACAAGGTACGGATGGATTGATACCTGGTCAGAGGAAATGGGAGAGTGAGGAGGATGGGGGTGGAATGGTATCGAGTTGAATTAATATCGGAGCAGGGTGGGGAAAGTAAGAAGAGAAAGGAGATAGGAGATAGGAGATATAAATATCAATGATGATTCATACATGTGGTCTTTTATTTGGAATGTTGACTATGGTTGTGATTGTGAATTGTATGGAGTGATTTATGGATTACAAGATTACCTTTTATGATTTTTATCTACGCGGCGCTTTCTATCATATCACATACTCAATCACTCACATCTCAATGTAAGTACTTTCGCAGGAATTGCAGGAATTGCAGAGAGTACATTACATACATTACATGTATATGTATTCCAATTCCGTATTCTCCCACCACCACATCCACATCTCCAATCTCCAATCCCCTCTTCTAAATCCTCTCTTAATCTCTCTCTACCTCTTCCCCTTCTTCTTCTTCCCCTTTGCGCCACCAGCCCCACTACCCGTTACAACCTTGCTCCCCGGTGCCTCAACACCCTCTAGCGCATCTTCTCTCACCACACCTCCCTGCGTCGCATCCAGCGCCTTCTTCTTCCCCTTCTTTCCTTTCGGTCTGTAGGAGCTGCGATCCTTAAGCGGTAACCACCTCTCTGGATCCATTGTCTTGCCCTCCTCGAAATCTTTGGGTAATTTCGATTTGCGCGTTCCTATCGTCTTTTGCCTTTTCGTCGGGTCTTCGTTTTCTTTTTCTCTTTCCTTGTCATCGAGAGTGCGTTTCTTGGATGATTCTGTAGATGTAGCGGATGTGGTTTTAGAGGTCCAGGTTGGGATACCCGAGGATTCGAGATCTTCGGCGTTGATGCCGGAGATGAGTTTGGGGATTGGGGTGAGCGTGTCGATGTCTGAGGAGATTTTGGAGAAATCTGAAGATGCGCATGAGGCGACGCAACCGGCGATTGCGACGCGGTCTGTGGGGTTTTGAGAGCGGAGGGAAGAGAAGATTTCGCCTGCTGCTTTGGCATCTTCGGGGCTGGAAGATTCGAGGAGGGAGATACCTGCTGCGTGGAAGAGGGATGGAGAAGGTTTGGATTTCTGTCGCCAGTATGAAGCGGCTTTTTCGAGCTCTGGTCTTATAGGGGTTCTGCGGCCGGTGGATCGATAGAGAGAGATGAGAAGAGCTACTAGTCCTGGTGCAAATCGTACATCTTGATCTGAGGAATTGGTAGACTCTTCTAAACGCTTAAAGAATGCTTCCAGCAGGGAAATTGCAGGGGCAGGATTGTCCGTCGATACGTAAAGTTGGACAATGGTAAGGATCAATCCAACGTCATTTGGTCGCTTCTCAAGAAGTGATAAAGTTTGCTTTAAAGCGGCTTTTCCGGTTTTGTCTTCGGCATGAGCTGCAGCGTTGAGAACCGAAAGGCCATTAATCGATGGTGAAACAGTTGGTGATGAAGAAGCCGAGATCTTTTTTAATGTAGAATTTGCTACACCCCCATATTTCAATGCCTGTAGTTCAACTGTGTAATGATTTCGTTCCAAAATGTTCGCTTGATGCTCAAAATGCTTCTCTCGATGCGATAAGTTGGGTACTGAGTCGAAAACTCGTTTCAAAAGGTACGGGTTATCAATTTCGGTCGATGTAGCTAGTACATTATTTTGTGCAATAATTTTGGTTTGAGGTTCTGGTACACTGTGGGGGTCAGCTTCAAGCTCAGTAAACGTATTTGGCATACATACTCAGCGAGATTAATCATCTTGGTCAATGACTTGGCCTCTTCAGTTTTACCCAATTTCGTCAGCACATATGCCTGTTGTACCATAATAGGCAAGACTTCTGCTCTCTTTTCATCATCACTTAATTCGTCCAGAGCCTCACACAGGTCCCTTGCCCGCTTCAACAGGAAATTTCCCTTGTTATAATCTCCCTTCGCGATATACCCGCATGCAACATTATACGCCGTCTCGAATGCCTCGAAATCTTCGTTTTTGCTCTTCAATTCGCTTTTCTCGCCATGCCATGCTAATTGCACATCCACAGCCAGTCCATTGATCCTCAGATCCATTAATTCATCTCCAGCTCCCACACTTTCTGCGAGCTGTTTATAAAGCCCCTCCGCATCTGCAAATCTCTCGGCACGATATGCGACTTGCGCAGCAACATGTTTCAAACCCCTACTATTACCTCCTTCACAAACTTTCGCTGCATCTGCCAGTTTGCCTGTCTTATACAGAGCATAAGCGCGCTCCAAAACACATTGAGAAGCCAGTTTATCTCCGCCATCATCGAGAGCTTTTAGTGCATCGTCGTATCGGTCGAGTTTAAGGAGGGCGACGGCGCGGGTATGTAAGGCATTGGGGTCGAGTTTAGAACTCTTTAATACGTCATTTGTAGCTTTGAGTATTTCATTATGGTCCGTAATTGAGGAATCCCGAAGGAGGGCGCTGAGGGTTGCGGTATGGCTGGCCATTGTTGGTATTAGAGTTGTTGAATGTAGGGTAATACTGTAGCCATGCAGTATGGAGATGGTGTCAACAGCTTGGGGTAGTGGGGTGCAAGGAGGGAGGTGGACTTAAAAAATAACCGACATCGATCGCCTGTTAGTGTGGCAGAATTTCACCGCTTTGTTAATCTATTGCACGCGACACAGAACCATATTCGACACACAATTCTCTAGATAGTACCCAGATATCTTTCAATATTCTAATTCAGATTTGATAACCAAGTGATCTCGCAGGCTCATCCTTATCATAGGAGCGTCCTTGAGTATAAGTTACCATTAAATTAATCGTACCATCGGATACCTGAATTGCCGCAAGCTTCAGATTCCCAGAAACACTTTTCAATGTCCCAATTCAGACTTGACCATCGGTAGCTATTGGTGTTAAACCTAGTTAGATTGAATGTTGTGTTATTTTCATTCCAATGTGCGGTTCATGTCGCCATAGTTTGTTTAGTATAGCTGCATATTCGGAACTATCATGCAAAGCTTTTCAATCAAAATGTTCAATCAAATGAACTGAAAACCCAGTGGGTCGATCCTTTCCGATAGGTTGGGAGATTCTAATCAACTCAAAGACTTCAATCGTTTGAGGAATTCTATTGAGTTAAAGGATTGAATTCAGCAGATAAACTCGAACGAGTTGAGAGATTCAAATCGACTAAGATATCCAAATGAAGTGAGAGATCACAATAAAAATAAGTAAATACAAATTCAAAGACCACGAAGAGCTTCGTGCAAAAACGCCAAGCGATTGCCGAGTCTGGCTAATTGGAGGCCCTTATCCCTTTCGGCTCTACGGGGGCTTACGGTTGTGTTTTCTTATGTGTTTTCTCTTTGCTTCTGCAAGTTTTGATACCCAAGGGCCGAAATCTTGCATTTTGTGGTTCTTCCGATGGAACTTCATGGGCTGTCACTGGCTCTTCTTCAAACTGGCGAGTGTTTGCATTCCTCAAATGCTTAGGTGAGGACTGGGTGGCAATTTGGGTAGGCGCAGCTTGCGTTTCGTTGCGACTATTTGGCGGTTATGAAACGACCAAGTTTCCGGAGAAATTGGAGGAGAGACTGGAGGGCGCGATCGGGCTGATTATTATCAACAATTTACGTTGGGCCAGATATGACTTAGTGCTCTTTGGGCGTTCTGGGTGGCGATGATTCTGCGATTACATGCTCTCGGTCAATGCCTTTTTTCTTGCACTGCTGGGCGGTCTGTCCTTGGTATAAAAAATATGCTTCGTCATCTGATGGTATTCTAAAGCATTTGCCGGCTTCTATTCTATTGTAGAAGGATTTATCTCCGTGTACCCTTTCTCGCTTAGCAACCTCTTGCAGAGCGATATCCAGCTGTTCAGCAGCTGTTTACAATGATCTATCATAGAAGAAGTCAAATTCCCTCTTCAGTGTCGCCAACAAGCGTCGCGGTTCTCTTGCCCTTGTTAGGTTGTTTCACTCAATGTCGCCGATGAGTACTCGTTCCACCAAATTATAACAAGGAACAACGAATTCAATAGGAAATTTAGGAAGCACGTACTTTTCCCCTTTTGCGATGTTTTCGTCGAAGATCGGAGTAACGGCCTTGTGTGATTCACACACTTCAGTGTAAAACACCCCGTTTTCAAGTCCCGGCTTCACTTTTCCCTGTGGGTTAAGAGTAACAGCGACGTAAGGTATAGGGATTGCAGTGAATGGCTTTTTAGCTTCAAGCCTCCTCATCACTAACCCTAATTCATAAAGATTCCCTAAGCGCAACTATACTCCAGCTCCCTTCCACATCTTCCAATTTAAAATTGGGTGTCTTACCATTATTGAAGACTTTGCCACCAAGCTATGGTTTCAAATCGTGCCAATGACTTTCTTGAAAAGCCTTGACATGGTCGAATGCGTTGTGAGAAGCCTCGGACCAAGCAGCAAAATCTTCTAGAATAGATTCGCTGAGGTGATGCACTGGATTGCTAACATCCCCAAAGTCATTCTTTGCATACGCGGTAAGGTAGTTCTCGCTAGCTTTGTTTTGAGCATCCCAAATATCCTTATGAGATCTCCGCGCTTGAACAGATGTTCTAGGAAGCTGAGGGAGGGTTGAACTTTCAATGGATTCATTGACTACGGATGGGTATCTACTTGCAGCGTAGGAGTGAGAAACTGGTCTATTTTGAGTCTCGGTAAGAACAATGGTGCGCAGGTGCGCAGCATAAATGAAAGATACCATGAGTGCTCCACTTAAAATCTGTCTCTGTATGAGAGCTGTCTTTAGCCAAGTAGCCACTATCATAATTATGAATGCATGCTCCATGTAAATCGAGTTGAGAGCTTTCACGATGCATGAATGAGCACGAAATTTCTGTAACACGATGTATTCATGGTGTTTATGTTGGATCTGTCCGAATCACTGTGAAACAACCCTCAAGAAATCTAGCTTCCGCTCAAGAGGAACAATCCTGCCCTGCTGATCAACTTATTAACCTTACTACTTGCATGCTTTTTGAATCTTTTAATCTGTGCTAATCTTCCTTGAAATCAAGATTTCGATGTGTAGCTGGGCCTCAAAGACTCATGATCCTTAGTGAATCATATATATGTTTGATTTCAACCTAATGTGCTGTACACTACACCCGTGGAGCCATTCATTTCTCCCTGATACTGCAGCTGCAATAATACTGTCATACATATCCCAAGTCCTTGACTTCAAGTCCATTTAATCATTCAATTAGAAAGAGACTATGAAAAGATTCTGTTGTAAATCTGGAGTAATGCTATCATAAAACTTTCTACTTATTATCTTTCATGGATCATCAGTTGTGTAGATCTATTTAGCCAAGTCTTCCGTCACTTGAATTTGAGCTTTGGCACTCTACTTCTCTTCCATTCGAAGATCAGTCATCACACATTGGGCATGTTTCAAATACGTAAGATGTCAGAAATTGAGCATTGTGGCCCGTCTACCAATTTCATTGAGCCGTCAAACAGTAGATGTTTGGATTTCAAGCATTTATCCAGCAATCAGGAGCTCGCAAAAATTGCTATGGTAGACTCGGACATTACTGTATCATCTATACACTCTGTATTGGTTCACATACAGCGACTCGAAAACAAATGTATTGCTTTGGGTACCTCTTCGCAGTCTTGACAGTAGCTTCACGTCATACAATGGAACCTAAGATTTCCTGGGATGTTGTAGCTCACCAAACACCAGCAATAACTATATATATGGTCGTGGACACAGATCCTCTACTTCAACCTTTGCAAACAACTTGATGCTTAATCTACCCTGGAGGATTTTATCAACGAAAAGTGGATGCCACTACCATCCAAAACATTGGCGTTTCTAGAAGGTAGAATCTTGTTGTCTGCCCTCTACTCAATAATATTTATTCTTAGTGCATGCATTGGGGGCATCAACGCAAGCCTCACTTGCATAGCTGCAAATTTTTGCTACAACTTCCGGGCTGGATCTGAAAACCCTATGACTGGGAATTTTCCACAAGGCATTGGAACTGGATTTTTTTTACGATAGAGCCATATGAAGTAATGACAGGATATTCGCACCTTCTTCACTTTCCACAATTGTGGAAGTGGACTGAACTGGTCGCACTCACAGAGCTTACGACGATGAAGCCATGATTTCCCAGCGAGAAATAGCTACCGAGTAGTGAGGTCCTACATAGAAGATGGCAAAACTTGGGAGACTAGGGAAAACGAAGTTGGAGCAATTCACCGGGAGAAGACTGGGAATCGCGTCAGATGCGGTCTCGAGGGAAATTTGATCGCAGCTGAAGATGGTAGCCTGGCTGGGTATTGTCCAGAAAAAACAAATGCAGTGCGAGAATCGCAAGCATATATGACTATTTTTGAGGAGTAGGAACATAATAATAATGAAGAACGATTGGAATCAATGGCACATTTAGGAAGATTGAGACCGTTGGAGGGAAGTAATGAGATAGGAGAGGGGGGGCTGGATCAGAAGAAGAGAATTTTTAAGAAAAGGGAGTATGATTGGAAATTGACAGCGGAGATAGGAGTAGGCTTCTAATGTATTGATTTCAATCACAGAGATCCAAATTAAAAGCCAACGATATCTCCAACCCTGTGCATTCTAAAGCTATACACAAAAGAACAGGATTCATTCTTGCATTCCAATTTCCATATAACATCAGACAATTCATTCAACCCATAAATAAGCCTTCCTATAAACCCCAGAAACAACCATTCCAAACATCACAACTCAAGAACTCTCCTAACAAGAATATAGATCTACAACTTCAAAACCCGTGTACCTATTTCTAACAATCAATTAATTGACGATCAGAATATCACAAGATGACTGACTAATCAGTGCATCCTTCGTATTCCTATCCTAAAATATCGTTTTCTCTTCCCAAATGCGTACAAGAGCTAGCAAGGGTGCACAATTCTAGTGTCAAGTAGCGCGCTTTTGCATAGATCAAACACTTTAAGATAGTCGGCAGTATTCAACAAAACTTCACGGCATTCAATGAGAAATCTGGTTATTCAATGAATAAAACGATTTTAGAGTTTTTTGTAAACTTCATATATGATGAGCTTGAATTATTAATCCTTGCTAGTTTCGTATGTACTTTGCGAAAGAATTCTTTGTACTGTACTAGTACATCGAATCTAATCAGAAATCTCATGAATCACGATCCTGAATATTCGGCTGATGCGGTGGATTTTCGCTAATTAAGGGGCATTGCTGGATAGAAGTTACGAGTTAGAAATACTTATTAAGATAATTATATCATTTATCTTGAATATGCTTAATATTATCACTTCTGATTGAAGAATGATGGAGCAGAAAGTGCTGCGTGTTTCACATTCTGTTGTCAAGACTTCTAGTGAGTAGGTATGTGAGTCTGTTGCGAACGCGATTAGATGGATCATTTATCTCAGCACCGATAGTCCTTTCTGACGTCTACACGAGGGTATATTTCAATCATCACATGAGAATTATCAATCAAGAAAAATCTCAATGAACAACTCCGCAACCAATAAAAATATATTCATGAATCATAAACTGTTCTCCTCCATAGACACAGTAATATCCCCCATCTAACCCCAAAATCTTTTCATCTCATCTAAACCGCCTCATCGGCTGCCACACTTTCATAAGCTCCACCATCATCTCCACCCCTCCTCATCTCCATTCTCGAAGGCGTCTCATACATTTTCGTATAATTAACTACCTGACCCCCCAACATCGCTGCACCATTTTCTCTCTTCCCAAAAACCGGCGCTGGATCACACCAGAAATCTTTACAGTTTCCGATGCAACCACGGGAGAAAGGATTTTGAGGTGCCCGGCGTCGGTTTTTGCTTCCTTCATAGCCATGAAAAGCGGTTTCCACGAATGTGTCAACACCGAGAATTTTCTTCCACTGTGCGAAACAGCCGGCTTTATGAGCGTGATGATGGCCGTGACCACCCGGTGCGTGGGTTGGTGGTAAGGCGGGGTCGGGACCAAGTCCAGCATTTCCGACTTGACCGCCTGATCTTGATGTAGCGCCAGTAGTGAGAGCATTCGTAATAGCCTGAGAAGTTTTGCCTCCGGCGTGTGTACCGCGCATGTTTTCCCAGGTGGTCATGGCTCTTGAGATCTGGATCAATTGGACGAATAGTAACATAGTAACCCATGTCAGTTGCAAGATTGCCCATAATACCAACACTAAAGTGTAAGAATCCGAATTAACAATCCCACATAGTGTAGGTGAAAGAAAGTTGCACTCCTGCTCGCCCTTTCCAACGAAGCCTTCAAAGTCTTAATCTCGATTAGCATTTATTCCAAGGAAAAGATCAGATTGACACTTACATCCGATAGCAACTCTAACTAAGAAGATAATCCCGAGTTCTAGGCACACGAGATAGAGGAAGAAATGTCTATGATTATTGATACCGACACAGTTGTTAATCCAAGGACAATGACTAGGCCACCATGTTAGTAATCTTTTTCAAGAAAAAGGTGTATTAAATGAACTTACTGGTCATGCTTCGCTACGCATCGGTTGCATCTTCTGCAATGCTTACTTCTCAGTGGCTGGCGAACCATGCAATGAACACAGAAATTTTGCTCATCAAACTTCCACACACTTAATAATTCATCAATTACAGCCTTTTGCTGGGTCAAACCGCCCAGCTTTGGAACATGACCTGGCTCGTACATCATTGAACAAAAGTAGAAATATCCCGTAAGACTGTAAAAGGTGAAAAATAACAGGTTGGAGAGCGGATAAGTGCCATAGGTAGCTAACATTGTCAGTATAGATTCCCACAACAAAAGGGGTTCTCGGTCACAAACCCGGTAACAAAGTTGTCATCCATCTGACACCAACCCAAAATAAGGTAGCAGAAAAGATTCCTGCAAGCCAAGGCTAAAATTACATCATCATCAGTGTTGCTCTTGAAACTAATATAGAAAGTCTTTTTAGACATACCGTTTTATGTAAATGCTTCATATCTGAAGGCGCATACTCTAATACCTGCTGGGCCAACCATTGTAATGAATACCCAAAGAACAACGCCATGGGCACACCAATAAATATTACCATCTGACTACTGATCATGATCATCGTCCAAAGAATTAGAAATGGCCATAAAAAGAAGAATTTGTTCATGAATGCGCGTTTATCCTTTAACAGCCATGATGACATGGGAAAGCTGATAAGAACCGGCTTGGCATCCTCGTCGTAGCCGCACTCTGTGAGAGCTTTGTGCCAAATTCTTTCCGTCTTCATCTCCTGTGCTGTGATGGCTGGGGTTTTGCCAGTCGAGGTTTCGGCAAATCTATCCGCTCCGTATTCAATTAATTTTTGTATGCATCCCTGAGATCCCTTTACCAAAGCCCAATGTAGTGCGGTGAATCCAGTTTCATCCGTGGCATGAACATCAGCACCCCATCTCAAGAACAAATCTACGCAACTCGGTAATCCCTTATACGCCGCCCACATTAAACAAGTATGTCGCTGGCTATCAAGCACGTCGACATTAATGTTTTGATGTAGAAGAAGAACGAGCAGAAATATATTCCCCTCGAATGTAGCCAAGTGAAGAATATTGTATCCTTGGACATCCGTGATCAGAGGATCAGCGCCATTTTCCAGCAATAGGTGAACGATATAATAATGGCATCTTTGAGCAGCCCACATTGCCGGTGTAGCTACAGACTCTCCTCCTTTCTTGTTCACGTCTGCGCCGGCTTTCAAGAGAAATTGGCACATGGCATACTGATTGTTAATAGCCGCCCACTGTGTGAATACATTAGTTAGGGAAATCTTGCACAATGGAAATCGAGTCGCACATGTAAAGGTGTTATGCCCTCGCCGTCACTATAAGTAGCATCAAATGTGCCATCATCGAATAGCTTTTCTACCGCTTGAATGTCTCCTATCCGAGCGAGCTGCATTATATCCGCTGCGGGCTGTTCTGGAGGTGTCATATCCCCAAGCTCTACATGATTATCATCACTGAGAGTTGGCGCCACGACATTTGACTTTCCACTTGGCATTATGGGAGCATTTTTCTTCGAAGATTCCGTTCCAGAGGAGGGTTTTGAGTCTCCGAGGGCCATTTCGGGACCAAGGAAACTTGATTGAGTGTGTTCGAGGTGTCGAGGGAATGAAATCGAGTATGGTATGTAGGATATCAATCACAACACATACATAATAATATAGGAAAGCAAAAAAGTCAATAATAAAGGAGAAACACAATGAGTGAGAAAGTTATAATTGGAAGAGCTGACTAGTTGTATTCTCCGTCGCTTTCGATTGAAATTGTATTCCTGCTTACATGGACTGGTAACCTTTCCTTTCCTTTCCTTTCCCAACTAGAGTGCATACAAGGCTGAGTATCCGTTGGTACTTTATTTTAGTATCTGGCTTGCCTTGTTGTGGAAGCGGTGACAGGGGTAAAGTCAATTTTCTTAGCACAGCTCAGCATGTGGAACCCCCTAAATTACATGCAACACGACGTATCCGTCACCATAAAATAATTTCCATAGCCTTGCGAAAGAACAACACCACCATAAGGAAAAGACCACTTGCAATATCACCCCATCATATCATAAACGTGGAGACTTTCTTTTATATGCCCCTCAAGTCTGCGGTGCTTGATGAAAGTCGGCGATCCTCACGTTTCTGAATAATTTTCTCTTTGGTCATGTCTTCTTCACAGGATTGGATTCATACTCTTATGAACCCCTCGCCTTTGGGTTTGATCATTACAATTATCCTAGTCCTTTCGATACCGATATTCCTCCACTCTGTAGTATTTCGCGCAACTGGTTTCACTTCTTTGCCCTCTATTGTGTTAATTGGACCAAGCGGCGCAGGGAAAACGGCACTTCTTACTCTTGTAAGTAATTCAACAGAAGAGGCATCTGTCGCATGAGGGGAGTAGCCATCACGAACACTAATAATCGATTATAGTTCGAACGAGAGAACAAGCCTGCAACTACTCATACTTCTCAAACCATTTCATCTGCCGAATGTTCTCTACCGGTTGATGCAGTAGCTGCCTCGAACAAATATCGTTCAGTCAATGATCCTACCAATCAAGTTCATAAGAAATTCCTCTTAATTGATACTCCCGGCCATGGAAAGCTACGACACCATGCATTCGAACAGCTCTCAACTTCTCAAAATCTTCGAGGTGTAATATATCAAGTCGATGCTACTACATTGGGAGCTGGAGATGAGGGTCTAAGAGAGGCTGCCGATTATCTACACGATCTACTCCTCCTCATGCAAAAGCTCATGGATGGAAAAACCACCACAAAGGCACCTCAAGAACTACCAATACTCATTGCTGCCAACAAGATGGATCTATTCACTGCTCTTCCAGCCGCATTGGTCAAAAGTAGCCTGGAAAGAGAAATTACCAAAGTTAGAGTCTCGCGATCGAAAGGTCTACTTGATTCGGGAATGTCTACAGAGGAGGACGAAGATAAAGATGAATGGCTGGGAGAGATGGGTTCTACCGACTTTAAATTTTCACAAATGGAGGAGTTCAACATCTCTGTTGAAGTAGCTGGTGGTAATGTACTTGGATCTGATGGTGGATCGGTTGATGCTTGGTGGAGGTGGGTAGCCAACAGACTATAAGCGAATGAAGCTTTTTACGCAATCCACATTCTAGGATTCATCTAATACCCCTCCCTCAGGGACCTTATTTCACGAGTTCTTTCATGTGAATAGCTTATCACATTAATTGGGATGATAAACCTTCATTTTATAAGTATTTTAATGTTATTCTAATGAATTTGAGATGTCTTGACTACTTTATTACGAAGGGCTTACCTAGCTAAGCTCTAGCTGTTATGGTCACATTACATGATTCACCACTAAAGCTAGCAGTTCGCATTCTTTGTAACGTCATTACGCCGTACAATAAAATCCAATTGAATCAATTCATCTCATATATATACGCAATGGAAATTCTCTCTCTTTCAATACACCTTCTCTCATTCACTGAATTAATTTTCACCCCAGAAGACAACTTAATGAATAGTTGTTCTGGTCAGTCACTTGATGGTCGTACTTGAGAACCAGCATCAAACTATAAATTATCAAGCCTGGCTCGAATAACAACAAAACACGTTCGGGGCTTTTGATCAACCAAAATTTATGAAAATGTCCTCAACAATTCAGTTTCCTCCAGCCTATGTATTTAAGTTTCTTCTTGGTGATAAAGAAATCAGAGAACTGGAAGATGGATTGGATGGATTCGCTGCTTTGCGATATACAATTCAAGAAGCCGAAGTGGGGCTTACGAGAATTCCTACGAAGGCGAGAGTGGAATTTGAGTTGAGGAAACTGAAGTTCATGACGGTCGATGTTACGAATATTAGGAACGTGATAGAAAGGTTAGAGGAAGTGGATGTTGGGGTGAAGGAGGAGATGGGGAGGAAGAGGAAAGCAGGAAGTGGAAAGAAGGAGCGGAGAAGTACCTTGAATGGTGATGGGAATGAAGTTATTGAGCTTAGTTCTGATGAAGATGAATCTGAATCTGAGGAAGAGGAAGAGGGGAAAGGGGAAATGGCTAGGAAAAAGTTGAAGTCAGCTGATGGGACAAGTTCTCCTGCTCCTGTTGGAAGCAATTATGGTCGGAATATGGTCAAAGTTCAAGGCATCGGCAAAGTTTCAGATAACGTCAATGTGCAGAATACTTTCAAGGTTTTGAAGATTGATTGGTATTTCGATTCAATCAAAGAAGGAATGCTGCTTCCAATAGACAAATACTTAATATACGAAGGACGACGAGTAACGGAGCCACCAAAATCTCTCCCCTCAGATCTCCTTACTCGCGCAGCAGCCGATTCAGGGGGCTCTCCTAACCACAAATACAGTCCCCATTATCGACAGCAACAATCAAGCAAACCACTTACCCGGCCTACCCTCCTCACAGAATCCACCTCCGAACATGACGACCCTTCACATTTCCCCCCACTACCAGAATATCTCAAAACAATCTACTCCTGCGAAAGACCCACCCCATTAATCTCTCCCAACGATCCTTTCATCAACCAACTCAAAACAATCAAGCTAAAACGTCTCCTAGATGGCGACCCCATCGGTGTTCGCGCCTACAGCACTTCTATCGCTTCCATAGCAGCATACCCATATCCGCTCCGCTCACCCAACGAAATCATCCGTCTCCCGGGGTGCGATCAAAAGATTGCAAGCCTCCTCCACCAATTCCTCAACACAGGAACCATGGACGAAGTCCTCGACTTCGAAAAAAATCCCCGCACGCAAGTCTTGAAAACCTTCTACAACATCTGGGGCGTAGCCGACATCACCGCGCGCGAATTCTACGATCGAAGAAAGTGGAAAGATCTCGACGATATCGTGGTCGAAGGCTGGAACGATCTCAAACCGGTGCAGAAAATCGGAGTAAAATATTACGAGGAGCTTAATTCTACCATTCCTCGCTCGGAAGTCGAAGCCATTGGCTCTATCGTTCTTTCCGCGGCGCGGGAAATAGATCCCGGGTTTCAGATGGTTATCGTAGGGGGATATCGGAGAGGAAAAGCGGAAAGCGGAGATGTGGATATTATGCTTACGCATCCGGATGAGAATCGCACGTTAGGATTCCTCCCAGAATTAACATGGAGATTGGAGGAAAAGGGATGGATTACGAATGTTCTGCTCGAATCGATGAAGAATAGCGAGAGAGGACAGTGGGCTGTAGATCTGGGTTGGAAGAAAGATCAAGCGCGAAAAACGGGATTTGATAGTTTGGATAAGGCGTTGGTGGTTTGGCAGGATATTAATTACGAGGGGAGGGGAGAGGAAGAGGAAGAGAGGAAGAAACGCAAAAACCCAAATCCGCATCGCAGAGTAGATATTATCATTACACCGTGGAAGACGGCGGGGACGGCGATTATTGGGTGGTCCGGGGGAACAACGTTTCAGAGGGATTTGAGGAAGTATTGTAAGAAGAGGAAGAATTGGAGGTTTGATAGTAGTGGGATTAGAGAGCGGGGGACGGGAGAATGGGTGGATTTGGAAAGGGGTATGGAGGTGGAAGGGTTAGCGAGCGGCGACACAGAGGGCGGTGGGAAGGGGGATGATGATCTGGAAGGGAGAGTGGAAAAGGATATGGTTGAAATACTGAGGAAGAAGGAAATGGCCGTTTTCAAAGGTATAGGCTTAGAATGGAGAGAACCATGGGAGAGGTGTACTGGGTAGGTAAGGGGACCTTCGAGGATAAATTTGTGACGAAAACTGAAGGTTACAAACATGTTATTATTGCCTTATCGTCTTTAATAAAATAATTCTCCAGTAATTGAGAAAACAAATCGAACTTGTATCTTTAATACTACGAATGATTCAGCACAGGGAAAACTATGCACATCATCGGTTATGAGAATGACGCAATCAATCGCATCACCCCCTTTTTTATAGCTGCGAATCTTTTACATGTACATGGCTCCATATCTATATAGTTAGTGATACCATAAAGAGGTGAGTGACTGAGCATTATAAGCATTGATCGAAATGGCTTTTTTTTTCAATCAAAAATCAATTAGCAATGAACCCTGAAGCGACACGTTAGATTTATTGTGAAGTCTGAAGGCGGTCTAATTGCGGTTGTCTGAATTAGAATGCCAAATTGTCAGAAAGCGTTCAAGTTCAATGGTCATGAAATCTGGATTGAAGTGTTGAGACCGCAGAATATTCGGTATTTTCATTTGTTGATCCAAGATTGAAAAATGGGAAATGCTAGCGCAAATGGTATTTCTGATTGATCTCAGTTTGCCTAGCTAAACAACAACTCCCGTAAATCATTTAGAGTTTTGACGTTTTTTCCGTCTCTCTTAAAATTTTCGAAGTCATATTACGCAAGTCTAACAAAGATTAGTCGGCAAAGAACGTGGAAGATGACAATTTACAACCAACCTTTCAATCAAATGCAAACCAGAAGCAGTTTCAACCACATGACTAACTTCACCTGGCTTTAAGGCGAAAGCTGCTTCCTCAAACTCTTTCTGCATATCTCCCCGTCCAAAGAAACCAAGATCCCCCATTTTACGGGCAGAGCTGCAATCGGATTCGCTAACGGCAAGGTCGCCCAATGATGTTGTTCCAGAACGGATATGGGCTTCATGTTGAAGAATGATGCTCATCGCTTCATCCTTTGTGCGTGTGATTTCGGCCTATAGTTTTATTAGTCATATTGCTTTGCGCACGATGAGACAATGAGGTCTCTCGATCGTTGACTGTTGATTTCGAATTTGGGTCATGGAGAAAACGAACCTCGCGCCAACTGCTCGGCCTTCTACTGCCCTTGTGCTTCACCAGTAAATGACTGGCTCTAATCTTTCCCGATTGATCTTCCTGGCCATTGGCATTATCTCCAATCTCCGAGGCGCTGTAATGCTCGGCCATATATGCCTTCAGCTTTTCGGTATCAGTGTTTGCTGGAGGCTCCCAGCTTGATATCGTCTGCGCTTCGTTGAAATAGTAGGGAATGTTCTTAGATTTCGAAGTGCGGACTTCCCATCCTGCTGGTAGACCTGCGTCCGTCTATATAAAGAGGTTAGTAAAGCTTGAACCGTATTTACGTTACAAATCCAAAGAGTTCAGCCGTTAAAGGTATAGTAAATATCCAAAGTGCAAAGGGAAAACGTTACCATTGTGTAACTGGTTTTTTATAATTGAATGTGCTACAAATGATTCGAGTTTGTGATGGATGTGATTGATGAGTCTTTTGATATAGATTTCTGTGACTGTACTCTTCTTATTTATTTTTGATTGTATTTTTCCACAGGAAGAGGCGTGAAAGGAGATGATGCATTTAACTGGAAGGTACTGTGTCTTGGTCACAGGGCGAACCCAATTAAGTTTAGTGGCAGGCGGGGTTTCCTTTCTTTAGTAGCCCACCAAGCAACAACCTCGCAACCAGAGCACTGAGACCAACCAACTTGAACCATGCCAATCATGCCAATCATGCCAGTCACGCCAGCTTAATAAGAACCTTCGTTTGCAAGGATTACAAAAGAGTTCTAGTCCAGCCAAAAATATCCACATCGAAATCCACTCGAGCCATAATCTATCATTCATCGACATTTCTCAGCAACGCGACGCAACGAGAGAATCTCATTATAATACAACAGCAAAGAAGAATACTGTTATTCTTTCTTCTTCCACGTTTGAAATATCGACTTCAACTGGTTGTAGGTGCTAAATAACGCCATTTATCCACGAACATTATCACGATTTATCTATTGCGACAAAATCAATCCTAGAACACATCTTTCAAAGAAACATCATCATGGCATCTCCATCATCCAGTTCCGGCGAAGAGCCCAAGAAGAATGAGGAACAAATCACTTTCAGATTCTGTAGCGAATGGTAAGTTTCTATCGTCCCTCGAAGGTTTTCTGGCATCTGCTAACCATTATCTAGTTCGAATATGTTGTATCCAAAAGAGGACCCCGATACCCACCGCCTACAATTCGCATGCCGTACTTGTCAATATTCCGAGGAGGCTGTCTCCTCTTGTGTCTTCAGAAATATTCTTAACAATGCTGTCGGTGAGACTGCAGGTGTCACTCAGGATGTTGGATCTGATCCCACTGTGGGTTTACCCTTATGTCTTTTATGCGGCCATCTGGTCATTTGTGAGGGAAGAATTTCAAATAGGCTGGGTGTGGAGAAGCTTTGAAAGGGGAAGATTTTATGGACGGCCTTTTGCGGAAGTTCTGGTGGCTGTTGTGGTCTCTTTGAAACCCTCCGCTGACATATCAATTTTCTTTGGTTCTAGCTTCCACGATCCAACAAGACTTGCCCTGCTTGCAGAAACGAAGATGCTGTATTTTTCCAGTCTCAACAGAGATCTGCGGAAACGGGAATGGTAAGCTTCTGAATTTGCGAATACTTTCAGGCTTTGCTAACGGGGGATCCTAGAAACTCTTCTACGTATGCTGCGGGTGCGGTCATATTTTCCAATGATACCCCGGGTTTCGATTTTTAGAGAAGGCGTTGTTCTTTGGAGAAACAGGTATATGGAGTCTATCATATGGATTGGGGATACATAAAAAAACATTATCAAATTTCTAGGGCATGTCAATATGGGGGGAGAATATAATTTTTCATTGTCCAAAATTCCCTTAAAACGCCGGATATGCCATGCCACATCAATCTTCTTTTATACAGTGATATCTACAGATGCATAGGTGCTAATGATAGAATTTTTGACCACTTCATCTTTCTTAATTCTGTGCCAACCACACCTGTGAAATGTTAACAAAGAAAACATATTGAGGATAGTCGATACCACTCACCGTTTAACCTTGTTCCAATGGGTTCTCCAGCTTTGTTAATTAAAACACAAGCATTGTCGTCGAATTTGACGACACTTCCATCAGGTCTCTGCAACTTTTTGACCGTCCTAACCACAACTGCGTGTCTAATATCTCCTCTTCTGACCTTGTTCGCTGCGGATGTAGAAACACTTGCACCGGGACCGGACTCTGAGAAATTGCGTTGCTTTTGTACGACGACGATAATGCGATCTCCTAATTTGCATTGTTAGAATTGGAATCGACGAGACGAGGTTGTGGGGGGCGTTGTGGAGGGAGGGGACATGGTAGGAGGGGTGATGTAGAGAGGGGTCCGAACCAATTTTTGCATGTCTCTTCATTTTTAAGACCTTGGCGCATTCTACCACGGCGGCGCCAGAATTGTCGATGCAATTAAGCATCGTCTATATGGCGATAGTTAGCACAACAGAAAGTGATGAGCGCAAAAGCAGATAGATTAATATTTTATATATGCGCCAGACACAACAGAAGGAAAGCAATTGAGCATATATCAATGAGAGTATTTCGTGTATACGCGACAGAACAGATCATACCTTTAGTTGAATCATTTTCTGGACAATACGTGGTGGAGGGGTTCAATTTCGTATTGCTGAAGATTCTCTATATATCTCCCTCTCTCTGCATTGTATGGTTATCTCACTATTGTCATCGTCAAATTATTAAGACACTAGTCTATTTTTGGTATAGGCGATGTTTACCCACGCCTCAATATTCCAAGTTCTATTTCCAGCCTCTTTTATCTATTGTCCTATCTTGTTGAGAATGGCTAATAGGGGTGAAAAAATATACTTCATCTTCTATTGAAGGTCATCATGTATCTTAAGGAAACAATTATTCACTCCTTTCCTGCTTACTTACTTTCGTCCCTCTTTTTCTTCCCGTTTGAAGCATTTCAGCGTTCTCGTTCTCCAATTCTCAATTCCGCATAACGTAGCTTTCGGAGTTCAGCACATAAGTATTTGCTTCTCTTTTATTTCAGTAGGCCAGGATAAATAGCGAGGGAGAACGTCCATTTGGAAGAAGTGAATGTATTTGGGTCACAAAAATCAGCTCGGACACGTTTTTCGTAGGCGACGAGCCACTTGAATCATTCATTCAATCTGATATTCCAATTTATTGCGAGCGGTACATCCATACACTCACTTGGATATACAATTCATTCGAATCCTTTCCGCATCTTTCTTACAACACTATCCACTTCTTTTCTTCGGCATAACGACTGGCTTTGTTTGTAGCCTAACTTCTGTACAATCGCATACTTATTACACATCACTTGAACCGTCACAATGCCTCCAAAATCAAACGCAACGAAGAAGGAACGACTTACTTTGGCTCAATTATGGTCATACGATGATATATTGACAGATGCGCTTGTTGACCAGGTAAGTCTTTTTATATGATAGTCTCAATTATAACTTCTCCTAATATCAGCCGACAGGTTTACTATTGGACCAATATTCGCAAAAATCGCATCGCATACCATTCATCTCGTGGAATTAGAGAGGAAGATGTGACCAAAATTCTTCAAAATTCAGTCATCATTGAGAAGAACACTGCAAAAGCAGAAGCAGAACTTTTAGCTCTTCCAGGTCTCAAGAAATTTCAACAAAGTCTCAATTCGGAAAAAGAAAAGGAGGACTTCAGGCGTCATCTCAAAAAGTACATCAATATTTATCTACCAGATTGTCCATTCGAAGTTTCGAGCACGAATCGTTATACTGTTGTTACACATGAAGCGGCAGTTGTTGCGCGGAGGGAAATTAGGAAAGGTGAGGTAGTCAAATATCTTTCCGGAATTCAAGTTGTTATGACACCTGAGGAGGAAGAACATATTAATCTCCTGCGCAGAGACTTTAGCATTGTTATGTCAAGTCGCAACAAATCTGCATCACTATTTCTCGGACCAGCCCGATTCGCAAATCACGATTGTGGCGCAAATGCTCGTTTGATGACAAGTGGAACTGCCGGAATGGAAATTATTGCAGTCAGGGATATTGAGATTGGGGAGGAGATCACGGTCACCTACGGCGAGAGTTATTTTGGCGAGGATAATTGCGAATGTCTATGTAAGACTTGTGAGGATAACCGCGAAAATGGATGGGCCCAAGACGATGATAATAATGAGTCTATTCCCAAATTATCAATTGAACAGGAACCATTACCCCCAGAGGTACCAGGATATAGTCTTCGGCGTAGACGACGACTCACTTCTACGGTATCCGAATCGCGTTCCGAATCGATGACACCTGATGTCAACTTACGACCACAAGTACGGAAAATGCCACCAAAGTCAGGTAGATCAGCTTCGTCAGCTCAGAATCGACGCTCTCCTGCTCTGGGATCTCCACCTTTAGCCTCAAATCAGCCTGTATCCAAAGTAGACCAAGTTGATGAAGACAACCTACTATCACCAACAGGATCATCGAAGCGAAGAAGAATACCTAGCGAGGAAGATTGTTCACCAAGTACTCCGAAAAGAAGACGACCATCTCAAAAGATTGAGCGTTCTCCATTAGGAGTTCTAAATGGAGTGAACGGAAGCGAGTTGCCTAGCTCCCCGGAATCAGATATCCTACAACAAACCCTTCTAGTCGAATGGGATCAACCGGTAACTCCAGGGATGCCTTCACCAATAATAGATCCTGGAAGATCCCGGCCATTGAGATCAAGCACACTCAAGCGAAAGAGAGACTCTGAGGAACCAACGGTTTCGCCATCCGACACGACAAAGCGATTGAAGAGCCAGTTTTCTGTAAAAGTTGAAGAGTTCACACCTACATCATTTTATGGAAACAATGACCATGCCATCTTACCCAGTTCTGCTTCAGAATCCAGGAGAGCAAGTTTCACATCCTCTCCTTCAGGGGAGGGAACAGGAGAAACAGATGCAACATCAGTCGATGAAGAAGAGACGATCGTGGTGCTAAATGAGAAACCTGTTTCCGTCGATTCTAAACCTAGGCGACAGGGTTATGTGAAAAGGGGAAATCATGGTGGTCGAAGAAGAGGACCGTTGTGGGAGAAGGAAAAGCGAGAAAGGGCAGGCCAAACAAAAGTCATCACGCCATCCGAAATTCAGAATGCGAAGAAGGCGCCAACAGAAGCTGTTCTCGTCAGTCCAAATACCAGCAAATCACATCCAGCTTTACAGGACGATGCGGATTCGTCCGCACTTTCCGATCTTGGATCCGACATGGAAATAGACGACTCAACAATGACGATTTCGAAAAAACTTCCGCAGCCCAAAATTCGACGACGCCGCAAAGGAGTAGTTGTACCATCAACTATTGATAAGGATCATGCGCCAAATGTACGAATTCCTGGCGATTATGTGTTGACCCATGCACTTCTCGCTGAGCCAGCATCAGCATGGATCAATTGCAAGATCTGTGAAGAACCTTTCGTTCAAAAAGATGCATATTTTACGAGATCGTCTTGCCCGAGATGCGAACGCCATAGTAAGCTGTATGGATACATGTGGCCAAAAACGGATAAAGAGGGCAAACATGATGAGGAGGAAAGAGTTCTAGACCATCGCACTGTTCATCGCTTTATCAAATCTTCGGAAGAAAAAGACATCAGGAGGAAGAGTGGGCGCGGAAGCACTGGGAGTAGAGAAGTTACGAAAGAAGCTAGTGTGGCTCCTGTGGCATCTGTCAAGAGTAATGGGGTAAAGAAATCATCCAAGGCAGGTGGTCTTTTGAGAGTGTATGGGAGGAAGAACGAACGAACGAGAAGAGATAGATTCACTTTGTAATATATTTGAAGGAGGGATAGAAAGAAATGGTTTATGTTATGATAGACGACGATGGGAAATATGGACAGTCGTGAGGTTTGGCACGCACATTTCTTTCTTGTATTTTATATTGAAGTTAAAGAATTGTGGTATGGGGTTTTAAAACTACTGCGGATGGTAGTTGTGGCATGGTGTCTGGCGATTAGGATTTGGTTTGTCAACGGAAATTACTTACGGAATGTCAATGGACAATGAGGAATGGCTTGTATTATAGCGTTGGGTGAAGCGATGAAATTGGTGTACTATAGAGGAGAGGAGGATTCATATATTCTCTAGAGTATTGTGTTGCATTGCGTGCTGGATACGTGGGAATGAATGCAGTCTCTGATATTCTGTTATGTCATCTTTTTATCTCTTATTTAAAGTGCTTGATACTGTTTCATGATTCGCATCCTATATTTTTTATGCTCCACAAACCTCGATCTTGTGCCAAATAGTACAAAAGTAAAGTCGTGCTTCATCCATCTAATCTTTTTCCTCGTCGCCTCGTGTGCAAGATCGGACATCGTGCAGGTTTACCTAGGGGGCATTTGGGTATTTTGACAAGTACTTTGATGAATATTTATTTCTCTATACACTATAGGATAGGATAAATACCCTGCAAAATGTCGATGGAAATCTTTGAACTGTTTTTATAGTTAGGAATAGCCTCATTTTTAGATCACAATTGCAGAACGATCACGTAACATATATCCGGGTACTTCGTATTTGGAGAATTTACCGAGTTACTACCCTACTATGTGTCCATGGAGTAGGATCAATATCCCGGGTATGGAACGGGTACCCATCCCTGCTCGTGTGTTCTGAATAAGGAAGATGGAGTACCTGGTCCCATTCCATCTTAAGCAAGTTGCTCGATTTGGATTGATTTTGATTGGTATACATTTTCATATCCAATGGTGCAGAGGGTGTACGGCCTACCGGCTGGGACACAGCTGGCATTGTGTTGCAAGGACAGCTAGCCTTGCCATACATGTACTTCTGGGTTGGGATACATATGCATAAGTTATCTCAGAATAACGTATGTAATCGATTGGAAATCCAGAATATTATAGTATCAAGTCTTCAATCTGACAAAATGTCTTCTGTCCATCTTGATACCACGCTGGAAGAGCTCTACGGACTTGACAGAGAAGATCTCCGCGAAATCTATCTCTCTTACACAATTCCAACAGCCACGCTTCAAACGACACTGGGCATATCTATCTTTAAAAAAAATGTCTATCAAGATACTCTAGCCCCTAAAGACCTCGAAATTCAAGCGAGAATCTTCACCCGAATGGTTCCGCTACTCTTCAGTCTCATCGCAGGGAACTTAAATATCATCATGTTTGATTTAGACGCTCCCGAATAGATACACAAGATGTATTGAGTTGCATCACAGGAGAGTCAGAGACCTATCCTCGCTTATGTGCGTAGTGTAGAAGACATTGTTTTCCCCCCAATACCGTCCTCGCAGTGACAAACCCAAATTCATTGTTTCGAACATTTTGCCTCTACAGTCCCTTTTGAGAATCACTATCGAGCGCTTTCAAAGCGCGATTTGGTGTTTTCCGGATCACCGACTCCGGAAACGATGGTTATCGAAACGCGATTAAATCCCATGCAAGTGCGGGATGCGCAAACGAGAGTCGAGGAAGTAAGTCGCATGTTTGAGGTTATCAGATAACGATCTATGCCCTTTGCTGTGAAATTGCCGCAAGCGTGTTCGGGACAGGGAGGTGATGATTACATCTGTGTGTGATCAATTTGTCGATGCACAGGGTGGGGGTCATGTTTATTATGCGGGTCAGGAACGTCTGGTTGAAGAGTATAGGGATATTGCGAAGAAAATAGGAGATTATATGCATATGATCGCTTATTATGGTCCGTTGGGTGCGGATATTATGATGGATGCGAAGGGGGATTATGTGGTTATTGATTGAATGTAAGGGTTGCGGGTTCGCATGCATTGGGGTTTTTGAAGGGACATTTTCATAGAGAGAGAAGGTTTAAGGATGCGGCGATTTTGTTTCCGCTTTTTTTGAATGTAGGGTTGGAGGACTTTAGAGAGAGGTTTGCGGGGGAGTTGGGGGGTGGTGTCATGGGAGAGGGAAGGTGGTGAATGCGGCGACGGTCATTTTGGCGAGAGAGGATCGAGAAAGATTGATGGGTTTAGTAGAGAGTAGAGAAGCTTCAGATAGTGAGGTCTTAATGCAGAATGAGTGTTTGGATATAAGACAATTGCTTTGGTTGAGGGTGACAGACAGTGCTTATCAAGTGCTTTGAGTCAGTTAAACTATTATAGGCTGTGAGCTAATTATCAAGGGACATTTCAAGGTAGAGTATATTGACTCCTTGGCTCCTCTAATCAACACCTCATTTCGAACCCCTTCAACTTTCGGTCACTTTTCAATATCTCATGAGTTATTGTTGAATGAGCGATGAACGTGCTGTCAAGCACGTATTTAATTCCCTGTTATCCATCACAGAATGTACAACATCTTCATATCGTGACAAAAACACCCACTCCATATGCGCAAACTTATACAAATAGATCAACCCATTCCTACCCACTCCAATTTTTCACCGTAATACAAAATGTACTTTCTGATGTAGATCTCTCTCTTTCGAAACGAAAGTGCAAAAACAATGCTTCTCGCAAACCCAGATGCTGCCTCGAAATCGGCGTGCAGTAGATAACAGTCAACGCCCACATTATAGTACGTAGACTTAGTCAATACTGCTCGAATTAGCTGCTGCACGATTTTTCAGATCTTATTTTATCCTGAAATACTTACAGGTACAAATTACCCAGTTTCACAGAAAAATCGAGATCTTCTGATGCATACTTCATCCCCGCAACTCCACTCAGAGTGGACTTCAAGGGAAAGAGAAGACGAGTGGGACATGGATCTATAAGTCAGGGAAGATACCGGTTTTCATATTTTGCCAACTCAACTTACTGGTTTCTGTAGAATTGAGCGGGACAAAATAAGCACGATTTCGAAATGATAGGAACTTGTCTAAATGTGTAGCTCAAATAGTTGTGAAAGTCCGTGGGCGTGGACTGACATCTTGGAGATCGATTATTTGAAGACATTTGTGTTTTGAAATTAGATGAAAGTTCTGCGAGAAGAAAACTCCACATAAATACACGAAATTGATATAATCGGATGCGTTGTACTCAATGCTCTCTTCCTCCATGTCTGTATCTGGTTATCATCTTCACATCAGTCCATTGATCTGAATGCTATCTTAACATCTCCTTTTTCTCGTCTTCTCATGAAAGACCTCGTTTCCTCTTGTCTTTAACTCGACTTCATGATGATAAACTTCAAGAAATTTGGTCTAACGCCTCTTAAATATATCGAGGGTTAAGGATTATCAAAATAATGGTATAAGAAAATTCCAAGGGGCTCGCTGGTATACTTGAGATTTGAATAGAAGGATTTCGATAGATAAAATGCTGTGTCTAGAATGCAATTACACATTTCTAGCAATTCCTTTTTCTCGCACGAGATCTCGAGATTACCACACCTAACAAGCAATGAACAATAACAGTAGAACAGGTCAAAGAACATCTAAGAACAACACCCGTACTCCATTTTCCTCGTCGAAAAAGACAACTTTGTCATTCGAGAGTTATAAGTCCGCTTGGTATGTATGGTCCATATTTTTGCTTTCGCTGAAGCACGACTTCGCAGCGGATGACGTCTGGAAGTTTTGGGCAGAGACAAAACTTCCGGTTTGATGTATGTATATTTGAAGAATTGAGGGGTTTTAGACGGGTGAAATCGATTGGATGCTTTAGGTATTTCAGGTTGGATGGATCATTGTCATCTGAATGGGTGCTCAGTTCCTCCTGGAATGAATAGACGCCGATGAATCCTTCGCAAAGAATTCCTCGTTGAATAGTAGGGAGCTTTCTCCGAAATTTAGATGCACGTCGATACCAGGAACTACCTAGCTCTTGAAATAAATGTATATTGACGTGAATTCGAAATATAAAAACCCAATCTCCAAATCAAAATCCCCCCTCAATTCCTCTGTCCATACAAATATCCAATCCCCTCACTAACCAAGTTCATACAAGCTCACCCAGCTTACCCAGGTATACATTGCGGCTCAACCAAATCTCAAACAGCGACCGAAACACACTCATCTCGGCACCGAAAAAATATCGGAACGATTGATCCGGCTTACTTCTTCCTACTTTTACATCCGCTTCCTTTTGTGCATCCTTCCGTGACGTCTTCCCGCATGTTTTGGGTACGACCTTGTAGGTATGTTTGTATACTTATTAGGAATACAACATCGAATTTATGTTATGTTGTGTATTCCCGTTTTTTTACTTTGTGCAGAGTAGATGGAGACAGAAATAGCAGATAACCTAACAGTCGAGAAAAAGAAATGAATCATTCAACTTGTCAAAAGCGAAACATAGACCCGCGAGAAATACCTACCTAGGTACAGTGACATCTACCCAGAAGGAAGCCGTGGTATCTGTTGTGAGACTCTGGTTGAGCGTATGTAAGTATGTATGTATGTATGCGCATGCGAATGCGAGATTACAAATGAATACGAACTGCATACTTATTCTGGCTACGATTTCCACATCTATATAACACAACGTAGGGAACTACAAAACACACGACACAACACGACACGCGACAGTAATAATGTAGTGCGAACCCTCCAGTCGCAAGAGCCCAAGCATTAAGAAGAATCCATTCGCTTCAAGGTGTTATTATTCTCTTGAGCAAAGAATTCCTTCAAGCATTTACTAAGCTTCTATCAGAAACTTGTCTTGGCAGTGGCAGTGTGGCTTGCTGATCATCACCTCATATTATGCAGTTTGATGTTCTTGGCTAGTTTTGGCTGGTACACATGGGCAAAAAATGAGGCAAAGCAGCACGAGTCAAATGTTTGTATTAGGCTTGAAAAGTGTCGTGTGCTTCTCTCTTTAGGTTGTGAGTTTGTGAATAGAGTTGGAGCAGGTGCGAAGAGCTTTATGTAGATAAAAAGTATATCGAGTTGAGTTTGAATAATTCTAATTCTACTTCTTGTAACTAGAGTAGAGAGAATGTTTAGGGGAAGATTGAGTGGTTCATGATGCACGCACGATTGTGATGTAGGAGGTTATTATTAGTTGGTGGGTCGAGATGAATTCATGAAAGAATGGGGAAGAAAAGAGCCGGGGATTTAACGATCGATGAAGGGGTAAATGGGTAAATGGGTGATTGAGTAAAATATATCGAAAAGGAATATTCTTCAAGAATATGAGGTATGAATGCCATGTAGAAAAAAAGAATCGTCCAGGATATTTATATATACATATGTTTGAATCTGAGTGCGAGGTCAGAATCTCTATTTATCTATCTATTTATGCTATGAGCTATGATCTAAAATATGAAGAAACATTATAAGCTATCTCCAATCCCATAGAGTCGTCGTAAGCTATTCACATTCGTCTAATCTTAATTGATCCTTTTTTTCTTTTTCCTCACAACAATCCATAACTGTCTCTTCCTTTCACACAGTAGAAAGACGGGATACCTACACCGCACCCCATTACCTACACACCACATCTTCTTGGTAACCTTCTGAACATGTGAATGAATTGGCTTTGTCTTGGCCCCAGCTATTTGAAGTAAAATTGATCCAGACTCCAAGCCAAAATAACCTGCGATTAGATACTTGGCATGTGAAGAATTACTCTATTTGGTAAACACGCTTTTGTGGTAGCGGCAGGTTGATGAATACGCGGAAATACGTACTGTGGTTCTGCAGGTATTCGAGTGATCAGGTCAGGGTCTGAGCAGAGAGCAGGTAGTTTGTTAGATCGTCGGGAGATCTCATTTTGCGTCGGCGAGTAAGAATGGGAAGGGGAAGAAGTATGGGACTAGATAATATACTCTCTTAGGATAAAGGAGAAGAGAAGAAGAGGATATGTGCTCTAGATTTCATACCTAGCGATGCATGGTATTGATGCTTATTGTTTGCTGTATATTAAGAATTAGTTGCGAGGACCTAGCTAGCCGCTACTTGGTATCAAATTCATACATAGCCCTATTTACATTTTTTAAATCTGTCAATCAGCTCTTGAATAAAGAAAGCTCCATATCACTTGATTTCCTTCGGTTGCTTGATTCTCTGTCCTCCTTTCTGAACCTCGATTTTTCGAGACTTTTCGCTATACTTCTCAGGTCAAATTTTGAAGAGAAGCAGAAGAAGAGAGATAGCCCTTGCTTTCATTCTTGCTTCTCCATACTAATAGATCCGCACCACCCCTGAATATCAACTTCCAGTACATTTGAATCCACCCAACTAACAAATACATTCATTTTCCTACTTACACGGCCGATCTCGATTTCTCTCATTGATTTGTACAATTGCAATATCTTCAACTATATCTCGACTTTAATACGCATCTATCAATACATCTGATCTTTCTTCTTCAAAGGCTTTCAAACCGAGTTCTTGTCAAGGGGTTCCTTTGCCCTTTCTTTATCTCCTACAACAAAAGCATACGTCATCCCTGCGGTAAACGCAACGAGCAAATTATTTCGATACAAAGGGAAAGATTTGGATACAGGGTTTTCTATAGATACCTTATATCAATACTTTACTTGTATATCTGTCCGGAATATTCTCTTGAAAAGAAGGAATAAAACAATTCCTTCAATTGAGGGTTTCCATCGTGTTTTGACGTCTGGTGTTTGAGTCGGATTGGGCGGACGACATTCATACAATCCGAATATGGCGAATACACCACTTCCAGATGGCGAACCGCAATGGAATAGTAAACCACAATTCAGATTGCCGGGATGGGCGGAACCAGTTGTTAGTTTTCCTTCTGAACTTTTGGTCAAGAAGAAAAGAACGAAGTCCATTAACTAACGATTCTTTCACAGATGGTTGCCAGTATCTTGTTTGGATCTATGGTACTGACGAGAAGGCATGGGTATAAGATATTCGATCGAAGGCGAAACAACTACGGATTATTGAGCGAGGAACCCGATTCCGCACGCTCATCCGATGATTTGTTGGCTCGGGACTACATGATTGGCAGCGGACGAGATTCCGACGTCGATTCAATGTCGACGTCTAAATATCCCCCTAAGAAGAGAAGATGCTGTGGCACGAATCTCCTGACGCCGAATACCTCGAGATTTCGAGATTACTACCACAGCCGAATATTACAGAAATTTCCATTTTTGATTGAGATGTTCTATTGGATTGTTACGTATGCGTTCTATCGATGTACGAAGATCCTCTCGCAAGCGATGTTTTCCAAAATGGGTATTTGGGATGTGGCTCAGGACCATGGGCTAGCGATTTTGGAATTCGAGGAATTCTCGTGGATGAGCTTTTTGTGGCCGGTGAGGGAACAGGATGTACAGAAGTGGTTTTTGAATGGTCATGGGACGCTTTTGACCGTTTTGAATCGTTCTTATGCTTTGATTCACATTCCTGGTACTGTTGGGTAAGTTTCCAAAGTCATGACTAGGCAGAGATGTCTAGTAGATTTGGAGAATTTATCTTTTGACTAATACTTTTCTCTTATAGATTCATCGCGTTCTGGTACTACGTAGCACCATCCCATACAACTTTCGCAACAGTCCGTCGAACCATGACTCTCACCAATCTTTTCGCCTTCTGTATCTTTATCCTCTACCCATGTATGCCACCACGTCTTCTTCCTCCCGAGTATGGATTCCTCGACAGCGTCGGACGCAACAACGCACAATCCGTTTGGATGCAAGGAAACTACGTTAATTCGCTCGCCGCCATGCCATCCATGCATTTTGGATATTCATTCTGCATCGGCGTGACTTTAATCTATCATTCTGGACTCTTCCGTCGCAATCTCGAAACAGGCGAAAAACGCAAGAATAAATTCTGGATGCTCTTTTATGTTTTTCTAGGATTGGCTTATCCGCTTTATATCCTGATCACGATTGTGGCGACGGCAAATCATTACTATCTCGATGCATTTGTAGCGTTCTTCGTGGCGATCGCGGCATATCTGTGTAATAGAATCTTCCTCACATTATTACCGGTGGAGGATTTATTGTTTTGGTGTTTGAGATTGGAAAAGCCTATTCCAACGACGGGAGATAGGTTTAGAAGGAGAACCAGCCGTTCTTAAGTCTGATGGTTTTGAAAGAAAAGAATGACATGCTCTTACCTTCTGAAATGGGGCCATCGATGATGATGGAGAAGACAAAGAGAGAGATGGACGGGCGTTTTTCTAGAATTTTTAGCATGGGCTGGGATGGGAAGAAAGGAATTCTTCTGGGCGAGCATATTCATGTATATGTTACTGTCACATATATTTTATCTTCGGTTTTTGAAACTCACCATATTGAGTATTTTGGATGGATACCAGCATGGCTTGAAGCCTTTAAATCAACGGCGTATGGGAAACGGAAAGTTGGAGATTGATTTGTAGTTTGAATGAAGAATTATTGACTACAAGAGATGTCTCTGTCTTATTGTATGATGTGGTTTGATATATAGCCAAGAACCTGGGGAGTTTCATCTCATTCTCTTATTCATAAGCCACCAAGGAATGTCTCTGGGACAAATACCTCTTTGAATACCCAGGCAGGTACAGATGAATGATGTTGAAGGAATTTCGTACTTGGAGTTCAAATAAGAGTACAATGTACTGCACTGTTAATTGACCAATGCAAAGCTTCAATATAGATTGATGCCTTAATCGCAAGGCCATAATAAAGAGCTCTCCTAGCTAAGGTACACAATCAGGAGGTTGGAGCTTTCTAAAGGGTTTATCGGGAGAAAGAGCTCTAAAACACGTCTACACGTCTCCTTCGATAGCTATCAAAGCGCGTTCAACTTTCACTATTCTTATCGTATCTTATCATCCTATACTCGAGTCCATTCATTAATTTAATGAATTAAAATAATCAATTTCTTTTCATCAATCTTGTCTGCCATTCTTTCTTCAATTGAGTTGTGTACTGTGTTGTATCGTATCATATCGTATTATAACTTCTGAATCAAGTCAATAAGGTTACCCAGCTTCAGGACTTCAATACCACCTTCGTGATCTTCCCACCTTTCCATCTTGCCTCCACCTCACCTCACAACTTCTCAATTCTCCCCCTCAACATTCAAACATGTCTTCCGCAGATGATTACCCCCTCGCTCCAGAAAACACCGCCCCGGGCTCCAATCCCACCGACATCGAAATGAACGATCCCAATCCCAGCGCCGTCGTAATCGAAATCGACGCATCCGCCGGCACCGAAACCAACACCCACATCTCCAACGACGGCGACGGCGACAACGATGCCTCGGGCCCCGATCTCCAAGAAACAGCCATGGAAGATATTCCCGCGCGCGTTACCTATATCGATTATCTAAAAAGTCCCATGATCGCATTATTAGTCGGCCAAGGCGATGAACAAGCCCTCCTGCACGCACACCAAGCACTCCTCTGCAAATCCCCCTGGTTCGCCGAAGCCTGCGGAAAATTCAGCGACGACGTCAACGAGCGCCGCATCGATCTCATCGACGAGGATCTCGACGCCGTCGGCTGTTTTCTCGAGTACCTGTACACGAATGATTATTTCCCGCGCAAGATCCCCGGGTCGCGCGACCTGGAATCGGATCCTGCGATGCCGGATGTGGATGAGACGGGAGATCAATTACTCAAACACGCACGCGTGTATACGCTGGCGGAAATGCTGCAGCTTCCGAGTTTGAAGAGCTTGGCGAGTAGTAAGATTCATTGTGTGAATAGTACTGCGAAGGGAGAGATTGCATATGCGAGATATGTGTATGCGCATACGCAGAAGGATGATCAGACGATTAGGGCGCCGGTGGCAAATTTCTGGGCGACGAGAAGTCATACTTTGAGGAGTGAGGCGGAGACGGAGTTTAGGGAGATGTGTTTGGAGTTTCCGCAGTTTGGTTATGATGTTTTGAGTAAGTTTTTTTTTTTCCTTCTTTTTTTGGAATTTCTCGCTTCTTCTCACCTTTCTTATTCTTTCCTTTTTCCATGCCCTGGATGTGGATGGACGGGTGGCTGGAGGATTTGGAAATTGTGTACCATTGTGTTTGTCAAGATAAATAAATACTAACAAACAATAGCACGTGTACTGGACGAAAAACTCAAGAGAGAAAAGAACGACAAGATGCATCCATCGCACGGTACCCCCGGCAGTTCTCGAAAGAGACCTCGTCAAAGTGGCATTTGATTAACGAACGAAGCATTGGGCTAAATGGAGTTATGTTGGCATGTAAAATCTTACTTGAAGGAATTGTATCACTTTATATTGTATTGCATGGCCTGGCATTGCATTCGTCTCTTCATTTGTATTTGACTACGTTATATGATATGACATAATATGTCATTCGTATATGAATGGATCCGTACGAGGAATATCTAGGGGAATGAATGCAACATGGGATTTGGGAGAATGGATGGTAATGCATGGATCGATGGATGAACAGTATCCAAATAGCATGAGCGAGCATATCCTATGCATATGCTTTGGAGATGAGATTTTACCATGAACAACGACAATCTTGATAAGCGAGAAAGGAGTATAGCGAAAAAAGGAGTAAATGGAATCACTAAATCAGTTAGTCGTGTACTGGAAGTAAGTTCACGGGCTTACTTTCATAATACAATACCAATGCTGATACTGTTCAAATTTGAGTTAAAGCACAAAAGAGTTTGAAGAATTGCAATGATATTTTACTTTGATGTTTTCATGTATATACACATAGAAACTTATCAACCTACACACCTCCCTTCCAGAAAATATACCGCAAAAAGCCACTAAGCATTCAAATCAATCTTCATTTAATTACAAAACGATAATCTGAATGCCTATGACCCCCCCCCCCCCAAAAAAATTAATAACAAATTCTAATAATCATAATGAAAGTTCTTCAAGTCCAAGTCTTCGCCTCGCCTCTATCCACCGTATAATCAACATGTGTGCGGAATGTCTGTAAAGGGGCGAATCTACTTGCCCTCCTCTGTTCTCTAGAGCCGGAAAAGGAGGTTCAAGAGACTCATCCTCACTCTCATTGCCAAAATTCTGTCTATTCTCAATAATTCCATCCTCGGGAGCATTACTTTCATTAATAATCTCCCCTCTATTCTCGATAACCTTATCCTCGATAATTCCATCCTCAATAATTCCATCCTCAATATCGTTACTCTCATGAGAAACCTCTCCTCTATTCTCGGTAGCCCCATCCTCAATAATCCCATCTTCGGTAAGATTCCAAAATTTACCCCCAATCTTATTACTATCGTCCTGATTCTGCTCCGTCATTACTTCACCAATGGAGGCGCGCTGAACCATTGATCGGTCCCCGGTATCAGCGTTGTATATTAAGAAATCGGTACTTCCGTTGGCCAAAGCTCTGCTAATGAGTAATCCGGGGTCGCCAGGTTGCAGTCTAATTTTTTTTAAACAATCGACGCCCAAGATTGAGCCACCATGATCAAAATCAGTGACCAGCCGTCTGCAAACAAGCGGGCTTTGTAAATATCGTACGGGAATAGGAATCTCGACAATGGACATTTGGCTGTCCGCCCAGTAGAACAATCTCTTCTCCGACATGGATTGAGAAGGGCCAGCCCAAGCCAAATTAACTGGATTAAGTACAGAATTCATCTCTTCGGTTGGACTTGATATGCGCTGTGTGCTAGATGGTTGGTACGTTGTTCTGTTGATATTAACTTTGAAAATAAATGTTTCGCCCCTTTCTGTGGAGTTATCATTGCGCTTCAAAAATGCGAGCCAGGACAGGGCAACATGACTGAGAACTGGTACAGAGGCGCTACCAGTTATTCCGGTAGTTTCCACTTTTATAGGAATAAGTTCCTTCGACTTTTTCGGTGTAGGTAACTGATTGAAAGGAATAAAGTAGACATCAGATATGTCATCATGTTGAACTTGAGACTGTTCTTCGGTTTGAGCGACAAGAGCTATTCCCGCCTTAGATATGTCAAAATTCATTGGTCCCATTGACATCCGGGTTGGAAAGGGAACATATTTAAGGTTAACTGTCTCAAGAATATCACCACTAAAGGACTCAATATTGATGTGCGGAAGAGCGCCTTGACACCCGAACACGAGGCACCGCAGCATTTGACCACCTGGCCCTAAGGTATTTCCTAGAACATCGACTTCACTAACACTCGAGCGTGCTGAGGTTGTTCCGGCACCAATACCTGAGACTGCAATTACCACATAAATCTTCCGATGATTGCTACTTTCTACGACATATACTGCCTTCAAGATAGTCATCAATGTATCAACATGGCCTGCGCTGGCTGGCCGCCTTGCGCCGAGTTAGCTTTATCAGTGGCGTATTGGCCACAGTCTTGTTACATACCGTGTAAAGGGTGGGCCGTTGAGAGTGAAAAAATGAGTTGTCTGGTTCTCTTGCGCTTGACAAATAAGGGTATTTTTGTCGGCCCAGATGAAATTTGTCAATGTTGAGCCTGGAGATGCGGACTTCGCTGACTTGGGCAGCTTGGTTGTTATACCAGTCCCGAGTTCCAACAAATAATATGATGTTTCAGGGATATCTGAAGAGTATATGGTCTCATGATAAAGTGCCCAACGCCCATCTAGATTAACGATTGCTGCCGAGCGTTGAGGTACTGTTGGGGAGTTTCTGTCTGCTATCAGCAATCACAATCGTAAGCCCTCTTAGAAGAGACAAACACTGGATCAATGGAATTTAGATCATTCGACATGGTTTCTTGACTGCGCCTTTCGTAATGGATTGAGGTGACGATGAGGAGAAGGAAATATGAAGTGCGAGGGCTTTTAACTAAAGAGATAAAAACAGCACGAGGGAAGAAAGAGAAGATTGAGGGAGGTACCATTGCTTCTCTTCTTCTTAGTGCTAATCTCAAAATGATGCGATTAGGAAAGAGCGAGGGAAAGAGGGTATTAACAACTTCGTTGTATGTGTTTGAGTACCCAAGATAGGCAAGAATGAATCATGCTCTGTCGGTACCTCAATTGAGGAATGTTGACACTCTAGAGCTGTAAAGTGAATGATTAAAAGGAACGCCAACATTGACAGAATGAAACAGGACAACAAAAGTATCATCAAAATTTGGCACATATTTATTATACTCATACTATGGATTTGATTCCCTCTATTGTGCGACTTTTGTCTGTACCTTATGGTAATCAAGGCTTCTCAAGGTTATGTTGGTACAGTAGATTCGAACTTTGTAGCTGGTACAGTCCCGAGTGATGGAGTTCATGAGGAAGTTTTATCCGAAAACATTATGATCGCAGACCGTCGTGGCTGTTCAAGACTTTTGGTAAACTTATCGGCGTAAACCAGCTCATGACTGTGATCTCTCCAACATCTCCGACGTTTTTTAACGTATGTTATCATTGCCACCGCTCCTTATTATCTTGTTCTTTGAGATTTTCTAGGGGGGCCCCCATCTCCTTGGTGTTTCCTCTTTGGATTTGAACAATCCCTCGCCATATGATTTCCTCCACACGTATAACATTTTATATCAGATTTGATTCCACCTCCTGAGCCAAATGAGCCCCCCCCTGAGCCAGACAGAGATGTCAGCCCATTCAGCGAGACATGCTTCTTCTTTCTCTTTTTCGATAACTCTAGCAAGTCGGCCTTTTCTGCCTTCTTCTTGGCTTTACGTTCCTCTTTGAGCCGTTTTATTGCTTCATGTTTCGAGGCTTTTATCAGTTCCTTTGCGCCTGTTGGATCATCCTCACTATCCTCATCTTCAGATTCCTCGTCCTCGCTCTCCTCGTCCTCTTCTGATGATGTAAATTCTATGTCTGGATTTTGCTGTTTCTATTTGCCAGTCATTAGCATGTGATGAAGCGCAGATTATCGATATGCATGGCATACCTCCAAAACTTTATTGAATTTTCCAAAACTCCTTCGACCGACCATGAATGGTTTTTCTTCTCCAAAATTGTTATCGTCATCATCAACACGTTCTGCTTTTATTGGCGAAGGTTGGTCTAAATTTGCGAAACCAGTTTGAACTACCCGTAATGTATTTGTTGGAGTATTGAGATGTTTCCTTCCCTCAAAGCTTAAAACCCATCGTGTATCTCCTGCTTCAACGGCTGCTCGATCCAATGCGGCTTGCTTTTTGGCTTCTTCTTCCACTATTGCGGCTTGAATCGCGCGATTATCGGCTAAGGTGTCGACATTGAACTTTGTAGGAGTGTTTTGTGCTGTCTTTTGTCGCTTCGGTGATGGCTCATCTATTGAAGAAGGAGAAGTATTTGTAGGTGATGAAGCAGCAGCACGCTGCATGAATTTCATCGTCAAAAGCCTGGAAGACATAGCTTTTGGCGCACTTGTTGGGGTCCCTGCACTTGCCGACATGTTGTAGTTGTTGTTCATTCACAGTATGGAAGAAATTAGAAGAATAATAATCGAGAGGATGATGTGGAAGAATTGGCGAGATAAAATTATACTGTCGATTGTTAGTCGTAGATCTATAGACCTGCCACGATCTATAAAGTGTCTGTATAAGTAACACGGGGGTGATGAAAGAAAGTCAAAAGCAAAAGTATTCACGCGGCTGCAAGGCGGACTTTTCCCCGATTAAAGATTAAGCTTCTGTGCTTTAAGGGTATTACGTAAGCAAACTGGAATTGGACGACAACGACCTTAAGTCCTTCTTCGGTCCCTCCATAGCAATTGATTGAAACACCAGCATAATGTTGTCCACCGCCAGATCAAGAGCCGTATGGCAAATTACTCGTAGAGTTCAGATCTCAGCCAGACGAACCTACGCATTTTCCGCAAATGATCAGCAAGAAATTAATGATCCAAACTCTCCGAAGAAAGTGCCCAATGTCTCGAAATCCAACGAGCTGCCGATAGAAAGTCACGTCCAGAATAAGCCGTTGCAGGAGAGCGTAGAGACTGCGGAAAAGTTCAGGGTTATGCAGGCACCAAATAGAGAGGGCAAATGGTCGCGAAGTCAGAATCCTAGGGAAAAGGCAATGTCTGGACCTAGGTTCGAGCAGACCATTATGGAAGCTCAGGTACGTCAGACCCCGCGTTTACATATTGCGCTTTAGCTCTTGGAAATTATCCCAATCCGTATTTGTACGGCATGTTAACTTTTCTCCAGCCAGCACCACAATCAGCAATTAGCTTAATTCACCAACAACCAGTGCGATGGACGCACGATCGTATTGTAGCATGCGATGGAGGTGGAGGAGCATTAGGACACCCAAGAATCTTCATCAACACTGATAAGCCCGAAATTTGCAACTGCACATACTGCGGATTACCGTTTGTAAGTCATACCCTGGACTGAGACCTCAAGCCAGATTTCTCTCCGTCGTTAACCATAACATCTTTTTGGCTTCATGCTCATTTATCTTGCAGGCCAATGAACATCACCGAGCACACCTTGAATCTCTTCCAGAAACTGCATACCCTCTTGAAGCATGAGGTCATCCTGCCAAGTTTGTATGAACCACAACGTATTACCGATGGAAGATTGGTCAACGATAAACTGTTCATAGATGGGAAAGTCTATCGTTGACAATTAGTGTAAATACCACGCAATGAGAATTTTAAGCAAGATTGTCTGCCTACTTCTACAGCGATATTTCACTCAAATTGACCTTCTTAGAGAATTCCAGTGATCTACTACAAGTCAAGTCTGTGTTATTGTGTTCTTCTATTAGAATAGCAATATCATGAAGATCTCTAGCAGCTTCATATTCCATACCGCTGATTTACAGATAGTGAAGAGCATGGCATGTTGGCACTTGCTCCTTTGAATGCTTGAAGGCATCCATAAACAAGTTTTCGAGAACACCATGAAATAGTATAAGGTGGAGAATGATGCATAATTAGTAACATCTAACTCGTTGCATCAAGTAGAAGTTACCATGAGACCATAACAATAGGCACGTGAAACTCAAAGAATGATGGGAGACATCGTTTGTTAAGAACTCGCAAGCAAAATATCTATATCGCTTGCAGGATTGTTTCCAAGAGAAAAACAGAGCTTTTGCTTGAGCGATGATGTCCTATCTATCAAATGAATTTGAAAACGAGAATAAAATGGGAAAAATGTAATAACATAGGTAGCATCTTCCAAAATGATAAAAGGAGTACGTACCTACTGGTAGTATGCATATTGTTAGGCTAGGCGAGGATTTGTCTTCGGGAAAATATTGGACGACGAGCGGCCGCACTCACCGATCGAGCTTCTTCTGCTGTTACTTGCGACAATCTAGAGCTTCCAGATCGAACAAAACTCCCATCTATTATTGAAATATCTATAAGATGTCTACCATAACAACCCCCGCCCTGCAGACATCCTATCCTCCTATCCTTCCAAAATCTTTTAATGCCAATCAACCCAAAACAATTCGTCTGTTCCCCCTTTCAAATTACACTTTTGGTACCAAAGAAACCCAACCTGAAGAAGACCCCTCCGTCCTCGCGCGTCTCAAACGTTTAGAAGAACACTATGTCGAACACGGTATGCGACGTACCTGCGAAGGAATTCTTGTCTGTCATGAACATAATCATCCTCACATCCTCATGCTTCAAATCGCAAACGCATTCTTCAAACTCCCAGGAGATTATCTAAAGCCCGAAGACGATGAAGTAGAAGGTTTCAAACAGAGACTGAATGAGCGATTGGCACCTGTAGGCACTCAATTCAGTGGAGAAGGTGTAAATGAGGAGTGGGAAATTGGAGACACGTTGGCGCAGTGGTGGAGGCCGAACTTCGAAACTTTTATGTACCCATTCATCCCGGCGCATGTTACGAGACCCAAGGAGTGCAAGAAGTTATATTACATTCAACTTCCCAGACAGAGTATGTATCTTCTATGTCTCTAATTATCCTTAGAATTAAAAAGTGCGGCATTGCTAATACGTATACAGAAGTACTAAGTGTTCCTAAGAATATGAAACTCCTCGCAGTACCACTTTTCGAGCTCTACGATAACACAGCAAGATACGGTCCTCAACTCTCGGCAATTCCACATCTACTGTCCAGATATAACTTCGAGTTTGTTGATGAGAAGGGTGATGTGGTAGCTGTTACTCCCGGTGGAGGACCAGAAGAAGGATATGTGCCAAAGACGATCGTTTTGGCTGGGGGCGACGACGAAACAATGGGAGAAGCTGATGTCAAGGAAGAAAATGGCGTTCAATAATTACAGGATAATGATAGTGTTTTCAAAGCAATGGAAGGCACGGCATGGCGTTCAAAGGTCAAAATATAATAGCTTGGAATAGCTAATGAATTGACCAGGTAGACATGAGAACTCCGAGTTATTAAAGATATCAGATAAATTTCTCACGATTCTCACTTCATATTATTCATTGTGGCTGTCTTATACCGTGAATGATGCTAAACGCAAGTGTTATCTATCTAGATATCGAATACATATATCTAATCCCTGTCAGCACACTCGGGAAGCTTTCAAACAATGACGTCCACAAACCCCACTACTATTCTAAGCAACTCAATTACATCCAAAATCTTTGGAATGCCATCTTCAAATTCCTCTTCATCTGCGCAACCCGACAAAGACGAAAACCCACGTCTGAATCCACAATCAACATCATCCTTCCCGATTCTCTATATCCTCTTCGTACTAATCTTCCTCATCGCCCTCTTCCCGCCCCTCTTCCACGCTCTCTGGACACTTCCTCTCAAACTACTCCTCCCAAGCACATACAGTTCCGCTCTCTCGCCCGCCCGTTATACCAAGCCAGCTATCATGTCTTGGACACAGAAGACCATATCTCTCCCCTCCAAATCCCGCGGCTCATATCTTGTCACCGACCACATCGTCTCCTCAATTCCCGAAATCAAGAACTATAAAGTTGGACTTCTTAATCTATTCATTCAACATACGAGTTGTGCAATTAGTTTGAATGAGAATTGGGATGAGGATGTCAGAGCCGATATGAGTGATGCGTTGGATAGGATTGCGCCAGAAGATAGGAAGGGAGAGTTGTATAGACACAGTGCGGAAGGATTGGACGACATGCCGGTTTGTACTCTTTTTGTTTGTTACTTTGTTCTTCGTTGGAGGAATGGAGTGCTTGGGAAGTTTTATAAGACAGGGGCTAATCATTATAGGCACATATCAAATCAGCGTTGGTTGGAGCAAGTGTTACGATTCCTATCACAAACGGGAAGTTGAATACGGGTACTTGGCAAGGGATATGGTATTTGGAATTCAGATCTAGCAAACATACTAGGAAGGTTGTTGCTACTATCCAGGGTGAGAAGATGTAAATATAAGAAAATCTATTGCCCCGATGGGTTGGCCATTTGGGCATGTGAAATGGGCATCGTTCCGGTCGTTTCGCCTTGGTTACGTCAAATATTCATTCTCGATTTTTGAGCGAATCATTGCTTCTCAGTCTTTTCACCTCACGAGTGCTCCATCAATATCTGGGCTGAAGCTTAAAATTTAGGTGACCTAGGTAGACCAAGGCTGACTTCCAATCTTACTCACTTTATGTTCAGCTGGACAGATCGGAGTCTTTTGATGACGAAAAACACGAATTGACGGAGCAAAAATGCGTGATAGCGTTCGTCTTCTTGAAATCTACAAGCATGTACCTAATTAACAATCTGTCTATGGTCGTGACTTTAATTGTATTCTGACCAAGTAGAAGAAGCGCGAGTCGCTTATGTAATACACACGTCTATTCGCTTTTCCGAGAACTTTCCCGTCTATTTTCCCCCCTCACCATCTCCATCTATTGAAAACAACATTTATGAGCCCACATAGCACGGAACTCTACCAAGTAAAGTTTAAGTGATTATCATAATGGTGCTGAGCTTATCGGATACAAGAGATACTCGTTTCGGATTAAATGCATACCGTTTCTCTTGAATAGAAACAATGAATGGGAAACAAACGAAAATCGGATCTTTCAAAATGCTTCGAAAGTAACTTTGCGGAAATCAGATTCTAGACCTCATTGCATGAACTTGCGAGTCTTCGGTTACTAAAGATAGTGGAGAGATTGTCATACCCAGCCTTATGAGATGAGACCAAGTGGAGTCTGTGCCTCGAGTTTCAGCTCGTTGCTACTCAAATTGATGAATTTTTGATCCCAAAATGAGAAGAAAACTGTTCGAGAAATTCTTTGACATTCCAAGTTGGAAGATATTGAATTAAGCTCAATCATAAAGTGAACAATCTGATGTCTGGGTTTGTACTATTTGGCCATGTCCTTTTGTTTCCCTTTCTCATCCAAGATATTAACCCCTCACGAAACGTCACAAATACAGTGCTGAGGGATTATGCATGTTATTCACGCACTACATATAGAACCTTTATCGCCGTTTCATCATTCGAATCGTCTGTTCGTAGCTTTCATCTTTTGCAACTCCATCACAAATGTTATTCAGTCAGCTGGATCTGTGAACTAACTTAATGAACTGAATTTTAACGATTGTTTGTTCCAGTAGTCTACGAGAGTAAGATGCCTCTCATTCGTAAGTACTGCCTATGAGCTTGAAGTCTTATTAGCTAAATTTAAATAGGGGGTCTACCGCAATACAGACGGGCAGTAGGATTTCTGGCACTTCCTGCTCTGTTGTTTTATAGTAAGTGACGTAAATCTCAACAACGTCATAATCTATTCTCACATCAGATCTTTAGTGCTTGCCGCGATTGCAGCCCTTCCAGGGGTACCGGGAATATTTATAGAGAACATCCAAACGGATCTAGGGACCGGTAGTCTTGAAGTCAGAGTTGGATACTTTGGTACGTCATTTCTCGGCTTTCTATAAGAGCAAATAGAACTGACCAAGGGAAAGGGACATGTCTTCGACGGACTGGCTCCGACGCTGACATCAAACTACAATGCACCACCACCCATAAAGGATTTAGTGATATGCTTATCGAGAGTTCCAACAGCACATCAAATGCCACTGAGAAGCTTCTCGTCTTTGCATCAGGGATGCAACGTGATGTCTTTGTTGGATCTCCCTCTTTCTTTCCCGGAGCTGGGCTCCTATTCCTAATCAGCGTTCTACTTCTCATACCGCTCGAGATAACCACTCGACCACCTGCAAGACTCAGGCCTAAAACCGTTCTCTTCCTAAATCATGCCATCATAATGCTTTTCTGGTTCACTGCAGCATGGTCTTTCGCAGGTGCATTATCGATTGTGGAAGTTGTAAGATCACAGCAAGAACTGTTGACTTTGGATGGGAGTAACAATATCACTGTTAAGGTTGGTGTGGCAGTGCAATTTCTGCAATGGACTGCTTTCATATTCACTTTCGTCTTTGCGAGCGGAGTTACGACTTTGAAAATGACGCATGAGCCGAGACTACTTAATCCTGAAGAGATGGCAGCGAAGGCTGGTCCGTTGGGTGGACAGGTGCAGTGGCGTGAATCTATTTGATAGAGAGCCGCGTTGTTGGGCTATGGCTTTATCCTGATGCTGGCAACACTAGTCTCCCCCAACCACATCATTCGATGGCCGAATGTATGCAAGCACTTCATTTGGGAAAGCTCAATTGTGGCTACTCCATCTGAATTTAAAATTTTTCCAATTTTCAATATTTTACAGAAGGGGCTACTGAAAGCGTTATACCAGTACCAACCCCTTCTTTATCGTAACTTGCTAGAAAGACTTGAGATCTCGGTCTAGATAAAAATTCCAGCTCCCGCCGTGTAAATCTCTGCTGACCATCAACACAATCTCAATTCAACTATTGTTCAAATTTTCCTCAGCCATGATTCTTATGGTCGAAGATGTTCAGGGTGGTCTTGGATCCATGCCGTTGGGACCAAGATTCTTCGAGTTGGACATATTCAAAGAGTTTATGGGAAAAGAAGTACTATCTTCTTGTCGCACGAGTTCGAATGCCAAGTCACAACTTGGGAGGGCAAAAATTCGTGTTAGGGAACGGGATTTGAAAATTAGCTTGCATATTGGAAATAGGAAGGCCCCGGAGGACTGCCAGTTATGTAGAGACGTTGTATCTCCTTGTGATGACGTGCTATCGAAGGAAGTTCCCCTTAATTGGCAATTATTCTTAGTGTCAGGAATGTACGGGAAACTTCGAATATTTCTACAAGACAAACGAAAACAATCCAATTTTATAGCAATGGTACAGTGCAGGAAAGCTTTGAAAAAAGTGTTCTCAGAATATGGTGAGGTGTAATATTGTGATCCTAACTCAAAAATCCACCTCGAAGTTTTCTTTCAAGTAGTCTCTACTAAACGCATACCCAGCTAGGTTTGCTGACAATCATCCCATTGTTTTCTACTCTCACATAGGCATCATACACCCCCAACCTCACCAGCTACCAGTCTTGCTGCATGCACACATACACACAAATACAAGCTTTCCTTTCCCAACAACTCTCACGTTAAGGTCACACACACCATAAAATATCCATCCCCATAACCATAGAAAAATGCATGAATTCATGAATTTCAAGTACATTATTATATCTAAACCAAAGCCACTCTGCGCCATTTAAATGCAAATGACAACGCATTTCCCGGTATCAAACCAAAAGTCCAGATACTCCTTCGCTATGCTGTGCTATGCTAAGGTTTGCTATATTCGATTGTAGAAATAGAGTGACTGAGAGAAGAAAACAGAAGAAAGGAGCTTGGGTGTTCGAAATTTTCGAGAAATGAGTGTTGATATTCTTTAATTGATGGGGAGAAGAAAGAGAGAGACTCCCGGGTATCAAGTAGGAAAAGACAATGAAAAAAGAAGAGAGCTTCAGATGCAAGACCTAACAGACATTATAGAGCATACCCCCTCTTCCAAAACAAAAAGGTAGTGGTGAGCTCAGAACGCCCGACTCCATAATATACCCTAAACTCCCTGTGTAATAAAACGTCGTAAATTTGTGTTGCATGCCTTGCATATCTATTCGTGTCTGACAATGCCATAGATCTCAACGGCGTCCTGATCTTGAATCAGAGGCATATTTTCCTTGGCCCGATAATGAAGTCTCGGATTATAGCCATACCAACTGTGTCCAAAATGTCCTAAATCCTGCTACATCGAGAGCGCTCTTCCATGTTATACACACGCCCTATCCATCATCTTTGTTTCCGACCAGGCGAATTAGGCTCCGCTAACATATCTTCCAAAGTCATAGATCTATGAGCAGAAGAATAAAGTTCGTCGTAAATATCCGGATTACTTGGTAACGGCGAGGTATCATGATGAGAAATTTTCGTTTCAACTCGGCCAACGCCTCCTAATGGATTTATCACCATTGGATTTTTAGGATCTGCAGGTTCAGAAGTTTGGACGATCTCAACAGTTTGAACGGCGCGTCCGAGTGAGTCGCGATTTGTTCCTTTGGATCTTGATACGGAGAGTAGTACGTTGGTATGGGGAACTTCTTTGCGTCTAGAATGGTTTGGAGATCTGGATGCGGTTCTGGCTGGTGCTGGCGAGGCTGGTAACTATTGAGACCATCTTGTGTTAGCTTTGTCCAGTCGACAGGGGCTTGATGGAACTGCGCTTAAATCATATACATACAGCATATGTGTGACTTGACAGTTTCTCATGCTCGGGTTCAGGTCCTCCTCGAATCGCTTCCATGAAATCAATTTCTCTCGAGTCTTCAGCAGAACAAAGCTCAATACCATCTGTATTTCTGGCAGATCTCATATCGGATCTAGATACGAGGTGGCTGGATCCAGCACCAGCTCTGATGCGTCGATAAAGGGCGTTGAGTATAGGAGCATTGGCAAAGAACGCCTGCAATGAATGTGTTAAAATGTCTCTTTATGTCATCATGTGAATCAGACGCTTACCATTAGAAGACACTCCATGTTTCCCCAAAAGAACCTGTCGTCGATTTGTTGGATTTTGCTTTCCTGCAAGATGGTTCGTATGATAGATATTACAACAAGCTAGAGATCTCTTAGAATTATATTAATGGCAATCAAACGGTGACTTACGAATATACCAACGAGGAACACGGCTGATACTTTAAGTTTTGTGCTATAGAAAAGGTTAATATGACGAGAGAATGAATGATGTATATCTTATGTAGATAGTACATACGCTGTCACCATTTGCGTTCGCCAAATCATTGGCAAAGGGATAATAACCAAAATGACATTAGTTACAATGATCGACTTGACAGTTGTTAGCTTGAGACGAGGCACAGAAAGAGGATTTACTCACAATTGCCATGAACAGCAGTCCAACTCTCTAATAAACATTAGTACAGTGTCTTGTTAGAATCTCATCTTATCAAGTACTTACTCCTTCCTAAGGAAAACTGTCAGCGAAATCCTCAATAGCATTTCGGGAAACTCACTGCACATTTTTGAGGTGGATTTGTAAACTTCCAATTCAGATTAAACGGGTGGCATTGAAGCATCCATAGCAAGAAAGTAGTTGTCCAAGTCGTAGCAATCAAATAGAAAGTGAAGATCACATATCTCTGTTCCGGCTGCCGAGTAGTTAAACGGTAATAGTAGAGTAGCTGCCAAGCTTGTCAGAAAATATATTTTGAACAAGAGCATAGGTTCGCAGCGTACAATGCAAGCTTTCAGAGACCAAATGTAAGATAGGTAGGCGATACGTCCGAACATGATATACTTTGAGTCAAACTCCGCTGTTTCGATGTTAGATGAGATTATCAATCATAAAGAATGATTGGCATTTACTTTCTTCGACAGTTTCAATATCTGAGTGGGCATGTTTTCCTGATCCGGTTTGGAGCTGTGATAATAAGTTAGCAATGTATGAGATTCTAGAACAATTAAGAAGCAACATACAAGAACGGGGAACGTAGAAGCAAACCCTCCCATAAGAAGGAAAGCGCCTATCATGAGCCAGTCATCAGGGTAGATCCTCTCATGCTTGAGTCGCCTTAAGAAGAATCTGGCACAGGTTAACAAGAGCACCACAGAGGTAACTGCATAGGCTGTATGAGCAACCTGCTCAGTGTTCTCAATCATTTTTTTCTGACCAGGATAAAGATCGAATTCAAATTCCAAGGAGAGTGTAAACACAAAATTAAATCGTAGAGAATGGAAAAAATTACAAGCCAGGTTAGTTGTAATCGAGAGCTTGACGGCAGTGTGTAGCAACGAAGCTTAAACTGAATAATATCAAAAGAGGATCGCCTGTTCCATTCTATATTTGTGGATTGTATGTTTTCTGTACTTTTAAAATTTGAGGTGGGCAATGCTTGGGTAATATTAAGCTGTAGTGAATTTCTTCTGGCTAGAAATTCAATTTTAGAGCAATATCCGACGATAGTCTTTGAACCAATACATTATTCTGCTTGAGGACCTAGCCGAACAAGTCCAGGAGTTTGCCATAGCCTCGGAATTATCAATAGAAGGTGCATTTGATAAAGAATCCTATGTCCTTCAGAGCCATCGATGAATTGTGAGATGAGAAATTGTGCTTGTAAACTCTCTAACTTGAATGCTGTGTATTCACTTGTATGCCTTATATCCTTCAGGAACGATGATTTTACCAGAATCGATCCGAGCCACTCTCAATATACTTTCATCGCAAATGACATAATATTCAAGTGTGAAGACCAACGGCAATGTCTTTCCAGCAAGTACTGAGCAGTCACTTGTATACAGCTATGCAGAAAACTTGAACTGCTATTGCTCAACAAAGAAAATAGTCTTGAACTTCTTTCCCTTAATTAAGGTACATCCAATGGCAATCTATGACTATGAGTAGATCTGGTATCTCATAATAAGGGAGAAATTTCCCCTGCGCAACAGGACAGAGATGCTGTTCATCCGTTGAGAACTTCAGTACCGTCGTCTACTTGTAGAAGCACCACTAAAAACATGATACAGTGTAGTTGTATTCCACACTGTGATAGTCTGGACTTCCAAGAATTATAGGAAACATCTGCGGACTGTATGCACACAATCCTATATGGCCATTTTGCAATGGCTTGAAGAGCAGCATACGCCATACAATCGGGGGGAGGACCATTATTCGTGGCAGGAAAAGTTAAGAAGTGTTAGGAACCCTAGATCTTTCATCTCAAGACACACTTGAATTCCTATTAATAATTTTTCAAATCTTCAGCTTTGAATTTCACATGTTTCTTATCTAGCATTATGCCAATTCTAACGTCGCGCAATTATATGGAGCCTGAGTCAGGGCCCGCCATTATTACGTCCTGGTAAGTACTACTGGCTGTAAAGAAGCTACTTCCTTTAGTCGAGCTATGTTGAAATGGGGCCAACTGCATAAAAATAGTCTTCATGAATCTCGCGGTTAATGGATGTCTAGGCGAGGAGCACGATTCTTGCTTGGAACATTGCCATTGGTCTGTAATTGGGAACCGAGGAAACCCTTTCTATACGAAACAACTCAACGCCTGATATGTTTTCCGGGCGTTATATGTCATGTGAGTGCTTGAGAGGCCCATCAACAAGATTCTAAGTGTGGTTGGGTTGACGCGGTTTAGCCATGTTGAATAATCGTGCATCGACCAAGAAAGTCAGGAGAATTAATCTTGTCATATCAACGGCAAAAGCGACCAATTAAAAACACTACGTTATTCTCAACATTCGATTTTATATCAACCACCCGATTTTCCCAATCCAAATCGATGTTGATAGGTTCGGAAACTTCTAATGCAACACACACACACATGAGAGTTTATATAAGATTCAGCATTATTATGTCAAATCGGTGTCGAAACTGTAGGGGTTCAAAGATTTCTTGACTGGGGGTGTTTGATGTGCCATTTATTTTGTTAACTTGGATGGGTACAGGTTATCAAAAAAGCATTAGCAACGGCCAATAATGCGGAAATCTCGTCAGGAAGCAGACCGAATTCAATAATGAGACCAGACACAGGCTTATTGTTGGAATTGCGTTCCACTATCAACACCTTGCCATGCAAGTCAGCCAGCGGTTGGCTTTGTTGCTCAGCAAAAAAGTACAAAGTGACTGTTATACTCTATGCCCCCACGCAAATTCGAGTTCCATTCTAAAAGTTATTTTTCGTCAGCTTATAATCAGAGGCAACAAAGGTTCAATAAATGAATCTTAAAGATATCTGAGAAAACTGTTTTTATCACAGGCTGCAGTGGTAGTGGTGGTATCGGAAGTGCTCTCACGCTCACATTCCAGAAACTGAAGTTTCAAGTATTTGCCAGCGTTCGAGATGTCTCCAATATGTCAGCGCTCGAGGGCTTGTCTAATGTAACCTACTTGGTGCTTGATGTGACGGATCCTCAACAGATTCAGGACACGGTAGAGCTTGTCCGAAACAAGTGTGGAGGATCTCTTGATATTCTCATAAACAATGCGGGGCGTAACCATTTCTCGCCAGTGCTCGATATTGGTTTAGAGGAAGCGAAGAAAATCTACGATATCAATGTTTGGAGCCCTTTGATGCTTATCCAAAAGTTTGCGCCTCTTTTTATTTCAGCAAAAGGATCGATTATCAACGTCACTTACATTTCGGGGTACGTGAATGTTCCTTATATGGGTATGTTGGCACATACAGAATGGCTCATTGACTACTGAAAATTTGCTTCCAGGACTCTATGCGGCATCAAAACGATCTTTAGAAATTCTCAGCGAAACGCTACGTCTTGAACTCCAACCATTTGGCGTTCATGTGCCATCTATTGTCACTGGTGCGGTCCAAACAAATGGTCAGACCTATTTCGAGGACTGGAAGCTTCCCCAAGAGTCTTTGTACAAGCCTATTGAGAGTATTATCCACAAACGAGCTCGCGGCGGTGATGTTGTTCTTCGGACGAACACAATGGAGTATGCAGAGCAAGTCGTGAAGAGTATTGTTGGCCGAAACAGTGATATAGGTCTTGGTGCGGCACAAACGCTACACGGACAAAGTATGGATCAGCTATAATCCCACAGGGAATTTCGGTAAGCTTTGTGAGTAAGTAGTCGAGGATACCAAGATCTTATACTAACATTTCAAATAAAGGATGGTTTCATGGTGATGGGGTGTGGGTCGGATGAGCTTGCAAGGAAATTGAAGGACACTTGATCTTAAGGGCCTTCTCCGCTCTTCATTTCTCACCTAAATAAGAATGGAATTATACATAGACTACCTACCCGTGAAGAATACTGCGAGTATATAACACTAGTGCATGCATTTTTCCTCTCGGAAAATGCTTGGAAAGAAAGGGTATCTTTGGCAAACGGCCAGAAAAGGAAGGCGAAAAATTTGCTTGTACAGTGGCACAATATTTCATTTTTGTTTTGGAGTTACAATCACGAGGTTCCGAATATTACATGATCAACAATGGTGACCTACAACAATAAAACCTTCCCTGAGAAGTCGGTAACTGAGAGTTTCCAAACATGTCCCATACTTGCAAGTGCTTCCGACTGTATTCAAATTACGCCGTGCACAGATAGATGCCCGATGTCATATCAAGTATGTTAAAATTCTCTCCAAGGTAGATAGATAGTCATTTAACCTAAGATTACATTATGATTCCTATTGAATCCGTTCCAACAATCTTGCAAGTATGCGTTAGAAGTAAGAGAGCTGTAGTGGCTAACAAAGTTACCGAGAGGGTGTCAGACCTACATTTAACCAGCATTTGTATATAGCGAATAGAGACCACTGCATTTTTGCTACCTACTGATCTATCGAGGGTTGCATTTGCTACCGAACCACTAGGAACCAGAGGCCAGTCCGGGCTTAACGTAGTTACCGAGCGGGAGCACGAATTGAAAATTGCCAACAGTTGAAATCGAAAATCCACCCTATCATACCTTGGGATAGATGTGCCACATATTAACATTTTTAGTGGTACTGTGCAACGCAAGATATTCAAAAGAAGTTTGATTATAGCAGATGCAGGGATCCGAGAATTTGACAGAGGCGCATAAACGAGGACGGCACAGCAAATTATTTACTCGGAGACTAAGAAGGTACCACTATATCTCTAAGAGACTGCCATTCTTAGTAACCTTCGGGCATGAGGACAAAAATGGAGAACCCTTTCTTCGGATTGCAAGCCATTAAAGGTAATCTACTTACTTTGATTGCTTGCTTTCTGCTTTTAATTTCTTGGAGAGTCTATCGACTTACGATTACTCCATGGCTACATCCAGAGAATCCTAAAGAATTGCCATATTGGATTCCATGTGGGCCAACGAAGTCCCATCAAGAACCTTTTTGTGTGCACTGACATTTCAATCTTCCAGTTTTAGGTGAGCAGTCTTCGATATCACGTTCAAGCAAAACTGCAATTCGGCTCGATATTTGCCTTTGGGAAGAACGAGCTGACTTCCAAAGGACATGCGGTTTGGTTCTATAGGAATACGAATGACATCTTGGAACGTGGGAGGTATGTGCTCCGATGATCAGCAGAACTTCCTTTAAGCCGAAACAAACGCTGAGAGCTCAGAATATATTTTGGAGATACTAAAACTTTATATTCAATCACACTCGCAGGTGGACATCTTTGTGTGATCACTGGAGCGAGCGATATACAAGAGCTTTACCGAAACAGCTCGACGATAACATGGAATAATTTGATTAAAGATATGTACTCAATTGTGGGCCTGTCTCCTAGAAGCATCTCCCAAGTATGGAATAAAACTCATGAGCAGCTGGCTACCTCAGACTCAAAAAAATCCACCCGATCAGCACACGAGATGACTTCTGAATATCATCGTCAGCAATTACTCACGGCGGTCAATGCTGAGAACCTCGTCCAACGAATAATTCCAGGTCTTGAGAAAAGCCTTTCCTGGAACATATTGAGGAAACATCCCGCTTGTATCCGCACATCCGGAGAGTCTATCACGCTTTCTCTGTGGAATTGTGCAACGAGGTTATCATCAAGAGCTCAACCAACGTATATTACGGACCCAAAATCTTCGAGATAAATCCGAATCTACTGCAAGCAATGATGGCATGGGAGGCTACAAATTGGAAATCTATGTACAAACTACCTGACTTCATGGGACAAGATATGATTAGTGCCAGAAGCGAATTTATTGACACATTGTGCAAATACTTTGAGACGCCTAGGAAAGACCGGTCTGATTCACTGTATTTTGTAACCACCATGGAGGAAGAAATACGCGCAGCTGGCTTGAGTGATCGCGAAACTGCAGGAATACAAATGCTACATTTATGGGCGTAAGTATCATATCAAAAGGTATTCGAAACAGCTAACAAAGTTATAGTATCACCGCCAATGTGTGCAATGTTGCATTCTGGGCAATAGCCCACATTGTCCATAGCCCAGAATTACTTGGCCATATCCGCGCAGAAGTAGCTCAATCTATAGGAACAGATGGAGAAACGGTAGATTTGAAGTACCCTACAGAAGACTGTCCACAGCTCGAAGCTTTCTTCAAGGAAGTCCTGAGGATCAACTCAGCAGGAGCACTTGCACGCGAAGTTATCACACCCACATTGTTTAGTGGGAAGGTAATTGCGAAAGGCACAAAAGCCTTACACGCAGTCAAAATTTTCGACCCTTTGGAGGCGGTCATACACTCTGTCCAGGGCGTTTTATTGCCAAAAAATCAGTTTACACCATAGTGGCTCTTCCTTTTTCTCAATACGATGTTACTTTGGATACTGACAACGCCAATCAAAAGTTTTCACGCATAGATGAAGCTACGGCAGGAATTGGAAAAATGGCACCGATGCCTGGAGAAGATGTTAAATTGGTCATTAAGCCGGTGAGGAATTAAGGAAGAACTATTCTTTCATTGGAACCAATGATGTGGCATTGAGTGGCAAGATAGTGATGGGAATTGGATGTGTGTGTTTCTATCGAGTGGTTTAATGTATACCTAGTATAAATTATATACCTCCAATATTCAGCTTATAATTCTGTCAATTTGAACTCTCGGTGCCCCGAATAGTACTTCCAATGCATAAAACTGCTGCCCCTCCAATACAATATTCCAATGATGAGGTTCTGAATATACTATCATCTTTGTGTTTCTTGCGCATGCCCACCTGGAGGCTTACAGACTGGTAGAACAACGTAAATGATAAACCTGACTATATCCCCGAAGGACCCCCCTTTGTGAGCTCACTGGGACCTCACTCCGAAAACAAAAGATTAAGGCAGCATGTCATCTCAAAGAACAGCGAATAAATACCGTTTGCTGCTGCGATGACATTAGTTCTCTCTAATTTATTCATGATTGAACTGCAATGCTACTCAACAAATAAAATGTATTCTTATATATGAACCTTCGAAGATTGGAGGTCACTACCTCGACCATACCCGCCTGAACATCTCATATCAACCGCCAGCGCAGAATGAATTGTCCAAATGACAAGATGGGTGTTGAGAAGTTTTTACGATTCATTTTGGCATAATCATGACGGGCTGGGCGATCGGCTCAGCATGGGCGGTGAACACCAAGAATGTAAACTCTCTGGTATACCATATTTATTTTCGTCGTCCCTGTTCAGACAGTTAGATGCAAAACTATCTTACCCCATTCAATAGTTTGCTGAGCTTACAGTGAGTATCGCAAGGTAACAGCACGAGCAAGTTTCAAGAGACTAATCAAGTCTTTATCGTCGTCTGTCCAGCTCACCAAACTAGCTGTAGCTTGTATTAATGGCTTTTCGTAACTTTCATCATACGGCATCATGAAGTACAGACTTGCAAACTCGAAATGTCGAGGATACAGCCCGGAGGAACCCCAATCGATGAGACTTATTGTATTGTCGTCTTTCAGGATCATGTTGCGCCGACATAAATCCATATGACACAGAACAAGTGGATGTGAAGTTAGATCGATAGATTTATCACGTATTTCCAAACGTTTGTTAAGCCAAGCTTCTAAATCTGATATAGAGCTAAAGGATGTCCCCGCACCATTATCACCCCAAAGATAGCCCTGTGGCCGACCCCCACCCACAGGACCTGGGACTTGCCCGCTCTGAATTGTTCCAAGATGCTCGATAATTTTGGCAATCCGGGGAACAACATCTGTGTGTTCATCAAGGTTGAGCTCGTTTAGCTGCAGGCCAGGCACATACTCCATGAACAAGTAGCCAAAATCTTTCCAGTCGAAGTAGCGGTAAACTTGGGGAATATGAACAATTTTCGAATCGACGTTTTGACATGCGAATCTTTGAGTCTCTGCCTCAGAAGCCATCACACCAATTCCAAACTTGGCTACTATATTCTCCGATAGCTTGACTACCCTATCTCCTCCATAGCAGCCTCCGATCATTTTATCTTCTTTATGAGCCTGTCGCAAAGTCCAACCAGCCATTCCTCACTGACTGTCTGAATATCCCACGATAAGTCTGTCATAGTTGTACTGTGATAGAAGATTTGTCAATTTTAAGACAATAAATACAATGAGAAGTTTGTGTTTGTAATATTAGTCCCTCGGAAATGGATGTCTATTAATAAATTCCAAAATCTCGACTACCAGACTGGCCTTCAATGCCAAGCGCCCTGGCATAAGTCCGTGCCCTGGAAATATGTCAACTAGTCGCGGAGTCTCTACGTAAGGGAGATAAGCGCCCGAAATTGAGTACCTTTACGAAGTCTTGATAAATCAAGTAATTCTTTCTGATGAATGAACGAAAGCTTTTTTGGCTGCAGAATTAAAGAAAACATAAGCCGAATTTTCGTACTATTCTTTTAAATTATACGGTTTTATTGAAGATTGACTTGCAATTCTGAATAATTCATGAGATTGAAGTATTCAATTCCGACCATCTCTTTCGCTTACGTAGAGCGGGTCTTTTGAAGGGCCGGGTAATATACGCGATCTGACCAAACATTCTGCGATCCCTTGAAATTTGGAAATGATATTGAGAGATCAATTACGAAGTCGAAGTTGATTTGTGTTTCAAAGTAGTCAAATACGAGTTGATTCTGGTAAAGAAATTCGCTAAATTTCGAGTCCGGTCTTCGAGGGCGACTCGCCCAAGTGATAATACAATAGATATAACGGTCGTGAAGAAAATCACCAAGATAACTGGAGTATTCCCACTCCCTCGAACATATGAATCCAAAGACTAGCAATAAACTCTACGTGAGGAAAAAAGCCTATGGCTGAGCGGGATTTGATGATCGACTAAGCGGTAGGATTTTCTTGCATACAACTAAACGTAAGAGGCTATACGGTCATCACGTCTAATTCTAAACATTGAAATTATTGCGAAGCACAGCATTGAGCCAGAGAAGATCTCTTTCGTTTATTGTATCCAATCTTGGATACTGGAGATTATTGCAATGGATCTAAGTGTTCCTGTTGTCAAATCAAAGTTGATTGCTCGTATCTGACGACTGCATGATTTGCATGATTTTGGTTGTTTGATGGCCTACTTCGTTTATCACTGAATCCTAATAGTGATTTTCTCTTACGATTTCAGTATTCTGGTTCCCCGCGGTGCAAGATTTGAAATGCTAATTATGGCAATGCCACCTTATACAAATCCATCTGGATACCATTCAGGTCGTCGTCGGGCTTTGTAACATGTCAATCATCTGGTGTCCATTCGATCGTACGATGAATGTTGGATAATTATCAGCATCGTACGTAGTACCTTTGCGATTGATCATGAATACAATGCAAACAATGTTTATATAAAAGCTCTCCAAGCTGGTAGTTCCAGAAAAAGCACAAACAGACAAACAGAACACATATCAAGCTTCATCCAACAAACCACTACAACTAACAATTCCAAATTTGACATAAAATGTCTTCCCATGGGCGTATCAAGCCTTCAAGTTCGCGCACAAAGCCTAGGGAGTCAAGTTCGGCTACTCGTGATGTCGAGGACCGTGACTTTGACCTTGATGTCCACACAATTCGTGTGACCGTTCATACCACAGGCAAGTTCTTCGAAGGCGACACTCGCAGTGGAAACCACGCCTCAATCTTCCTTCTCACGTCAAACAATGCTTCAGTCCGCCTTAACATGACAAAACTATCAGCAGACGCCACGATGGGCACATATCAGATGATATATTGCAGGTACCAAAGGACAAATAGTTCGCTAAGAGACTTCGATCTCACCGCTACCGGTCGAGGTTTAAAAGTTGGGCACGTTTTGGAGCTGGTCAAAAAGAAAAGACGTAACGAGTATCAGTTAGCTCGAAGCGGCCTGGGCTGTAGACACTGGGTGTAAGTGACGTACTCTAAATTCACAAACCTTGAAACTGATTTTTTGTCATAGGAAAACCGTTATTAGAGACTTTAATGATGCCGGATTTATCTCATCTTCAAGCACTCTTACAACCGAAGACGCTATTAATGGCTTGAGATATAACTACTCGAAAGGCAAAGATCCCGAGCCAGAAAAGATTGATCCGGGTACTTTCGTATCAGATATACCAAAGAAAGTGAAGAAAACACAGAACACTGATACAAGAGGCACCGGATCTGGATCTTACAAAAGCACAGGCTCCGCTCCCGAAGGAGGAAAACGTCGTTAAGATAAACAAAGGTTTCAAGGCAATACTATAGAAGATTTGACGTTATGCGAGTATTTTGGAATATCAGAAAGATGGGAAATATATAGAGACCGATGATCAAAGCAGTGTTTATATCTACACTGTAAAATGAAGGTGTTTTATAAAATTGTTTGTGTAATGTAAGATTACATTCGGGTACGAAAGAGTTGGGAGTTAAATTGAAAACGGAACGGGAAAAATTTGTATCTAAAACCGATATAGTTAACACTCAAAAGCATTGAGATATGACGAGAAAATTTCCCTATCTCTAAGCTCGAATGGAATGAGATCCACAGCCTCTTCCATTTATTTATTCTGAAAGTACCCATTAACTCAAATATAAGAAATATGACCAAAACGAAACCTCAGATATACTCTTTCAATAATTTATTCGGGATTGCTCAATCGACTTGTTCTTCAGTGTGAGTTTCTAGAACGAAATTTCCAAGTCTTAAGTTCACTTTCAACAGTTCAATGATACTCGCATTGCATATAATTACTTCAGCCGCAAGGAAAACAGGGCTCAAATCAACAATAGCTGAAAGCAGAATCGCGAAAGGATAAAGTGGGTGAAAATACTTTTTCGATTAAGATGCCAATTGACCATTGACTAGATGTACTCCCATAAAAATTTAGAGTTATTGAAATACTACTCGCTAACCTTCACAACCACCTTTCCAAAATGACCCCCGTTGTACAAATACTTCAACCCCTCTTTGGCCTCCTCAAACCCAAATACCTTATCAACCACCGGTCTAATCTTCTTTTCCTCATACCACTCCAACATTTCCTCAAATCTCTCTCTTGGTCCGTTCAAAATCCCCTTCAACGTAACGTTTCTTCTCAGCGCAAGAACATTTGTATTCGTACGATCTGCGTTGTCATCTTCTTTCCCGGAGAGATATCCAATAGCATTAATTAGTCCACCAAAAGCAATTGCATCGAATGATTGACGAAGCGTCAAGGCACCGCCTGTTTCAAAAATATTGGAAACGCCCTCGTTATGAGTGATCTTCATTACTTCTTCGGACCAGATGGGTGTGGTACGGTAATTAATTGTGTGGTCTGCGCCGAGGGTTTTGGCTTGAGCGAGTTTGGCGTCAGAAGAAGAAGTTATGATTACTAGATAACTTTTAGTTGCTTGAACTTTTGGGATGATAAGTCAAAATTACCTTCCATGCCACTGGCTTTGGCAATTTGCAATCCGCTGATTGCTACTCCTCCAGTTCCTTGAATTAATACTGTTTCTCCTTTTCCGCCCGGTTGTCCAAGCGGTCTCATGCCATTGATTGCCATCCAAGCTGTAACTCCAGCAATTGGTAATGTACAAGCTTCTTCATCGGTTAGATATTCTGGCTTTTTGACCAAACCCTCGGCATCAAATACACGGTACTCTTGCAAACAACCTTCGGTAGGCAATCCTAATCCACTAGCCATGTCCTTTCCAGTCACTTGACCACGAACATGTGTCTGATTGAAGATTGCAAGTACTCTATCACCAGACTTCCATTTTGAGGATTTGGATGATACAATTGTTCCAGAAATATCGGAACAGGGAACCAGAGACGAGGACTCGTTGCCAGTAGTTTTGTGGTGGTTGTAAAGGCCCATTATCACTTCAGTATCTCGATAATTGAGAGCCACAGTGTGGATTTTAACAAGCACTTGACCATCTCCAGGTGTTGGGACTGTAGATGACCCTAGAGTAAGATTTTGGAGACCGGATTGTTGGGTAGTCCATTGCTTGTTGATGCTTGGGAGTGACATGATTAATTCGAGATCGAGGGAATAAAGAAATAGAGGAAAGAGAAATATGGAAAAGCGAATACAATATAACATAATGAAAGAGAAAAATCAAAGATGGAAAATTTCAAATCGATCTTGAATTACAAAGATATTGCTCTTTGACCCACCAAAGATTCTTGCCATTGAATCATCGTTGTGGGGAAGCCCGAATTCCCGATGAATCTGGATCCTACACATTTGCCCCACAAGTAAACGCCTTGGTGCATGAAGAACAATTTCAGATTCTCGCCCCATCAGATTAAGCAGATATGACAGATCTTGATGGCAAAGATTATATTGTAATCATTTCCAAGTAACAATTGCCTCTACATTGTCGTCTTATCGTCATCGTCATCATCATCACTATCTTCTCCTGCTCTCATCATTTCTAGCTCACCGTTCAACATCCTCTGCCAATTATCCGCGAATTCTCTCATACCACCCTCCCCGCTTGCACCGGCTTCCACCACTTCTTGTGGCATCTTGTGTGCACTGTATTGTGGACTTGAAAAGCTGTATGCTTCTGGGTCATCTTTCTTTATTAATCTGAACTCAGGCATCCATCCAAGTTCCTCAACATCATCAGTTCCCTCGTCCTCATCACTACTTTGAGCAGGCAATGGCGGCACTGATGATGAATCTGCTACACCGAGTAATGGCGAAGGTACAGAAAGGGTGAGCAGTTCTAGCCACGAGAACAGAAGTGGATCCGTCCGAGGAGCCCATGGATTTATATCCACCAGCCGTACTTTATCAAATGGATCTGGTAGGTAAACATCAAATGAGAAGTTACGATCTGGAAAGGTATCTTTGAGAGTTTTATCAAAGTATTCTTGAATAACTTCTCTTAGAGTTGGAATGAGAGAAAACAAGAACTCAAAGTAGTTCAAATCTCTTTGGCATATGCCAATGATTCTTCGATCTCGTACAAAGCATCGAAACTCGCATGATGGATTAACTTTAAACCATTTCCGTAATACCAAAACATATTGTGTATTTTCCTTCGTAATGGACGAATCCTCTGCACAACCATCGAAAGCGTGTTCTAGATCGTGGGTAATGAAGTCGGAAGATTTGAGGAGGAGGTAAATGTCGTTTGGTGTGTTGCATTCCATACTGTTCTGTTTTAAACTAATCCATGTGGCGTCCTTTGGAGCAGACCAGTTGAGTTTGGGAACCACTGATCCACCAAGTTCTGCGATTGTCTCTTGTATTTGCTTGTGAATCTCCGAGAATTTTTCCGAGGGGTCAGGACCCGTATCTGTATCTTCATTCCAGCCATCACTAGTTGAATTGTTGTTGTATGTTTCTGGTGGAGGAAATGTAGCAATTTCAGATGGAAGAACTATGCCATCTTCCCGTAGATATGAAAGAAACTCGGAACTGAGAGGAATGATTCGAGATTTGAGAGTTGAGGATCGATATCTTGATATATGTTAGCAATTTTCGAAGGGACACATGGGAGCAAAAATATACTTTGCATGCCAATTGTCATATGAGCAGTTCAAGATGTGCGATTTAGTGATAGGTTCGAATGGAAGTCTGGTGAGGGGTTCAGCCTCAGTGATTCCAGCTTCTGAACTATTGGGAGCTGGCATTTTTCATATAAAACCTTGACTGTGTGAATATTTTTGGACTGATATAGAGACCTAGAAGAAATGATTATATCTGAAGAATGTATATGTTGTGAGTCAGAGTGATCCCTTCACATCAATGTTCCATCTTATCGAGGGGCAATCAATATTTTTGGGGATTCTGCCACGCTAGTCGTAGACCGCCTGCAATAGCAAGGATTTGTCAATTGTTCTCCACTTCACCCACCACCAGCTTTCTCACCAGCCAGCAATCATCTAGGAAAGAACAACTGATATCACAACTTGAGCATTTCGCAATCATGTCTTCCAACGTCGGTCTTACAACACCTAGAGGAAGTGGAACTTCAGGTTATGTCCAAAGAAATCTTGCGCACATCAAGCCCCGCGATCAAGGCAAGCCATATCCTACGGATATCGACAGTCTCAGACACAGACAACGACAACCAGATAAAGGAATCCTTGAGCATGATAGAAAACGGGAAGTCGAGGTCAAGGTGTTTGAGCTGCGCGACAAATTAGAGGAAGAGGGGTACGTTTTTGGACACATTTACCAATCGCCCAGGAGCTAATGATGTATACAGAGTCGATGAAGAAGAAATAGAAATTCAGGAAGAGGCATTGCGCAAGAAGCTATTGAAGGAGATGGAAAGAGGTAACGGACCAAGTAGGAAAGGTTTAAAGATGCATCAAGTCCATGAATTGGCAGAAGCAAAGATCAAGCAAGATAATAAGTTCAGGAGTGCCTTGGGTATTTCTAAGGACTACAAGGAAGGTGGCCATTGGCAAAAGCAAGAAGAGAGACAGAAAGCTGCAATGGAAAAGAATGGCGAAGGATCTGCGGCTCCATCCGATAGATGAGCGCCAAAAGACGACATACTAAAAGGCTTCGACACGACTACATATTGAACGATTGTATTGGGGCGTTGCGCGATCAGAGAGCTGGTCCTCCGAATGGACTTATTTTTCTGGGATATAAATGGATCTAATTATTTGTAATAGGCTGGAGCCCTACATCAATTGGTATGAATGTTGAAGGTTAGACATATACCCTCACGATTCCTTTCTCTATACACTCTAAGTCTCAAATGTTCACAGCTTGTGCTTCTTCTCACCACTTGCGATCTTTCTAAATTCCTCTTGTGGTATTCCAGCAGCGAATCTTTCCAGTCCACCAAAAACCTCCGCTACACCCTGTGCGTCAAGCAAATCTCTCTCCGGTTTTCTGATCAACGCCTTGATCTTAATCAAACTATCGCCGATCAAATGCGTTCCCAACCGATTATCTATCTCTTCGAATACCAACTCTTTGAACTTCTCGGTCTCTCCCTTTTGAACATCGAAAATCTTGTTCACGAACCCAACTTGCAGCAATTCTTCGGCAGTGATTCTCTTACTCATAATAAGGGCTTCATTTGCTTTGCTGATTCCCAAACGTTGGACGAAAGCTCTCGAAGCTCCTCCTTCTGCAACGAGCCCCAAACTAGAGAAAGGGGTCAAAAGGAAAGTTTGAGGTGTGCAGTATATGAAGTCTGAAAAGGCGATTAAAGCAGCTGAGAGACCGACTGCTGGACCATTTAGGGCTGTGACGAGAATTTTTGGGTGTGTATAGAATGCGTTGGTTATGTTGAGGTTATTCGCAACGAAGCTAGTCAGCCAATGACGAGCTAAATCAGTTCCAACAGGTTTTTCTCTACTGATCGATACATCGGCTCCTCTATGTATTGATTAACATATGGCTACTATCAATTAGTGGAGGAGCTTTACGCTGAGAAGTACCGTCCTAAGATTTTAAGTCAGCAAGGTCTCTCTCACAATTGATATTACAGAACATACCCTTTCCTGTCAAAACCGTGACGAAAACTTCATCATGGGTAGCAATTTCTCTCATGAATTTAGCTATGAGATAATAACCATCTTGTGTCAAAGCATTAAGCTTCTTCTCATTATCGATAGTGATAACTGCAATTCTACCCTTGTACTCGAGAGTTACTGGTTCGTTTTGAGCCATTTTGAATGCTTCCGTGGTGCTTGTTTGATTTTGGAAGTGAAGAATGATATTGTCAAAAAAGCATAACACGGTTGCAATCAATCAACAGTAATGATATCAAGAAAGTTACAAATAGATCTCGAATAGTTCAAACAATGGGACCCAGCAACCTATTAAGCTCATTTGTGGGGTAGCCGATTGCCTCGGTTTCCAAAATGCGACCAGAGATTCGGAAAGCCTCACGACCTGCAGCTGGAGGAGAACCCAACTACAAAAAGGCAAAGTACGAGACAGTGTTTTGACTGAGCTTTATAAATTAATTCGATAGGGATATTGAAAGTTTCGATTGTCAATCATAAATAAGAAGATTTAATTATCAAAACTATAATGGACATTCTCATTGACCGGCGCTCATTGACTATGGTTTGTAACCACAGATTCGCATGATATGATTGGTTGATTGTGAAGTCTCGATACTCGCATGATTTTTTATGGAATTTACATCGAGCTTCGATTTTAATGTAGGAACAAGAGAAGACATCCACATAATTAAACTTATTATATCGCAACAATAGACCACATACTACAATCATGGGAGGCCCCAATCTCGAAGTGTTCAAGGTAAGCATTACCATACCAAATCCCAATGACCCATTTCGCCAGTCTCATTGCCACCTTGAAATGCCCCTCCATGAATTACAATCTGACAAGCCAATAGTTCGGCATGTATATCATGTTCCCAATCGCCATCATGTACTATTATGGCACAAATCTTGATCAACGATTTTCAGTTCCGGACTTCTGGCCCAGAGTTGATCAGACTAATCGTATACCTTTTGAGAGGGACGAGATCAAATCAGAGCTTGAGAGGTTAAGACAGAAGAGACTGTACTTGAGAGAGCAGAGGGTGCGGGGTGCCAATGGATCAAACGAAGAGGGGAAATGAGAAGAACACGGCTATGAAAAATGCAACAATAGGATGGTGGCATATGAAGGGAGTTGAAGACCGAGAATTTTACGGGGCGATATTGGTACAAAATGGGCTACAAGGGAGGCTGGCGTTCTATGAGCACATATGAGGAGTATGTCGCATGGCTGGTAGAGGACCGGCAGAGGACTTGCATATTCTGCTCGGAGTTTTAAAGGATGGAGCCAGATTATTCGATATTACTTAAATTGTGGCGGAGGGGTGAGGGATGCTTTCTGCTATGGTACAAGTCCCTCCTACTGTACATCTAGTTTACATTCTACGTTTATATGCGTTTAAACCAAATATAATACCCCTCTCAATCAGTCCAATCCACTGATCAAATCTTCCCATCTTCCATCGTCGATATTTCCCTGTACCACATTCGCATAAATGCCTTGGACATCGGAGTTATCTCTTGTAGCCTCAATGAAAGAAATCAGTCTATCCGTAGCCTCCCCTGCGTCGACTGGCACATTTGTATCTTCATTCGGATCCCATAGGATATCTGAACTTCCGATTTTAATATCGAATTTCTTCTGTAGAGCGTCCCCAGCTACTGTTACCATATTCGGTTCCGTCCAAACGACAATGTTTCCCTCATCGTCGACTTCTAAATCCTCTGCTCCTGCTTCGATTGCCTCATCCATTACATCATCTACGCCTAGATTTTTCTCGTCTTTTTCGAATGTAACGCATCCTTTCTTCTGGAATAGATATGCAGTCGGTGTAACAGTTCCTCCGTGTGTTTTAACCAGATGTCTCAAGTCCATCATCGTACGATTAACGCTGTCCGTTTCGGCTTCGATTATCATGGCAACTTGTGGTGGCATAATACATTCTAACGTGGCTTTCTGCAGCGCAGCTCCAGTTGTAGATTTTCCTTGTCCACGGGCTATGGCAGCTTCCATAGAAGCTTTGGGAAAACCAGCTATGGCATTGTAAGTATATGTATGTACATGTCGATGTCGAAGGGAATGTACCCCATTATGTACCTTTCTTCGCAGCAGCTAGGACAGTCGCCAGTCTTGGGTTTATGTATGGATCGGCTCCATGTACTTGAATTGTAGATTAGTATCATTAGCAATATGAATGGCGTACCAGAAAACACACATTTTACAGCCAGCGCAATATCATGCGCAATGATAGAACGAGCTTTCGTCTTTTTTGCATCCACAGCACCCTTGTCATGCTTGATTTTCGACCATCGATTGTGACCTGAAGATACCGCTGACGTAGTGGAAAATTGTAGACATTTCGAACAGATATAATCGGTTCGAAGGAAAGGTCTAAGACCTCTAGAAAATGCTGGCATGTTTGTCATACCGAGAATGAAATTTAATATTGAGTTGAGACTTATGAATTGAGCTCTGAAAATAAATATTGTTGTGGCTTCCGATTGGCTGAAACTCGATCATCATCGCGAACACCTCTGTAAATTGGTACAAGTAAAGGAGCCAGCAATGAGGCCAGAACCACTCCACAAATGTCCAGATTTCACACGGACATTGAACACAACAGATACAACGGATATTAAATAATGTCATCGACAGCTCGACCAAGCTCTCATAATGGCTCAAGTGAACTTCCTGGCAGATTAGAGCCATCGCCCACCCCCGAGCTAGACATCAAGAAGCTCCAATCCCTCCCATCAGAACAACAAGACTTATATCTCCTCAATTTTGTCTCGACGCTCACGAAGCATGTGGAAGGCTTGGAACCAGACGACTGTACCGCTCAACAGCTTTACCTCAAGAAAGAACTCTTTCAAATACTCAATCTCGCAGCTCCTCCTCCTACGAGAGTCATTCGAAATAATTTGGGACGATGTTTCGCACATGTGCTAGGGGAAGGGGATAGGAAATTGCTGTTCGAAACGATTAATGATCTGGTTACAATCATCAGTAATGGGAAGACAAAGACAGACGGGGATTTCAGGACGAAACATGCAGCTGTTTACTGTTTAGGGGATGTATTCGCAGCCGCTGGAGACAGCGCAATTGGGTTACATTCTTTGGCATGCAGTGCTATACTCAAGCTATTGAAGTCCGCGCAAAACAATGCGGGTCTACGAGCGGCGATATTCAAAGCTGCGAGCAAGATTGTAGGAATGGTTGCGACAAGTATGGACGACACAATCGCAAAGGACATATGGAAACAAGCAAGAACTTATGCTTCGAGTGAGAAGTCAGCCTTGGTACAGATTGCTGCATGTAAATGCTTGAGGAGTCTGTGTAAAAATACGCAGTACTATGATAATTCAAGCGAGTTCGAAAGTTTAAAGTCGACGATCTTCAAGACTATAGATTCGCCCAGCGCATTGGTTCGACAGGCAGCAGCAGAATGTTTGGCAGAGGCATTAGTGAAGAGTCATTCTGAGGAGCCTCCCCGGGATAATGATATACCAATAATCAAGAAGATCAAAAGGACGAATACCAATAAACGTTCATCCGTAATAGCTGGACAGGGGCTTGACGACGATGAAATGCCCTCGAGGCCTGGAACTCCCACCGGTAACAAGAAAAGTCAAATACTCGTTCTTACACTGCAAGAGATATTGAAAGTATTGTCGAATCAGTATATCAAAATATCTACAACTAACAGAGCTCGCGCCGGAATAGCTGTCTGCTACAGTCGTATATTCAAAAGCATGAGCGAAAGAACGGTTGAGACGATGTATATGCAGATTGTGGACCATCTTACTGTGGAACTTCTAAGCCATGCAAACATAACCTGTAATAGATATCGTTTGTTAAGCACACGTAAATTTGTGCAAATCATCCTCGAAGATGTTGTCGGCCATTCCATACTTGGCGAATCTGGACAATTGGACGCTGCAAAGTCCTTAGTCAATGACATTCTGAAAAACTACCCCCAAGTTATCAAAGAGAGAGCTGAGCCTTCGAAGCACACGCTCATTGCCACTCTAAGCGCACTGGCCTCGTTGATCAAAACTTTGGGGTCAGCCGCGAATGTAATTGCCGAAGGATGTCGGGATGGACTATTGCAAGTCCTTCAACATCCAAGTTACACGGTTCAAATATATACATCATATTGTTTACGAACGTTTACTCTGGCTTGTCCCCAGCAACTTCTGCCATGTCTTACTATTTGTATGAACAGCGTCAACCGAGAATTGAACTTGCTGAATACCGGACGAAACTCACCAAGGCGATGTGTAGGGTATGCCAATGGGCTGTCTGCCATGATTAGCACAGCAAACTTACAACCGCTTTACGGCTCAGTCGATGTTAATAGTCGTGTCCTTTCCCTCGCGACCAACCTTCTCAAGTCTAGTAGTAAATCGGAATTGCGTGTCTCAAGCACTCAAATTCAGGTCGCTTGGATCCTTATAGGCGGGTTGATGTCGTTAGGACCGAATTTTGTGAAGATTCATTTATCTCAATTGCTTTTACTATGGAAGAATGCATTGCCAAAGCCTCTTGCAAAAGACAATACTTCTCAACGGAGTTTTCTCGAATCATCCTTTCTCACTCACGTTAGAGAATGTGCTCTTGGCTCTATTTTGGCGTTCCTGCAATTTAACAGCCGCCTCCTGACTGCAGACGTTTCTAAGCGAATTGCTGCCATGCTTACAAATACTTCGGCGTTCTTGAAGAGTCTCCCATCGAAAAAGTTGTCGGATGATGTCACCCAACGATTGACTCCATCGTTGCAATTACAAGATCTTGATTTGATGGTTCAGCGTCGCGTTCTTCAATGTTATGCCAGACTGGTTACGCTTAGTCCAGTTGGCGGAAGTGAAGCACTACTACAATCGAATCTTCTTACGCTTGCTGTGTCATTCTTTGCCGATCCTGAAAATTATAGTCCGAGTTCCTTATCCACGTCAATTGCGAGCTCAGCAGGTAATTTCGAAACCGTCTGGGATGTTGGAGACAATTCTGGCTTTGGGGTCACAGGCCTGGTTCGAGGCTTCAATGTACAAAAGCTGGCTTCTGAACAAGAAAATGGATCTCAAGATGACTGGATAAAAGAAACGGGGTCAGATATTGACATATCAAACGTCTTGTTATCTCCTATTTGTAGCTCCCTTGAGCATGACTCCATTTCGCTCTATTTGGGTGATATCCAAAAAGAAGATAGTCTACCAGATCCGCCCGCTACAGAAGTCGTCAACATCGCTATTAGATTATTCGCAATCGCTTTCCCGATCACTCCCCCCAAAATCCAGGAGAGTATACTAGAACAGATCGCTACGTTCTTATCCACTGGTGCACTCCAACGAGACCCTGGACGCAAAGCCGCTATCAACGTCAATATTGCGACCGCTTTGTTTTCCGCGCTGAAGGTGGCTGTGAAAGAGACATCATCCCCCCTGGCGACCTCACCAATCCTGCTGTGGAGAAGCTCATGCAAGAAATTCTTAGGTCATTTGTTGTACACCAAGATCAATATGTACGCAACATTGGCTATGAGTCTCTAGCTCGACAGTGTAATATTTCCGGTAATACATATACCAACTTGGAAATCAAACACCTGATTGATACCATTGTGAGCAACCGTGAGCCGAGCGCTAGAGCTGGTTGTGCAATGGCACTTGGGTGCATTCATTCTCAAGTCGGAGGAATGGCAGCAGGCTTTCACTTGAAGACGATATTGGGAATTTTAATGTCATTGTGTAATGATCCACATCCTACTGTTCATATCTGGGCGCTCGAGTCACTATCACGTGTCGCGGAATCAGCTGGTTTAACATTTTCAGGTTATGTATCGAGTACGCTTGGCATGCTGTGCCAATTGTATGTTTCGGATACACATAACGAGGAAATTTCTTCCCTGGCTACTTCAAATCTAGAATTGGACTTATCTACAACTGCTGTTATTGCACGTTGCATAGATTCTTTGGTCAATGTTCTTGGCCCTGATCTTCAAGATATGACCAAAGCTCGAGACCTGATACTTACTATGGTAGGACAGTTTGGGGCAGAGGAAAACATTTTAGTCTTGGCTGGTAGTCTGAAATGTCAAGAACATTTAGCGCTATATGCTCCAGGTCACATGGAATTCGTAGATTATGTTGTCCTTCTCCAGAAAGATCTCAAATCCGATATTTCTTTACTGAGAGACATCGCCATTGACGGTCTATACAATCTTATGAAGCGTAATTCGGAGGATGTTGTAAAGGCGGCTGAGACTGGTTTCGAAGATCAACTTTGGCTGGCTTTGGATTCAGACCCCGCACATGACGGTATCAGGAACGTTATCCGGAATTGGTTACAACAATCTTGTTTGACAGAAACTCCACGATGGCTACAAAGATGCCAAACTGTCCTATCGATGACGCGACCCAAAGCAGAAGATTCCACAGCAATATCTGCAAAGGTTAGTGCCATGCCTGATCTGCAGGATGAAGAAGTAGCAGGGTTCGCAGCTGCTTCCGGTATGACCAAAGATACGAATGCCCCTGCTGCGGGTCAAGAGCCACTTAGATGGCAGGTTCGAACATTTGCCATGAGCTGTTTGGGAGAAATATTTGCATTGGTTAGCAAGGATCTAGCAGCTAATGGTAGTTCAGCCGCGGAAGTTGCTTTACAAAAGAGGGTTGCCGATGTTATTCGAATGGCATTTTCTGCCTCCACATCTAATGTTGTGGAGCTCCGAGTCTGGGGTTTGAAGATAATCGATGCAGTGTTGAAGATGTTTGGCCATACACCAGATCCTGATTTTGCCGAGGCGCCACTTCTAGAGCAATACCAAGCTCAGATTAGTTCTGCTCTTACGCCAGCTTTTGCCGCCGACTCCTCGCCCGAATTAGCGTCTGAGGCTGTCAACGTTTGTGCGGCTTTCATTGCTACTGGTATTGTTACTGATGTCGATCGAATGGGTCGTATTCTCAAAACCCTGGTGACTGCACTGGAGAACTTCTCGACGGAGTCTGAAGTTGCATCTATTGGAGATCTGAAGGGCCTCAGTTCTAATGCTCAGGTCATGGTCAAGATGGCGGTCTTCTCTGCTTGGGCTGAGTTGCAAGTAGCCAGCACAGAACAAAAGTATCTTGTGGATGTTCTCAAACCATACATTGGTACATTGACTCCACTATGGCTTGCTTCATTGAGAGAATTTGCACGTTTAAGATTTGAGCCAGATATTTCGATGAGCTTAGGTCCCCCATCTTTGTCTGGCAGTCTAGATAGTATTTATTCTGCATTGAACCGAGAGACTTTATTGAGATTCTATCAAGATTCATGGCTCAAGCTTGTTGACGCTATCGCTAGTCTCATTGAACAGGATAGTGAATTTGTGTTCAATGCTCTTGATGGCAAGGAAGCTGATGCTCCTTCGACAAATGGAAATTCGAAAGGGAATGATATCAACTACCGAGACGAACCAGTCGCATTCTTCTTTGTTCTATTCGGTATTGCGTTCGAAGCACTCGTTGCTAAACCTGGAAGTGAGGCCCTGGCATCAAAGGGACAGACACTCGAGATTTTGCAGGCTTTGAAGAAGATCTTGCATCCTAGTGTGTCTGGACATGCGATATATAGAGAGGCAATATTTTCAGAAACTATGGATCTACTAGACCGACTCGTTCTTACCGAAGGTCTTGATGTTCAAACTGTTATTGTGCAAATCGCAAGAAGTCTGTGCATTTCCCATCCATCGGCCACCAAGGCGGACGTGGCCGAGGGTGAGGATCTTTCGGAGGATATCGAACAGCTTTTTGAACTGACTAGAATTATTGTTTTGGTACTTGCTGGTCTGCTACCAAACTTGATTGAAGCACAGCAACCAGCTCGTCATCCACTAACAGATGAAGCTGTTTCTTTGGTCAGAGTGTCTCTCAATGCATTGGTTGATGCTGCCGAAGTTTTTCCATCGATAATTAAAACAGATCTGCACGCTTGTATCATTCATATATTTGCTACCATCCTTGGAACAGGAAGTTGCCAAGCCGTGGTAGTCCCTCAATCGCTCCCAATACTCAAACGATTCATCACGAGTGTCTCCGCATCGTATAAAACACAAAATCCTAAACACAATACCAGCATCATACAATTACAAGGTTGCCTCAAACGATTCTTATCGATATATATGAACGCCCAAAAGCGAGAGACAGAAGTATCTCTACCATGTGTCAAAAACGCTCTCCTTGCTTCAACATTGTTGCTTACTAGTGGGACAAATCATCTATCTGCTAGTGAGCCACTTGTCACTCGTTTCCTGGATGAAGTCGTAGATTGCTTGAGTGATCGAATGGTAAGATACATTCTTTTCAGCGAGTGAACTTTACTAATATAATTGTACAGACCGCAAAAGTAGCAGCAAACTGCATTCGCAGTCTCCTTCTCACAAATCCCAAAACAGCGGCAGATCAAACCATTGCGCGTTATCTTTTACCCCTCTTGATTACCTTCAGCACAAATACCGCAGCTGAAGACCCTGAAAATGCCAGAGCACTAACATTGCATGCCCTAACAGCTTTCGTTGTTTCACTTGATGGCAAACAAAGAGCAGTAGCTATGTCTGTAGTCATACCTACATTATTGAAACGCGCGAATGGCGACGGGGAGAAAGTTTGGAAGGAAACTAATGCAAGATTGCTTGAGATGGCGGCGGCTGATCCAACAGCTTTTAGAGCAGTAGTTGGTGGAATGACGGCAGAGCAGAAGGGGTTTATGGAGGGAGTTCTGGTTAAAGGCAGAGAGGGGGGAAGGGGGAAGATGGATGAAGATGAGGAGGGGGGAAGAGAACCCACGATTGCTTTGAGGATGGATTTTGGTGGATAATGGAGGAATGGGATGGAGAGGAGGATGAATGAAATAGAACAGGAAGGAAAGTAAAGGAAAGTAAAATGTTGAGTTTGCATAGAGTGGAGTAAGGATTGTATGTTGGGATGATTATGGGATGTGGAAATAGCATTGAATGATAGGATGGGATAGATATTAATATTAAGTGGAGATATTATTCTGCGGTTAAGCAAAGGGAAGTGGTATTCTCAAATGCGCCTATTCATGTCCTGCTATGTGCTGTTTCTCCTGTTTGAGAGTCCTTCCTGCTCTACTTCGTGTCCAACTTAATATCCGAAATACCATAATCAAATCTATATCCAGTCCCATCTAATTACTTCCAGCGCAATGTCACTTCCCTTGGACCAATCTAACACCTCACATTTCAATTACATTCATCCCTGGCTCGAAACACTCCTTCGCTCATTCAACAATCCATCTCCTGAAATCTACCGTCTGATCATCCTCCGTTCCCACTCTATCGTCTGACTCTCGGTCCTTGTAGGCGGAGAGAAGAAATCCGCAGGACCGTTGCCGGTTCTGGCGCTTTCCGGGTAGCTGAGCTCGAAGTGGAGGGCGGAGAAGGGCTTTTTGAGGGAGCGCCAGATGGAATTGAGGGTGAGGGACATGGTTTGGTTTTGGTTTTGGTTTTGATTTTGGTTTTTGAGTTTTGCTGTAGGAGGATGGTTCTGAAGAGTTAAGAGAAAGTAGACAGGAAGGTTTAGTGTTTTTAAAGGTTTGAGTTTGAGGTATGGTGATGTTGTGTAACGTGAGCCGATGAGGTGATTGGCAAGGACTGTTCTCACTATTCTCGGAGTTGAGGAGATTGAATTGGGAATTATGTATCTCAGTTTTCATAAGGAGGAAGCAGCTAGTATATATACCCATCTATATCTCTATATCCAGCCCTACATAAGTACTCATACATGTATGAACCGAACCATACCCGAAATCCCCCTGTCTCTCTCCCAACCCGAGACGAAGAAGAGAAAAACCAAGCCCCGAAAATCGCAATTTTTATATCCGAAAATTTCTAGAATAATTGTATCCCTAGCTACTGTAGTATGAAAAAAAAATTATCTCATGATTTTTCTTCTCGTCACTTATCGAGTCATGATGTGAATGGCCAGTTGTATCGCCACATACCGAGAATTCCCCATTTTTTTACCGAGATGTTGGATATTTTGGGGGTGAAAATTGCGATGGTTTCTCGACGGGTTTTGGTTGGAGAGGGATGTTTTTCGGAGGTTTACTACCTAGTTGGTTTGGATTACGAGTGGTTCGTGCTGTGTTTTTTTATTTTGGTGGGATGGGATGGAAGTTGTAGGTGTTGGGGTTTCGGACGAAAGGAAGAGAGGTCGAGGTAGGATAGGATGGAAAGAGCGGGTCGGAATGTAAGGGGTGTCATGTGATGATTGAAGTCAGATTTAGATAGCTTTGTGTCATTAATAGATTATTTATTGCTGTATTGATTGATTGGCATTGAGGAAAATATTGATTGTTACAGGATGGAATTATCTGTTCGTTTATATTAGTGTGCTTGTCGCTTGTACCGTTTGAATGCATTTATCATCAGAAGATATTTGTCAAAGGACTCTCATTTCAACATCTGAGATGATTATTTCTCAATGGACAATCAATATTCATATTTTAAGGGTACTTTCTACTGATTTCTGAAAGTGTAATAACTTGATATTTTTGAACCTTCACCATCAATGTCAATTTCGATGCTCTGTGTTGCTAGCTTTTGTTTAGCGTTGAATTTTGAATACATCCCGCTACAGATGATGCATTCAATAAACTTTGTCTTATAAGCACAGCTACCCATATGCTTGGTATCATATTCTCTGTGGAACCCAACCCGAGATAGGAAATAGTGTGTAACAATGTACACGGCCCCCAAGGTCAAAATCATCATAAATTGTTGTGAAGACAAAGTGGTAAATAAGCGTAGAGTATAAAATGGCGTTTTACTGGTTCTAAGAGGACTATGAGAAATAGCGCACATGACTCGCATCTATTTCTGTGTACGGAACTTCTAAACAAAATGATAAGAAAGCCCTCCAGCGAAATCCATCATTCTTCTTCCATCAAAAATCCCAAGTGACATCTCCACGGAGAAATATCACTTTACCATTTGAGCCTGCTGCTCATTTGTATCATCGACGGTTTGTCTCTGTGTACTCTGACAATAGATGTATTAGAATATTGTCTAGAGATATAAAGAACCATGAGCTGGGCAGTGTGCTACTAACCGTATGGACAGCCTTCCGCTCTGCGACATAGATTCTGCAATTTTCTCTTCCCTTTTCAACGTCTACGAACCATATGATGATACTCGCAAAAGCACATAATGCGAACAGGAATGGAAATCCCATCCAATTATTATTGGTATGATTGACAATGGCTTGGATGACATTTGGGCCAAGGATTGAAGACTGATCAATTAGTTGAAAGTTATGAAGCATTGTCAGGGATAGGAAAGGATAGGAATAACATACAGCTTTATTTGTAATACCAAATAACCCAAAGAACATTCCCTCATATCCTCTAGGAGTAACTTCACTCATCATTGTTTGAGAGTATGAGAAATATGGCGCTTGAAATAATCCAAAAACAATGTTATAAACCCAAAAGTCGTAAACATGGTGATAGCCTATCTTGTCAGTCCATAATCCGATCACGCCATATAGCGGAATCAAAACACTAAAGATGTTGGTGATGATGAACATGGGTTTAGTTCGAATGCCAAAATACTGTTGAATGTACCAAAATGAGAAAGTGGATATCGTGGAGGCGACAGCTTGTGCAAGTCCAAGATACGTTAATTGGAGAAAAGAGAAAGAGATGACTTCGTTCTGAATAATAGAGACGAGAGTAGTGGTCGTATTTAACCCGTCAGCAAGCATGAAGAATGCGAGTAGATAAGTAAATGTTTGAGGAAGATGACGAATTTCGACAAGGGCGAGATAGACTTGTTTCCAGCCGATGGTCCATATTGAACTACCTTTTGGAATAGGTGGTCCAGGACGCGATTGTTGGAAAATGAACCAAGGAAGGCCAAGAACGACCCAATCTGGGTAAGTCAGATAAGATTGTCTTTCAATATGAAGTGAAGAGAAACCCACATGAGTTTGTGAGGCACAATGCAAGATTGTTAGCAAAAGAATTTCCTTGCATCGGAATCAGGACAGAAAGGCTGAGTACTAGCACAAGAACATATCCGATACTTGCATGGGCGGTAGATATATTACTAATATGGTTTCGTTCCATACTTTCTATCCTATCATACTCATCTTGGTTTATCTGTTCTTCTTTAAGTTCTTCGTCTCGAGCCTTTTGAACATGAGGCATGTAGCGGGCTAATCTGGGAAACAATGCATAATAGAACACCAATGATGCCTGTTACCATGTAACGTTAATACAAACACTTAGGCTAGATTAATGAGAATACTAACGCCGTACGAAGTGTATGATACAATATACAAAGCCATGGCTGTGGGCCACTGTTCTGGCTTCGTAATGGCCATCATCCCGTATTGGAAAACCCAGCACTTAATATGTTAGTGTAACCTTCATGGGGGTAATTTGCCACTTACGACAACAGTAAGAAATAGAAGGATCCATCTCCCAAAATGCCCATAATCTGCAACCGATCCAAAAGCCACAAATATGACAGACATAATGGTGAAGCAAATCCCATTGGCAAGCAAAACAACACTAGATACAGATCTTGTAGTAGTACCCCATGGAATTACACAGCCTCCTGTGGTACAATTACCCATTTGAGCAGGTGTGATGGCGGGATCCCATCCAGCTTTACTCAGTGCATTTTGGAAGAGGGCTTGAGAATAGCTTTGCGGCCCTACTCCATTGTTCCCCTGAGAATTGACAGTTAAAATACAAACAATCCCTACAGTGGATCGGTGCTCACATTGTAATAAAGATAATATGACCATAACTCCTTTCTCGAGGTTGTAGGCTGACTAGATGATTCTTCGTCAATACCAAATAGTTGTTCATATTTATTGAGATTCTTCTTGATGCGATCAGACTTCGTTCCATCGACATGTGTTTCATTACCGTTCATTTCGATGGCGTTATCTTCGATTTCATTGACCTCGGGAGAGCCCATACTTGCTCTTCTTCTCAGCAGCGGCTGTCTTGAAAGACTTCGTTCTCTAGAGGAGGAAGCCATATTGTTTATAAGTGCTTCTCATTTCTCGAAGAAGCCTTAGCTAGTTTCTCGTCGTACAAAACGCAATGTCGCGTTGCATTTCGTAAGATAATGCTATCATGTCGCACCCGGCCTCGCTCTTTGACAGATATTAGAGTTAACCTATTAAATAGCAAAGGCTGGCTGAGGAGACAGATATGCTGCAGGCGTGATTGTATTCAGACGACACACTTCGGTCGTCGGGCTTCAGCCAAGTTGTCTCGGCCGATCTCCGGTCACATCACGTGACTCTTCTCCTCAACCTCCCTATTAATTTAATCTTTGTGTGTCAAGTCAAAGCTTCTTCTGTGCATGATTTTTCGCAATTCTGGCAGGCAAAGACGCCTTGGGCAGCTTTTTAAATGCAAAGTTACACTGGAAACTTTAAGCCTAGTTATTAAATAACACGGGAGGACACCGAGGGTTCTCTCTTTGCAAGCTTCACTAGACACACTTAAAAGTAATGGTGCCAAGATATAAGGGATCAGCGACTAGCCGATCGTCAGATCAAGAGCTGAAGGAGAAGACTGGACAGGTATGGTTTATCCTTGTGAACTCTCTCGAATTCATGCCAATGCTTGCCAATTTCACTGATCTCAATCTTTTGAATATCATGGGATCGATGGACGGGCGGATCGACCACGTTTCCCACAGGTAATGGCGCAATCACTTCGCTGATTCTAATGACAACTTAGCTCTTCATAGTTGCCGTTAATAGTCATTTTGTCAATGAAAATATCGAAACTCTCACCAAAGCTTACAAAATTGGAAACGTCATACTTTTTCATAAAAGTGTCTCTACCACGATGAGACTTATTCGATCAACGGCTCCATTGCAAGATTTGGTTGAGAATTATGGAAATTCTAGAAACTCTTTATCGCAATTGATCAGAGTGATCAGAGAGATTGGCGAGTGGCTCGCATTAACCCGTCTCTTACAACACAACTTCCTGGTTCGATGGCTTTTGGTGCGACCGGTGATCAGTCAAATGCATCTAAAGTTGCCTAATTGTTATCAATAAATACTGAAGGAAAATGACATCAGAATGGACTACGCGCCCATTGCGAACAGATATCTGGAACCGAAGACTTCAATGGTTGAAGTGAGATCATTCTCGGGTGACTCAGAGGCAGTTAGAAGATTTTTATAGGCTCAAGTGAAGGGTTTATATCCTGCGCTAAGTATCTCCCTGGTCATGACAATACGGCGGATGACTCTCAATATGGAACTCCAGTTGTCGTTAAGACCAAGAATGAATTGGAAGCTTACGAGCTGGTTCCATTCCGGCAAGCCATGAAAGCTGGCCAAGATGCTGTTATGGCGGCTGATATATCTCTAACCCGGTTAGATAACACTTTTTATATAGTCGTCGACGACTTGCCCGCCAATTTGAGTCCGAATCTAATAAGAAATTCACGCGAAGAGATGAAGTATGGGATTGACAGTCAGTGATTTTTTAGAGATGAGCGGAATAAGAGCAACTCACGGGACAGAGAAAGAAGCAGTTATGGCTTTGAAGGTCATTGCTACAGATATGATCACGAATATCAATACTCAAAGCCCATACATCTAGACAGGACCTGAGTACGTCATGGTTTGCCACACTTTGAGAGCTCAAGTGGCGCCACTGAAGCTATTATTGTTGCAGTAAAGTCTGGTGAGATCTCTCAACTAGCTACTAAGCCTTTGGTACATCAAGTCCTGCGGCTCAATGCTAGGTATTCATCCCCTGGTATATCAGATGCGGCTGGTCGCAACATTGGTCTTCAAATGCTTAACAAAGTATAATCAAAAATTGGATCCTCAATTTATGCCAGAAGCACAACTTTTTTTTCGCGCCGGATCAGGTTATCTTCCAGTTTTATCATTGGCTATGAGGGTGTTGTTTCTATTTCTAACAGAGGCACGCTTTAGAAGGTGACAATAAACAGTTTGATCGCCCTTACTTACCTGTTATGAAGCACAAAATCTCAAGCACAGTTGTGAGTCTATCATTGATCAATAGATTCACAGGAAATATCTATTACAACCCAGTCATAAACACATTGGTGAGTTTGCAGAAGCTGATGCAATTACATTTATGACTAGGAATGCAATCTTCAATACACATAAAAAATGTGCGGCACGTCTTTCGAGTACGTCTCTGGTTGGAGGCAAAAGGTTCATCACGATTGCAACATGTGATCCTTCCGATCTCCTTAAAATAGCGATGCCACCAAAATTACATCGCGATATATGAGTCAAAATTATCAGCTTCGAAGGCGGCGCTAGAGGTAATTGGCTTAAGAGTGGCTCGAGGTCTTCTCCCTGTCTCCCCGATGAAGCATTCTGTTCACGTAGTCGGTGGAGTGTCTGTTAACTGGCAATATGGGGAAAGATGGGCCCGCGTAAAGAATTGTCAAGCTTGTTGATGGACTGTTAGACGGAAGAATTGATTCAAGCGTAGGAGACCAAGTCCTAGGCTAGCATTACGAAACCATGGCTACATGATTACCCAATGGAGAACATTCGGGCTAGGTTTTAATTTGTTCACTCTCTTTTATTGTGCGCTAAGATTCTGCAATTTTGGCGCTCATGTCATGAGGGAATAAGACGGGGACAATTTATGCAAAGAGGTGAATCAAGGATACAGTGGCTAATTGGCACCTAGGTATCATTCCGTTGATGAAGAAATGGTAGGACATGAAATAATAGGGTGACTATCAGCATGCATTGATTGAATCAGTATACATGGTTTGTATGAGACGCTAGACTTCAAATTATTGAGAGTTTATGAATTATCTGAATATTCCTGAGATTTGGCAGCATCAGAAAGACAAATCGGAAGGTCATTGTCCGAGCCTAATCAGGAATTCCACACGGTGATAGCTGGCATAGAAGCCAATGTGGAATGCAGTGTCGATCTGAAGGTTTCCCCGCACTTGAGGAAAATGGAGATGGATTTTTAGGTATAAATCAGACATTGAGAGTTTCTGCCTGAGCCTAAGTGGTGTAAAATGGAGAAGTAGAGGCGGAGTTCCCATGGCGAAGTATGCGGTATAGCAGAGGCGTATACTGGTCCAAGGTCCTGTGATGTGATGTTTTGTCTTTTACTTCTCGTCACAATGAAATCTGACATGGAGGGATGTCTTGTACTGCCTCAAGATGACTATGGTAACGATCTCACTCCTGGATTATTATCCATCCTTGTTAGACCCACTTCGCCGATTTTTTCCGATCTCGCTTTTTCTTATTCCTTAGACTTTTCATGTTGTCAACGTTTTGGTTATTTTTGCTCCTGTGACCGAAATTTTCAGGGGGGACTTAGCTCTTCGATTATAACGGATAATTTATCCTTTGCCAATCAATCAAGCTTTACTTGGCAATCTGATGGCCATGCATTGTTGCGTTGGAAAACTGGGGAAACCCCGGCACTCGGCAGACCTCTTACTGGAACAAATTAACGCAAGAGCTTAAAGTACCTTCGGGTCAATACAAGTGTCCTCCGGATCTACACATCCGAGCCCTAGTTCTTAATTGAAAATCACAGGTAATATGCCTACCGATTAGATTGGTGTAGCTTTAATACCATATCTCACGTTGTCAACAATTGTTTGTGTTCTTAGATTTAAGCTCTCAGGAGATAAAGATGATTTATTTGGAGACAGCTAGAGATCTTTTCTTCTTGAAGTTCACGCCAATTGTCGTAGCGCGACGACGTCTATCTCGAATGCCGAAACGAAACTTTAGTTTCTCGGCTAAGATATTTTCTGCAACGGCGATTCGTGCATGTTTATGAAAAGGGGGGGTAGCGGAGAAATTTATACGAAACGCCCAACGAACTCCATGCACGATGTTCCTGACTTCAAATGTTGCGCGTCTTTTAATTTAAATCGGTTGGCAATTCCGGATATGTCTTGCTAACTGTCATGTAATTGTTTGCTCTGAGATGTTTGTGGGCCCCCAGTGTGAAAGCTAAAGCTGTTTTTAGCAAGATTCTATATCAGCTGAACCAAAGCTTCCATGTATTCCATCGCTATTTTTTGAAGTAGTCTTCTTTTACGGACCGTCTGTCCGATTGTTGTTGCGGATGTTAGGTTCTTGGTACCGTCAGTCCAGCGGCCTCTCGAGCCGGTCGTCGACGAGGTCAGAATGTGATAGATACGTCAAGAACTTTGACCATGTGAAAGAACTCTTAACCACAATCGGTGGGACGCGAAATAAAGTATAAAGTGAAGGGTTATTCCTGCTTCAAACCTCCTTCATCTCAACTACAATTTGCATGAACACAAGAATCTGACAATAAATCACTATGACGACAAGAATTGCTTTAGTCTCTCTTTTCGCGGCCGTTTATGGTCAACAAGTTGGCACATATCAAACAGAAACCCATCCTTCTCTCACTTGGCAATCTTGCACGGCTAAAGGATCTTGCACCACAAATACTGGAAGCATTGTTCTTGATGGAAACTGGCGATGGACTCACGGAGTAGGCACCTCGACAAATTGTTACACAGGAAATACTTGGGACGCAACATTGTGTCCAGATGATGCCACTTGTGCAAAGAACTGTGCTCTTGAAGGTGCAGACTATTCTGGAACCTACGGTATCACAACCAGCGGAAGTTCTTTGAGATTGAACTTCGTGACTCAATCATCAACAAAGAACATTGGATCTCGAGTTTACCTCTTGGCCGACAACACCCACTATAAGACGTTCAATCTCTTGAACCAGGAGTTCACATTCGATGTTGATGTCTCTAATCTACCTTGCGGATTGAACGGTGCTGTTTACTTCGCCAACCTACCTGCTGATGGAGGTGTTTCCTCGACCAACACGGCTGGTGCCCAGTATGGCACCGGATACTGCGATTCACAATGTCCACGTGACATGAAGTTCATTAATGGCCAGGTAAGTACATATAAATATTGCAAGAAGATAAAGCTGACTGAATTGTGACTAGGCCAATGTTGATGGTTGGGTACCCGCAAGCAACAACGTCAACACTGGTGTTGGTAATCACGGTTCATGCTGTGCTGAAATGGATATCTGGGAAGCAAACTCGATTTCCACTGCTGTCACTCCTCACTCTTGTGATACTGTGACACCAACTGTCTGTACCGGTGATGCATGCGGTGGCACCTACTCATCATCAAGATATGCTGGTACTTGCGATCCAGATGGATGTGATTTCAACTCTTACCGCATGGGTAACAAGACCTTCTATGGTCCAGGTATGACCGTCGACACCAAGTCTGTCTTCACTGTCGTCACACAGGTAAGCATCTTTTAACCATATATACTCAGAGAATGAACTAACATGTCAAACAGTTCCTCACCACCGACGGCACAGCATCTGGTACTCTCAATGAAATCAAACGTTTCTACGTCCAAAACGGCAAAGTGATTCCCAACTCCTACTCCACCATCGCAGGCGTAACCGGCAATTCCATCACAACTCCTTTCTGCGATGCTCAAAAAACCGCTTTTGGTGATCCAACATCCTTTGCCGATCATGGTGGTCTTGCATCCATGTCTGCTGCTTTCAAAGCCGGCATGGTTCTCGTGTTGTCTCTGTGGGATGATTATTATGCCAACATGCTTTGGCTCGATTCTACTTACCCTGTTACGCAAACATCGGCCGGTGGTCCAAGAGGTACTTGTGATACGTCATCGGGAGTTCCAGCTTCGGTAGAAGCAAGTTCTCCCAATGCTTATGTAATCTACAGTAACATCAAGGTTGGAGCTATTAACTCTACTTACGGTTAAGAGTGTGTGAGTTAGATGTCAAATAATAGGAACGGGGTGATGAGTGATGATGATGATGATGATGATGATGATGAAGGGGAAAATTGGAAGCGTTCGTTTATCAAGATCGTGTGGCGAGAAAAATTGGAAACTATCGTTTATCGATCTTATGTGGTAGGAGATGAAAGTTAAAATTGAAGAGACTCGCTCGTTTGGGGAATTGTCTATATGGAATTCAACTTTGTACATATGATTCCAACTAGTACATATCATATATTTAAATCATCCGTTCTTCGTGCCTTAATTGTGATTATTTTTCCAGGAAACAGGTACAGTTTTAAATGATGAATGTTCAGTACACGACAGATTACGCATTAATTAAACTTTTCCTGAAGCTCAAAGCTACGGTGATTAATCGCGGATTAAAAGTACCTTTATAACAAGACTAACCATTTGAAAAAAACACATTGTCAGATACGCAACATAATCATTAATAGGTCAAATTTTGCGGGAGCTCATAAAAATCTGTACAAAGCGGGGAAACAAGCTTACTTGAATATACAAGCTTCATGCTAGTATATCATGCTAATTAGACATCTCCTTCCCCTGTTCTGGGCCTGACCAGATTATGTAAAATTATATTGCATCGCTACAAAGATATATCAGGATTGTAATATCCGTATGTACTATCCAATAAGAAAATCTGGAATGTGGAAATGGAAGTGGAATAAGCGATTGATGAAGTAGATTAGACATATCGAAACTGATTACGAAACTGTCTTCTGAGATGATCTATTCCTAGTGAGAAATAGAAGAATGTGACAAAATATTATAGAGGCTACTAAGCCTCAGTAGCTGCTACTCATTAACCTCCTTACATGCGATCCGTGAATTACGAACAGAATTTTCGCTCATAGCTAAAGGAAACAATCAATAGAAGATGAAGATACATTGCACATCAAAGTACTCTTATCATCGATAGTCGAAGCCTATTAGCCACTAATCATCAAACTTTCCGTCGTGAAGGGGTTGCTCTTCTAATGACAATAGTAAGAGCCCAGACCCAATTATTCACAATTAACCTCGAAATATCCCTATCTTGATCAAACGCGTTACCGTGCCGGATTTATACAGTATTCCATATATTCTGAGTCCTAACAAAATATAAAGAGTGTAGAAGGTCAGATAAAGTATGCGGAAGAAGTTTTGATAGCATATCCCACGTCATAGTTGAAGGAAGGAAATAAGTCAAATCTGGTGGGCTTGGAAAAGATTAGAAGCTTGAATCCGGAGAAACTCAAGATAAGAGTGCTGTAAAACGGGTCAATCAAGAGGATTTCAGAATATATCGATAGTTGTAGAGGTAGAACCAGTGATTTTACTCGGAGGACGCAAATCGAGTGATTAACACAGGGATCAAGTTGATAATTACCCTGAACCTGAAAAAATCTGCGTGGAAGCCTTTGACAAAATAATCAGTATTAATTATCAACATAACATTTTAAGAATGATTACTTCCTAGTAGTCGATATGTTACCCCTAGCAGCTATCATAAAGCAAGCTCTTTGTAATCACCCATCAACGACATAAGCGAGTTTCCCTTTTAATCATATGAAATGTTCTATAAGTCTTGGAACTAATCTAGCGAACTCCAAACCCACGTATTCAATTGCATATAATTATGGAAGCATTGATATTTTAATAATAATCTATAAAACTAAAGGATTGTACCAAAAAAAACAAGTAGCTCTTTGGTTTCAACGAAGTGCCTACTCGAGTTTGCTCGAGTAATTCATCTTGCCTCACTATAAACGGAATGCTAAACCATCATTGGCCGACTGGATATTTTGTCCAATAGGTAATTGGACCCCTCATTTGAAATACCCTCTGAGTGTCCCTCTCCAAAGTGAACTCGACACTATTGCTCATGGCCGAACGCAACTGATGCATAGCAAACTCCAGTATATCAGGTGTCTCACGTGTGAATTTCACATGTCTAAACATGCGTCTTGTTTCAGGCATGATCCTTCCACCAACACCTCGGATATAAAGTCTCCTGAGTTGGGGCCAAGTTGCTCCTAACAATGCTGGAAGTATAAAGTCAAAAAAGTAATCATCCATTGGCCTTCCCGATTGCCTCATTAAAGATCTGATATCACGCGCCTGTATTTGCCATAATTTGAGGGGTTCAAGGCCCACTCCTTGTTCAAAATCAAATGTAATCAGCGTTGATGCTACCGATTTGATGAAGTTTGCCATTTCGGAATATCGTTTTTCCTCTCTTGCCTCTGACCATCTCACATCTTGATCAAGCTCACGACCCACTGTGGATATCTTAAGATGTTTCAATTGCACGAATTTTCCCAGAAGAGGCTGTAGATGCCCTCTCATTTGGCCACAGTGTCTCAATATAGGAATTCCGTTCTCATCCTCAGTCTCTTCGTATTTTGTATGGCGTATCCAGAAATCCCTATCAATGTTCTGGAAATCTACAGCATGAGCAAAAAGAAGACAGCCATCTCTTGGTTGTAAGAGGCCTTGAAGATTTTCCATCTCCAAAGAAGCTACAACAGAAGGTGTCGAAACACAAGCGCGAAAATAATTATAGGGCATAAGACCACCTATTCGAATAACAGTAGCTTCGGGGAATACCGCTGGCGGTATAATTGCTGAAGGTCGGAGAAAATCTTCGTAAACCGGTTGTGCGGGAAAATAAACAAAGTCATTCCAGTCAGCAGAAAATGAATAAATGTCTAGTCTTCTAACTCGAACTAGCAACTTCCACGCCTCCCACATTCTCGTGTGATCCATGCATCGATCTTCATGAAAAGACTGCCTCGGATAGATGGTCCAAGTCAAACTCGAAACGAAATTCCCTAACGTGGGCAATCTGAGAATCGTATCGATGAATGCGTTCTGTCGCATCGCATTGTCTTTGTGTTGCGGAGATATATACGTAAAGCCTCTTAAGTCGATCAATTCATCAGAGGTAGTCCGATGAGAGCTAAGATTTACATGACGGTACAATATAGGCACAGTACGTTCATACATATTGCGCGATGTTTGTGCTATTTATAAAAAAATCAGTCAAGGGTTATATGCAGCTACTAGAAGAATGAGTACGTACATAATCTTGACAAGTCTCTTCGCTCACAACACTTCAAGATTATAGATTGTAGCTCCTCGGAAAGCTCGTGGAATTTCGAGAAATTCATCATGATATTAGTATTGTTTGAATGTATTCAAAATGTGAGATGATGAAGTAACTTCGCTGAGGTAAAGGATGTGTACAACTTGAATGGAAATCGATGGGGGTGTATGAAAAGTCGGATTGTTTACAACACTTTGATTGCCTGTATGATACGGAAGGATCGAGAAGTCATGTGGTTTACGGATATTATGTTGTGTTGTGGCAGGTACGATCAACAGTGTACACATAGCCACAATCTTTTATATACAGAGAAGAATTGCCTCTTTCTTTAGATACTTCATCGCTCATCCACTGATCTTCAGCGAATGAGCCTGTCAGTTCAATTAATTCCAATTACATAAATACTACAATTTGTCTCCAGCCGAATACATCTGAGCATACTTAAAATCTCAGCTTGAGCTTCAATGACATAAATGAGACCGAGGTCGACGATACTCTGAAAAAGCGAATAAGATCTGCGAATTTCATGGTGCTAGTAGCTGATGAATCTCGAAAGCTGAGAAGATGATTCGAGGGCAATGTTATTTGTACCACTCAAGTCTGGATACCCAAGACGGGTTGACTCAATTATTCTGTTTGTCGAAGCAGAAAAGAAAATACCAAGCCAGTTAAGGATAGGGGTAGAATGCAAAATGTTCAAATTGGATCAAGAGAGATTAAAAACATAATATCTGATAGCCTGATAGATTTATCAGAGATGCTTGGAGTTGCTGCATTGAGGTTTACTCAAATCATAATATCATTTGATGTTTGATTGATGATACTTCAACTCGACATCCCCTTAATTATTGCTTGTAATCTGTGAATAGTATTCATTAGAGTTGACCCTCGAAAGCCGCTTTCGGATACTTTTGTATGTAGTACTTGGCGATGATCCAAAGTTGCTATTTTGCTCAGGTCAACTCATAGATCTCATGTGTACATGTCAGATCAATAATTGCAATCTCAGAGAAGGCAATGACATGTTTGAAATATTTATCAATCCATCATTAATCATAAAGTACTCAAATATAGGTAGCGGTGGCGATAGTCACAAATTACTCAAGATCTGTCAAATAGAAGAGCTTCTAAAGAATTCAATGTCAATTCAATTGGTTTTGGTATTGAGACGAATCCCCCTCTTGGCATCACCCACCCCCTTCATACCAAACCGCCGGCACGATTTCGCTATTAGAGTTCATATTCAACTCCGGAAATGAGTAGTTCGGGTTCCATAAATCCTCTTCCATGCTCACGCCAATGTCAAAGTCAATCATCTGAGTCATCTCCTCCCAAAACGACGTATCCATTTCAAAACTATTGAAGCTCACATTGGGGCCAGCAGAAGAGCCATTTGGAACCAGTGGTTGTGGTTGAGAAAGTTCAAAGCCAGTTGTATCCTGTGCTGGAACCGTAACTTCCTGAGTAGCTGCATTGTCCCCCTCCTCGGTGACAGTTCGATTTCCCTCTTTCTGGTCCAATGACTGTGAATTGTTGGCTAACCCATCGACATCCTTATTACGCTCTAAGATCCTCTCCTGGCAAATGGTGAGAATTTGTAAGCCTGATTTTGCCATGGGGCTCCTTTCCTCCATTATCTTCAACCTTTCTATCGATTTCTCAATTGCAATTTTCATTCTTTCCTTCAGACTACTCTCCAAGTTTGGTGATTCTAATACTATCCCAGACAAAACTACTCCACAATCGATAGTATTAAATGCGAGGGAATAAATTCGATATTGATGTGGTTGCATTGCTTTGAAAAATTGATCCTGACCATCAAGACAATCTAATGCAGCTTTTATGGATGCAGTTCGACTTGTAGGATGGATTGGAGCATGAGGTCTATGAAGTGCCATAAGAAATGAATGCGCGGAAGTCGCTATCATCAATCTTTGGCGAGGAAGTCTTGGTTCTTTCATGTCCCATGATTTATCTGGGTTTTCTGGTCGTAAAGTAGGCGGTAGAACGCCAATCGTGGAAACGATCCTATTATGAAGGTTTGTGATGAATGAGTAGTCTTTTATATGAGGTCTATGAGCACCAGCTGCTAAAAGTTCATGAATCATTTGAGCTAAAGAATAGTGAAACAGTTGAGCCGAATAATTGGATGGTGGGGTGTGAGGATCCTGTAAATTTGCTGGAGTGGGTATGGTCTTTGAGGGATCAATCGGGAATGAACAATCAAGTGGTGTTTTGATTGTACAATCACTTGCATTAATCGAGCGAGGTCGTCCAAGCATTACCGACATATGACTGACAATAATTAGCAATGTGTCAAGTAAGAATGGAAGCTGCTGACCTGTCCCAAGTGAAGAGCGTTACCCAAAGTCTCCTTTTGTATTCGTCATACCAAAGTTTCTCCAGCCCAACCCCAACACCTTCTCCCGCAACTTTTGGAATTGAAGCTTGTAGATGAAGTCCTAAATCTTGGGCCTGTCTGAGATTTGGTCAGCATGATGAAAAATTGAGATAGAAAGACCACAAACCTAATTGCACTGCCCAATAAATGCCACGCTTCTGTGCCTCGACTATAATTCTTCAGCCAACCAGATTTTAACAAATCATGTTCGACGCCTGTTATGGTGGAAGAGTGTCTTCCCAAAAGAGACATTATCTCCATACCAGTTTTACTATACTCATGAGAAAGCCTATCACAGTCCAATAACGTTTTTAAATGAAGTGTTTTTGATGTTTCTGTGTTTGGGGGTAAAAATTGTAAAGAAACAGCAAGAGTCTGGAATAATAATGCAGGAAAATATAGAAGATCTTTAGAGATACTTCCAAGATCCGATTGCCCACTTAAAGTGTTACGAATATCTTGCCATGATTTGAGAAGATTCCGAAAATAATGCTCTTCCAGTACTTTGAGATACCAATGTAATTCCGAGAAGAATAAGTCGACCAGCTCTGAGATAATAGATTGAGATGGCAGTTGTATAACTAAACTCAAAAATTTATGTCGTAAACCAGGATGGGATAATGAAGTTGATGTAGGTGTTCCCATGAATGTGGAAAGGTCATCATTAACATGAAATGACTGCTTCTGTCAGGTTGAACTATGAACGAGGAAGAAGAAGAAGAAATACCTTTTGCAACCCAGTAAACGAGCTGTTATGAGAAGCATATCCTACTTGATCAAAAAGATCGGATGGTGTTGAGCCTGACTTCAATATGATTTCATCGTCTCTTGTACGTTTGTTTGATTGTCCTCCATTCTTTGAGATATCTTTCAGATCATCGAGTCTATCCTGTTCATAAGCACGTCTTCCATTCACAGTTTAGAATTTACAACATACGATGATGGGTTAGAATAAGAGCATTTCTCCGGAACACTTCGAGAAATGCAAACATCACATGGTTGACCACGATTACACTATTTGATGCGTTAAGAGGCAATTCTTATCAATGTTATATCATGTCTTACCTTTTGCTTTCTCCTATAACATTCCCAACATGTCTTTACTATACGTCTTCGTTTCTGTGGCTTTGTTTCCATGATTGGGTGTTCAGTGTAGCGGTATATATATCATATGCAGATTGATGAAGGGGGTCAATGAAAATGGTAAACCGTGTAATTGATGCAGTCACGTGAGACTGGGCTTTGAAGCGGAGTTAACGTTAAGACCATGAAGTTATCTATATTTTACCTCGTATCCTCGTATCTTGGTATCTTCTCATTGCCAAGCCTCATCGAACATTTCTAACAAAATCTCTCTCAAAACACACATTCTGACTCGCACATTCGAATTACAAAATGTGCACGATACGATAACCTTATCCACCGCCATTTGCTTACCTTCCACAACGCAATTCGAACGAAGAATAACTTTCCATGTCAATCTATATCTTCTTCCCATTTGCAATCGTATAACCACACTTGCTAGCTATCTGCTATATGTTTCTGATGTCTCTGGAGTCTGGAGGGTGCCATGTTGTATCGGTACTCTCTGGCTGCATCCAATAGGATGGCAGAGCTAGAATTATCCTCAATTTCGTGGCTTCGAATATAAATGTGCAAATTCTTGATCGTATCGAAGTATCTTTCTGGAGTTTCCGTTGGACTTGATGATCATCAGATCTTCTTGGAGGTTATACAAGTGAAATAAGGATGGGAATCTGCCCGTCAGAAAGGAATGAAGAAAAGAACATGTCTTTGCTTTCCAGCCAACCTCGAGTGGGAGTAATCATGTTCTTTCTTGGATCGCTTTAAATATCGGGCTCAGATGCCAGTCTCAATCGTTATGTACGGAGGACGTCATGATACTTCAGAACAAGCAGACTCATACTGTGTTTCGATCAAGTGCCAGCAGATGCACAGCGTCACACAAAACAGATAAGCTTACACCTACAACCATCATACTACCTATTGCATGGTTCAATCCACCCTTTTGCTTCTCTGCATTGAATCCCCCTTTTAAAGCCTTCACACGTTCCCGGAGAGTGAATGACGACATACAAGAAACTTTGTCCTGCGAAGGAATACTCGCATTTGCCGGAATCATGTCAATTATCATCAATCTTAACATAATATAACATATTGATTAATCCTTGATGTTGATCATCTCGCTCACAATTTACCCGACCCCAATGTCTGTCCTTCCCCGCAATCTTACCGGATGTACCGGTTTTTATCCCAAATTCGGTTGGATGAACACCTGCATGCTATTTCATCATCACCCGTCACTGGTAGAAGTAACTTGCGGTGTATATCTGAAAAAGTCTATCGACCTCAAGTTACCTCGGACATATAGCTCAAGTGAGTTTAATGTCCTATCCTTGATTGACAGCTCAAAATAATGGATACATGCAAGTGACTACCCCGCATGGAGAATGAGGGGAAATTCCCACATTACATATATGTTCAAACGAAACTGCTGTTTTGGGTGGAATGCGATTAGGAGCTCTCTCTTGTCAAAGGTAATCATGAAGGTCTTCTTATGGTCATTGTCTTTTGGAACTGTTTTGTCTACTTCGACGGCTGCCACTCCTACGACGACAGCTGAAAGTGCAGACGCGTTTACTACGAATATTAATATAAATGTTCAACGTGAGTCCATCAGCATTTTTATGGTTCATCGAGAATTGCATATGCAACATGTCTCGGTGCTTTTCAATCCCCTTCCCGTTCTTGATGACTCAATCTACCACGCAACTGACTCACATCTATTCTAGAACTATGGGATTTCTTTGTCGGTCCAGTAGAAACCGCAACAACCAATACAACCGTCTCCGCGACTCCCGTTCCAACATCTGAGCTCATTCCTCCACCACCTCTCCATTATTCCCCCTTCCCAAGTGGTGCTCAGGTACCTTTAACCCAAAAGAATGAGTCCTGGAAATTTCCTTCGGGGTTTTGGTGGGGTGTAGCATCTGCAGCCTACCAGATCGAAGGAGCAGCTGCCGATGAAGGCAGAGGTCCTAGTGTTTGGGATGTGTTTACTCACAATGCTGCTGCGACAGAGACCTTATTTAATGATACAGGGGACGTTGGTGACAATCAATATTATTTGTATAAACAAGGTTTGTTCACTAATACTCTACAATAAGTTTAGATTAATGGGGAGACTAACAGCAATAGATATTGCGAGAATTGCAGCTCTCGGTGTTCCATATTATTCATTTTCCATCTCTTGGTCTAGAATTTTACCATTTGGAAAGGGACCAGTCAATGAACTAGCTCTACAGCATTATGAAGATCTCATTGATACTTGTATCGAATACGGAGTTCAACCTGTCGTTACACTCTTTCATGTAAGCATTATCCATACCTCATCCCATCCTAAGATCCTAATTTTCTTCTCTTAGTGGGATACCCCTCTCTTTCTCCAAAACTCTTACGGCGGCTGGCTTTCTCCCAACATCGTCGAAGATTTCGTTGCCTACTCCAAAATATTATATTCTCGCTATGGCAAAAAAGTCCCTCACTGGTTTACCGTGAACGAACCCATCGAGTTCTGTGGGGAGTATCCGTTCCCCTCTGGCTACTTCACCCCCACCACCATCCCTTCAGAACAACAACGATTCTATTGCGGTCACCATGCTCTTCTTGCACACGCTGAATCCTACCATCTCTTTAAATCCCTGGGACTCAATGGAACCCTAAGTTTCAAAAACAACGGCGGATATAAGATTCCCCTCACAAATTCCTCCGAAGATGCCGTTGCCACACAACGAGCTTGGGATTTCAACGAAGGCTGGTTTGCAAATCCTGTGTACATCAATGGAGACTATCCACCTTATTTAAAGACATATCTGGATACGATTCCTCTCACATTCAATGAAAGTCAAAAGGCATTGATAAACGGCACTGCGGATCTGTTCGCTCATGATGCGTATACTTCTTCATATTACATGGCTCCCGATACGGGAATTGACGCATGTACTTCGAATTCTTCGCATTCCTTATTCCCAGGCTGTTTCAATTCTACGAATGTAAATGCAGACGGGTGGTTAATTGGAGCGGCGGCAGATCCGTTGGCAAGTTGGTTGCATATTGCCACAGATTGGGTACCTACGTTTTTGAAATATATTCAGGATACTTGGCCTAGTAAGGGAGGAATTGCTGTTTCTGAGTTTGGGTTAGTTTTTCGGGTTCCAATGATGACTCTCTGGCTTTTCTCTTCCCCTTTTATCCCACGTTCATCTCTCTCTTAGTTGTCTTTCCTCTATCTTATTCCATCAAATCACACAACTAACCCCTCTCCTCCCAATAGTTTCGCAGAGCCCTACGAATATCAAAAAACGCTCCTCTCTGATATTCGAACCGACACAAGAAGAACCCTCTATTACAAACAATACATGGAAGCTATCTTACTATCCATTAGCGAGGGAGTCAACGTTGTTGGCTGTTTAGCTTGGAGTATCATGGACAATTTAGAGTGGAGTTCCGGTAAGATCTTCCCTTTACTCTTTTCTCTGCGATCCTTCATCGAGACGGGTTTTTTCTTGACCAGGGAGAAAACCGTGCTATTGTAGATATGAGAGAATCACCGCTAATGAAACATAGGATATCATGTGAAGTTCGGAATGCAATATGTGAATTTCACAACTGGGGAACGATATTACAAATCGAGTTTCTTCGAATATGTTAATGCGTTCAAGTTGTATGCGGAGGATCCGGTGGTACCGGTTTATGTTCAATGATTTGAATCGAGATGAGAGAATGAACAAATGAGATGGATGAGCTGACTGGACACGAAAAAGTGAACCATTCGATTGCTTGGGTAGTCAAAAGAAATATTCAAACAGGAGAGAAGAGACTTTAGACTGAAGTTATATGCCTAGGTATCGAATATTCTGGGCCCTGAAATATCTGTAAGCATCAAGCGGATCCTCAACCAATAAGACATTTTTATCAAAAGGATTGAGACAGGCAGCAATTATCAGATAGTTTCCATCCATTGAAGATAAAAGATACAAGATGATAAATCATACATCGTCATTAATTTTCCGTATCATGTTCTTAAAAATTATCGTCTTCTATACCAGACGAGCAAATCAACATCAACGAATCACGACAGCACGACATCAATATCTAACGACCCAATGATAAGAATAGAGAAGAAAGAAAAAAAGTATATATAAGACAGCATGAAAATTGAAAGAAAAGTTTCTTCTCATCCGACATTGAAGTCCCGTATATTTCTAAGATAACCAATCCATCCAATCTTTTCCCATGTCAGAGACCAGCCCAATCTCATCTCTACATATATTTCTCATCCGATTCTCATAACTCACGATTAGATCCTCAAGTAAGTTATCTATATCTATCACCTGTTTCTCTCATCCTCACATCTTCTCCTTCCCTATCCTTCACCCTTCTCCCACCTTCCCACCACTCCACACCCACTCAACTCAACTCCTCAACCCCCTACGAAATCGCCAAAACCAATGGGCCCGCCACCGTAATATCATCCGTCAATACCCCGGTAGCCGGCATCTGACTCGCCAAATTCAAATACGCGTCACCCGCCAACCCCTGAGGCACCGTACACGCACCATTCGCAAACGGCGTAAACGCCGTTCCGCCCGTCTGTCCTCCATTCGTAAACGCACAGGCCGTGGCTCCCTGCGCCGTAGTCGTCAACTGCAATGTTGAGCCCGGAGTAATCGCTTCATTAGCCGTCGTCAGCGTCACAGCCGGGAAGGGCGTAACTGCCAGATTTGAGCCTTGAGGACAGGAAGAAATAAAGGGGCTGCGAGGGAAAAGACGTTGCGGATTCCGAGGGGAGTGTCGAAGGCGGAGGGGACGGCGGAGACTTTGGACGCGGTGCGGATGAATGTTTGATGGCGGGATTCAACGGTGACGATTTCCGCCGCGACGGTGAGCACCGCTTTACTGCTAATCAAAGGCGCGGCACCGAGATAGGCGCTCACGCCAATGTTTTCGAGAACGTTGGCTGTAGCGATCATGTTCTGGGCGGTGGTGAAGCCGAAATTGTAAGTACAAGGTGCGACGGGCTGAGTGCCAGCAGCGGAAATGGCTGTCATGAGAGTAGTGACATGAGTCGCTTCGGTCATGGCGACCATTTTCAAATTGGCGATATCTTGGGTTGTGAGACCCAGAGCTGTGAAGTCGGAGTCGGGGAACTTGGCGAATCCTTGTTGGTAGAAAGCCGTTTCGAGATTCTCGAGAGTGAGGGCGCTGGATAGGAGTGTTAGTTGTGTTTTTGCTGGGAGAGATGTAGAGGGAAGGAATGACGCTCCGCTAGGCCACTGCCGTGGAGGCTTCTTCGCTTCGCTCCACCAAGAGAATGGGAGAGAGAGAGAAAATAAACATACAATTGCAAAATATCCACATCCGTCAAATCAGCCGGGAGACCCGTCGCGGTAACCTGTCTCTTCACCTCGTACATCTTCAACGCTCTCTCATTAAGCCTAGGTAGTGCTGGGAGAGCCGATGCTACTGCGGCCAATCCAACCACCGCTCCAATAAGATTTCTTAATCCAGGCATTTTGATTTGAGTGATGGATTGATTTTCGTTTTGTAAAAAGAAGAAAATATATGTTTAAAAAAGAAAGATGTATGCAAGACCAGCCTGAGCTACAACACCTATAAAATTAACTAGAAATAATAAATTAAGCCTCTAACAGAATTATTAAACCAAAAATCAATATATGAATGAATGAATGAATTCAAACAAAAAGCAATCCAGTGCTTAAGAAATTAAGTAGCAAAAAAAAAACTTCGTCGTAAAGAAAGAAAGTAATGTGATTCCAAACCCAAGAAAACCCAAAAGACGAAAACCAGACATCCATTATCTATATGTACTGTACCTCCGGTACGAACACCCAACCCATCCACACACACACCCATTACAAACCCCCAAGCAAAACCAAGACACAGGAAGCACGTCTCCCGCTCACACGTAGCAACATGCAACATTGTTCCCAAGCGTAATCTTGGCAGCGGTGCTTAAAAGGTTCTCTGCGCTCTTCTCACAACCTCCTTCATCCGTTCCCTTGCACAGCATCCTCACGCACCAATCGCACACCCAGGTTTCCTCGTCTAGATCTCCCAATGCAGGAATTCAAATAAGCTTATTTCACTTCCCGACGCACTTGTGAACATGGGAAAATGGAACATCGTGTATCCGCGATGTGGTGGAGGTCTGCTGGGATGGAGACGTGTGGGATTTGTTTCGAGTGCTTGAGCATTGGGAGCTAAGGGACTTAAGGTTAAGGTTATATCATCTGAAAACCGTTTTTTTTTCCCATCGTGTTTTTTGCCTCTTGTTAACTCGGATATCAATTTTGGTATCTCATCCGGAGGGCAAATAATTAAAGAATAGTATCATACAATCCTCTCTCTCCCATCCCAATGAACATCACGAATGCAAACTCGAGTACCGAGCAAAAATTACATAATCACGCTAAGAAAAAAGGAGCTATCCTCCCCTCCAATCTTCAACCACCAATAAATACACACATCCAATCCTCCATTTCCTTCAACCTTCCCCCTCCAAACCAACTACCTACCACCCATCCATCAATCCCCCCTTCTCATTTCCCTAAAATCCCACACCTCACAACAACTTTCCCTCCCTTCCCTCTTACTTACTCACCCATCCACCCACAAACTAGCCTAGGTGTATCACATTCGTTTCGCATCCGTCAAGCTTCCTAATCCCTGCACACCTACCTACCTATATCCAATCCAGTAAGCAATCAAGCAAGCAAGTAAGTACCGGACCTAAGTAACCAATTCTACATCCGAGTCCGAATTTCATTTTCCCATTATTATCACTATCATCATTCATTTCTTCCTACCATGAGGAAACAAATCATTCTTGCATTGATATCCACATCCACATATACATGCGCATTCGTATCCGCATCCGCACGTATCCGCATCCGCATAAAACAAAAAGTGAATGATATGCAAAAATCATATAGTGTGTATTATGAGATCAAGTAACTTACCTAGTAATTAATTAATCAGTCCGACAGAGTATGCACGAGGATTACTTGCATATCGCCAAGTGTCCATCTATCTATCCAAGCATCCATCTGTCAATCGTGCATCCAAACACGCCAACCATATCAATTCGCCATCTACTCGTATATCACCATCTAAATCCAAAGTCCACCAAATACATTTCATCCAATACAATTCAACTCCTCATTCACTATCTCACTATCCCATCCTCTACCCCCATGCCATACTATACCATTCCATTCAACCCCCCTCCCTCACCCACGTCAACTACAGATATCGTAATCGTTTGAGAATTGCCGAAATCAAGGATCCATGTTGAGTGTAGATCAAGGGGGAGATACATCACAGTGTGGAACTCACAATGCTTGATATATGTCATCATCTCGGTATAGTTCTACAAAAATTTCAAATTCATATACAAGACACAATTAACCCCCTTCAAAGGCAAGCTATTTGTGGTTTAAATTCTTTTCTTTTCGCTAGACTATAAATGCATCTGATACAGAAACGCTAAAGAGCAAAGGAAATATATTCGAGCCTTAATCCCATTCTCACCCGATATGTGATCCGAATAAAAAAGGCATACACTTTCTTCGTACTATTTCCTTTTCCTAACTCGTTTCATGACCATTCACTCTTCACTGCATTCAAGTAAAATTCGTACCCATTTGATCCTCCTCAATAATTAATCCTTCCTTCCTTCATTCATTCATCCACCTTTCATTCCCAGTCTCATCTTGGTTCATCAATATGACAATCTGACAGTCAAAAAATTCCTCCTAAAAACAACCATTGGTCGGTATGATTGGTGAAAATAACACAAATCAACGTGTTACGTCTGCAATAATTCATAGCCCACAAAATGTATCCATTTTGGTAGTCAAATAATTTGACATTATATCAACGCGTTCAAAACCTCATGTAAGATGGTTGGTTAAATTAGATTTAGAGTGCGTAAGGATTGAGCGATCTAATTGTGAGACATCTATAAATATGTTAGTTGATGTTGAACAGAAGTGAGGCGAGATATAAATAAACATACGGTGGACTCTTTGTAAGATCAGTCTTCAAAATGACTGGAACTCTTGTCATCTCCTTGACATCTTGAATGTATTCACCATCTTCTTCGCGAAGGGTGAAATACTTCAAGTACTTCTCCTTAGCACTAAGCTTAGCTTCAACAGGTTCGCCAGTTGGTACCTTTGAGTCGGAACGAGTTCGGTGGAGGCTGGTTGCGGCTGATATTGAGTTCTTGGTTGGTGATGGTGGAACACTTTGAGTTGGGCGTTCAGCAAGAGAAACACCGGCAACGCTACCAGCAATGTCAGAAGCATCATCGTCATCATCGAATAAAGCATCAACATCATCGGTTGAGATGGTACCAGTCTCCGTTGTCTTTCGTTGAGCTTCTTCGTGCTCCTTCTTGGCTCTCTCGGCAACAGCGGCTTGCTTAGCAGCGGCAGCAGCGTTGGTAGTTCTTTGAGATGCACCAGCCTTTGGGCGCTCATCTTCTGGAACATATGCAGATGATGGTACACCCTTCTCCCAATACAGCTCAAGTACTCTCTCATTCTTTCTGAATTCGGCCTTCTTAAGTGGAAGTTGATCGCAATGAACTCTCTTTTCAAAGCCAAACTCAGGAATTAAAACATCGAAAGCAGATTCGTAAACACAGACGACGATACCCTCACTGATAAGTTCACCACCAGCCTCTTCACGTTTTCTATCCATAATTCTACATGACTCAATGTGAACACTCTGCTCTTGAGCATTTTGAGCCGAATCCTTCTTTCCGTTGCAAGACTCGGTTGTCTTGACGAGAGTCTCCATGTCTTCATTGTATTCAATCTTGCCTTCAGAAAGGACAGCTTCGAGTTGACGATGAACAACCAAGTCTGCATAACGACGAGATGGATTAGTGAAATGAGTGTATAATGGTAAGTTAAGAGCATAATGAGGGTAAAGATGTGGTTGAGTCTTTCCAGCGATGAAATATTTGGCGCGGTGCATGGACTTGACTAAAAGAGTTTCCATTCCCTTGCGAATGTCGGTATCATCAACCTTGAAAAGACTATTTTGAAGACGTCCACTGCTTGATGTATCGATTTCGTATCCAATTTTGTTCATGCGATCAGCAAATGTTTGAAGACGTCTTGGATTTGGTGGACCTTGTCGACGAAGGAGTGCCTTTTCAGGAAGGCCTTGGTAGATCTTTTGTGCCACATAAGAGTTGACCTTGTTCATCAATTCTTCAATCAATTCATGAGACGGAGTAGAATCAAAGATATTTTGTTCCACCGGAACATTCTCATCATCCAATTGATAAACAAGTCTTAATGGTGCAATAGTCTCTCCATCAGAACCAAGACGAGATTCACGGAACTTTTGAGCAACAGCCTAGATACGTTAGTACTTTGGGGGGTATATGGTTTGTGCCTTGAAAACTTACATTGAGGATTTGAATATCCTTTACTTCCGCACCCTCGAGTTTTACATCGGTTTGGCCGGAAAGTACAGCATCGACATCCTTATATGACAACTTGCCACCACTCTTGATGATACTCTTTCCAATCCAAGTCTCATCCTCGAAAACAGCGCCAGTTTGGGCGTTGACTTTGAATACAACCGAGACGGTGAGACGATCTTGACCTGGTGTCAAAGAGCAAATGTCCGAGGCAATCTTTGGAGGTAACATAGCACAAGATCTGTTCATCAAATAAACAGCAGTTCCACGTTTGCGTGCCTCTCTATCTACAAGAGAGTTTGCCTTGATGAAATGAGCAACATCAGCAATGTGAATACCGATTTCAATCTTTCCATCTGCTTCAGTCTTCACGTGAATAGCATCATCAAGTTCATTGGCACCATTTGGATCAATGGTAAAGGTCTTCTCGCTTCGGAAATCACGTCTAGTGGAGATGGAAGTTTCATCTTCCTTCTCCAAAGACCAATCATCAAGGCCAACGCTGCGTGTAACAGCATCTGAAAACTCATCAGAAGCAAAGTTGTTGTCACGAAGAAGAGCGTCAGTCTCAACCTTCAATTCACCCATCTTACCAAGTTGTTCAACAAGGGTACCGAAAGGATGAAGAGAGGTGATTGGCCATCTCTTGATGCAAGCAACGAAAATACGATCAGCATAATCTTGATGCTTCTCGACGAAATCGCGTGGTGCTTGTTCAGTAGGGATGGCAATCAATGGAACACGCTTGTCGGTAGGTTTGAACCAAACAATCTTTGGCTTGTCCTGTTGACGTTGCTCTTGATGACGTCCAGAATTTCCATCACGAGCTTGACGTTCAGCTTCTTGCTTTTCCTTAGTAGCTTGACTGGATGGTCGAAGAAGACCTAGGGTACCGGAAAACATTTGTCCGGCGACACGTTCAATGACTGCGACAATGTGACCAGCGTAGAGTGGCTTCTGTTCGTCATTGACTTCCTCTTCCTCGACAAGTAAAAGACTCTGACCCTCAACTTCAACATCATCATTCTTCTTTTGGGTTGGTCGTTGTCTCAAACTTCCACGTCTTCTGAGTCCACCCTCTTGGTTTTGATCATCACCATTGGTGGAGTTATCGCGATGATGATTGCGATCATTGTTTCCATTGCCCGATCCACCAGTTCTGGTATCGGTAATATCTTTGCGCTTCTTCTTTTCCTCCTTCTCGCGCTTTTGTCCCCAAACTTCGTCGACATCCAACAACTCAACTGCAACGAGATCTCCCTCCAAAGCGCGGTTACGGTCCTTGCTACCACAGATGAAGATATCAGCGTCGAGCAATCCATCATGGGTAGTGACGTAAGCATCGGAACGATTCTTCTTGTTAACTCTTAAAATACCTGAAACGAGCTGACCATCGCCAAGAAGGGCTGGAAGAGTAGCCTGAGGAAGATAAGGGGTGAACAAGGTTTTACGTTGTTGCTGTTGCTGCTGTTGCTGCTGACCATTTTGCATACCCATTTGTCCATTCATTTGTTGCGAAGCCTGTAGTTGCTGCTGAAGTTGATTAAGCTGTAAAGGATTCATTTGTTGGAACCCTAAACCTTGAGGCATGATCATTTGCCCTTGAGCAAATTGTACCAATTGAGGTTGACCTTGGTATTGAAATCCACCGATGTTACTCATGGATTGATTGATAGATCCACGATTACGGTGACCTGGTTGGAAACCACCTTGGTTTTGTTGACCTTGGAAGTTACCCATTTGTGGTTGTGGATCTTGAGGAGCAGCATTTTGAGGTACTTGATTTCTCCAGTTACCATCAAAGTTTCGAGAAGAGTTACGAGCATGCCCAGCTTGAGCACTGTTTCTTCTTCCAAAGTCATTGTTTTGACCTGCACCATTGTCTGTAGATCCTTGTGTTGATGGGAATTGAAATGAGCCACCACCTCGTTGAGATGATCCACCTCTACCATTTTGACCACCTCCGACAGCCATACTTTGACTTCTACCATGGGCACCACGACCACCACGCATAGCAGAGCTTGGGGTCAAATGATTGCTGGTACTTTGTGTAGGTTTGTCTTCGCCGGGGCTCACATTTTCTGAATTATCACCACCAGTAGTCGATGTAGCCCCAGCTGCACCAGGAATCGGGAATTGAAATCCAGAAGTAGTTCTCTTCTGTTGTGCGATTTCAGCTGCCTTCTTGGCTTCAGGCAAGGCAAGAGAATGACGTCTCTGATGACCACCACCTGGAGGTCCTCCGCCACGACCACCTCTTGTAGATTGATTTTCCCCACGGTTGTTGTTTCCGCCAAAGTCTGGAGTAAAGCCTTGGCCAGCCGCACCTGAAGATGGAGCAGGTGGTGGACCTGCCATAGCCATACCCATATTTGGAAGTGCCGATTGATTACGACGATGTGAGAGAGGCTGCGTTGGAGGCGCTCCCATGGGTACATTCATCTGTTGTGGTTGTAGCTGATTAGAGAATTGGAATGCATTTTGGTTTTGCATTTGTTGTTGCTGTAAAGGATTGAAACCTTGGCCAGGAGCAGCAAGATGTTGGTTGGGAATCATTCCCATATTGACATATTGTTGATGCGTAGCTTGAATCTGCTGTTGCTGTGCTTGTAGAAGCTCAATTTGTTGCTGAATAGCCAGTTGTTCCACTGTGAAGAGAAGAAAGAATTAGCATATTACATCAGATGGTATGTGAGAAGATGGAGGGATAATGATGCAATAATTGGGTATGTGGAGGAACCCTTTGCAAAACTAATTAGTTCATTGATTCATTGCGATTGATGGTACTATTTGATCCCCGGGTATCATAAATGAAAGATGAATGAATGTACGTCACTGAGAAACGGGAGGGATGGGAAGAACAGAAGAAACGTTGAAAGCGTACTACTATTGGGGTTGGAGAACATACTCATTAATGGAGTAAGTTCTGAAGGACTTCTTCGATGCGCAATGTGCAGTCTTCGTCCGGTTGGACCAGGGACACCAGTTTGAGGTGCTTGACCTTGCGGCTGCTGTTGTTGCTCCATGATGGAGAGACTTGGTTACACTTTGAGTGTGCGATGACGATCCGAAAAGAGAGAGTGATGCGATGTCTGCGTACGATATGATATCTGAATATATGGATTGATTTTACAGATCAAGTCCCAAGAAATGATTGTATTGTCAAGACTAAATGAATTGTAAGCAAATGAAGAGAATGAAGGTATTCTCTCTGCGAATATGTGTTGTATGTGTCTGTGTGTGTGTGTGTAGGTGGGTATGGTAGTAAAGTTGGCTTGATAGTGCGGAGATGTCTTTGCTTTGGCAACTAATAACTAACTAGCTTGGGAGGCGACTTAAAAGTTGCGTACTTACACTCCGGAAGTTGGTGGGTGTATTGTCAAGCTTCCCACGCAGCTGAACCGCCAATAGGATGATGGTGTTGAAAGAATGATTCTCGGGCTATTCTTTTCGAGTATGCCAGATATATCAATTTCTTGATCTAGCTTTCCGGTACACGTGGAATTCTGTGATATATTCGCTGTTGTAGTAGCAGGTAGCTATTGTCGTTGTTGCCGACTATTTCTGGTGGGACAAGATAGACCCGTTTTAAATGTTGTGATAAGGAAGGGAGAGAAAATGGTGTAATGTAGTGTATTGTAGTGAGAGAAAAGTCTTAGAGTGAAGGTCTTTAAGAAAGAGAATGAATTGTTGCATTCAAATGGGGGCGAGGGAAGGAATTTGAGAGATGGAGATGTAAGAGGTAGATGTAGGTAATGTTTGAGTGGAGGTGGGAAGGGAAGAAGGGAAATGTATCAAGTTGGACCTTGGACTGAAAATCGGTTAATGATACCTGGTACGGTGGAAGGGACTAGGTAGAGAAGAGTATAATAATAAATGGGATAAATGGTATAAAAGGTATAAAAGGTATAAAAGGTATAGATCCCATAAATACCCAGTCGACCATCTAGATTGGAGAGAGAGAGATGGTGCGTGCGTTGATCTAATTTTTGACGGATGGCTTGGATGGAACAGGTAAACTGGCGAGGAGTTGTGATGTGATATTTATATGGTTAGTCACAAGTCTCTCGTGAATAGCTGCTCGTTTGTGTAATAGATGCTAGATGGATCTATACCATAAACTATTAGTTCAACGTGCCATCTCGATTCTGCATTCTCCATGCTCCATGCTTCATGCTCCATTGATTTCTTCATTCATTAGCAATCCTCTGTTTGACACGGTCAAAGAAACCTCCTCCCTCCTTCCCATACAAGTAAGATCTGACCAAGTGGTTGAAAGGAATGTAAAAGGCAGTCAACGGCGTGAACCATTTACACCAGTAACTGATGCGGAACTGTCCACTTGGAATTGTGAGTACCTAGTAGATACAAAGGAAATTGATCAACACGACGACAAAACATACTTTTACTTATCTGCAATGCTCGGTTACCCCATGCATCACTAGGGATGAGTATATCTGCTTACCTACCTATTAATATCTACTTGATACCGACTGCTCCTTATCAACCCCCAACTCACGCACCGGCATTCGTTCCCATTTGATCATCGTGATGATGATGATGATGATGATGAAGTCAGAGTTTATATTTAATTACACTCGTTCCTTGGAAAAGAGTGTTCCAACATGCTACGATATATAAACATCACATCATGCTACTAGGGAGGTACTAGCTGAGTATAATTGCGCACGATCACTCGTCGAACCTCTTAATATGGGAATCCGTCCCCCTTGGCAATACTGTAATAAAGGTACGTCCGGACTCCACGGAGACCCAAACGTATCCAGGTGTGAAAGAATCTGAAACCAATGATTCAATTGACCAATGCTGGAAATGAAATTGGTGAACAGGGGATTGGGGCATTCTATTTGATGTATATCTCGTCGTCTTTGTGACTCTTTCTTCTCTTCATTCATATTTACACTCACATGCACATGCACATTGTCGGAAGAGGTAGAGGGAAAGGCAGGGCCCTAGCATGGCATGATATCAAGATGTGTACCGAATGGACTACGACCGAAGGATCTAATAAGTATCTGACCAGATATCTCGCATTGATGACAGCCTTCCCCTCTTGGGAAGCTTGGGAAGCTTTGAACCTCTTTGATATCCATCCTGTCTTTATGTGTCCGTCAGTAGCGAGTAGTCTTTTTTGTTTGATACCTTGTCCCTTGTCCTGCTGTGCTCCCCTAGTATCTCCAGGAATTCATTTATTTCTTACGTGGATGTAGCTTTATGGTTAGAACGTCCTTTCCTCACCGACCGAGAGAAGAAAACGACCTCGGAAGACAGAAAGTAAGAAAGAAAAAGTCAAATTGAAACTCCTGAGGCTCAATTCACCCAATTGGATGCATGCCACCTTCCTAGAATCAATCAGCGCTCCAGATCATAAACATCATGAATAAATCGAGAAATTCTACAGCCAACCATCAAGCTCTTAAATATAGAAACATCATCAATCCCTCTCGGTCATTTCACTATCAATCCCTGCTTATATAATCCCTGTTCATGCAAACCACCAAAAGCGCCCGTGGACTACCGGCTAATAACTCCAGGATAGCTCCTTCCTGCAGCTCGAAGCCACCGCCTTTGGCAAAATATCAAATGTCATGTGATTATCAATAATTCACCTCCAAATTAATTCAATATTATAGGCATTGCTTTTGCAACTCCGACAATCTTTATTCACAGCTGCAACTCCTGTCTATTTTCTGGTAAACTACGATAACATCTCTCTTTCAGTCTTCCCGACATTTTTGACACTCTTTATGCTACAGCGAACAGAACAATGGCTACCAATCAATCTTCTAATGAAGAAGATGAAGCTTTGAGAGAAAGTTATAATTTCGTACCAGTTCCTTCAGTTTACGACCACGATATAAGATTCGAAAATCGAAATACCGAGGAGTTGCATCATGGGATACTCGAAGCCGCGCGACTGGAACATGAAAGGGTGCGGAACGAAGCTATGCGTATCTTTCAAATCACTCTCATACATGAACAACAACTCAGAGCCCAACATGAGATCAGAGCTGAACAGGAAAGGTTGCGGATTGAAGAAACGCGGTTGAAGATTGAGGAAAATCGCGTCAACACGGAAAGGCAGAGCGCATTGGCAGAATTAAAAAGGAGGGAATTGGAAGAAGCTGCAAGAAAAATACCGATTGTCCCTCCGAAACCTCCTACCCCTCCACCAGTAGCTGAAGTTCCTCGAGCTCCTGTACAAACGGCCTCGAACCCGCTTCAGAATCAATCTCAACCTCCTCTTCAACAGCAACAGCAGCAGCAGCAGCAACAGCCGCCACCGCAGCAGAATAATAACAGGGGAGGGGGATTCGGCGCGCCCAGCCAACAAACAAGTCAAAGTAGACCTCCCCAGCAAGGAAATGCCTTTTCGCAACCTCAACCTCAACCTCAACCTCAACAGCAAACAAATGGATTCTCGAACAATCAACAACAACCACAACAACCTCCAAAGCAGCCATCCGCGCAACCTACACCTCAACAACAACCTATCCCTACCTCAAAACCATCAGCTTCTTCCAGGGATCATTTACTACCAGGTGTGGAACGTTATGTTGAAATTCATAAAAATCTTAAACAATTGCGGCAGTACTTGGTAACGGAAGGAAAACAAAATATACCATTCAAGAAAATGTTGGGAGATTATCGAAGAGCAATTCGACAAACTGTCGGACAATTGACTGGGGAACGAGGTGCAAATAGGGAGTGTGTAAGTTTGGTCACACTCACTTAATATGGACGACCACTAATATTTGATAGATTAACAAAATCGTTACATTGCTTGGAGAATCTCTTCGAACGGTACAATCCCCAGGAATCGACCCTAGCAACTATATGGTATCGAAACCAAATCCTGTACAAGGAGCTCAAAATAACGGAGAACAACTTCCCTCTCTATTTATTTACCTTCTCAACTTTTTCTCGAAATCTATCGTTTCTCAATTTATTAATGAAGCAGGTGTTCGACCAGAGATGGCAGATCCTGTTGGCGTTATTGCCGTCTCGATATTTGCCAGAGATGAATTTTTATGGAGAGGTACTTCATTAATCGATATCCTAATGGCAAAAATGCGCGTCTCTATACCGGTAGTATTTGGACTTCGTGGAAATGATAAAACGGAAGAGGGAAGAGCTCGAATAGGATGGCAAAGATTAGATGATGGAAGTTGGATCGACGAACAAGCTCATAACAACAGAATGGTTGGATTAGCAGCAGGATATGCAGCTATCTCTCTCCGGGATTTCTCGAAAGTAAAACTCACAAATCCATGGCCACCAACATATTATTGGAGAGCAATGGCAAGTATTGTATCTACACCTACGGAAGAAGCTTCTTCAACACAATATACAGCTTTGAGATCGATGATTGAAGGCTGGGAACAGAGATTTATAGAACTCTATGGAGTTCAAGCAATTGCAGCTTTAAGAGTTGCTCTGGTAGATTTCCCAGCTCGCGCTCCGCCGTCGGCAAAAGTAGCAGCGGGTTCGTTGAGTGTGTTGGTGGATAAATTGGATAGGGATAAGGGATTAACGCTTGCATATTGAGGGAAGAAGGGGGAAGGGAAAGTGCTTGTATAGTACGTTAATAGAATAGAGGGAATGGATTTGGATACTGAGGAAGGTCAAGATTTGCATAGGGAGCTGAGGGAGATTTTCTTGTTGTGTTGGGTTCTTCTTTTGCATGAGGGGCGTTAGCGAGGGGGAATGAATGAATGATGAGGTATGTAGCAAATACTTCTTATGTTGGCATGGGAGATCAGGAGGTGCAGAGAGATGGAAATGGAAATGAGATTCTCACTTCTAGCGAATTATATACCCAATGAATGGAAGCATTTATCTCAAGTTCAGGATTTTGAAATCGCGCGGAATCATATGTTGTGTAGGTGGGCGACGGAAGAAGGGGGGAGGGAGGGAGAAGGAAAGGGATTTGTAGAGCAGCAAAAGAGCCCTCCTTCCTTGTACTTATTATGATCATGATTCGTATTCCATGATCTTACAGATAAACTGTTAGCCTCAATCCCTAGACTCGCTCTCGAAAACTCAGGTAGACAGGTAGACAGGTAGGTAGGTAGGTTGGCACGTAGCTTCTCTACCTCGATATACATACATACATACGTATCAGCAACCCCGCATTCGAATTCTATCCAATGTATTTTTATGCTTACATTGTAGCGGCCCATTTCTTATTTCTTCTCAGGGAGAAAGGAGGGAGAAGGATAGAAGAAGGAAAGAAAAGTCTCATTACCTCATTCTTTTGCATGTAAGTAATGTTTGTTCATCGTCATCGTCATCGTCATCGTCATCGTCATCGAGGTGAGAATGGGAATGATAATCCAGAGTTCATTTCCATATCTATGGTCTCGGTCATGGTCGCGGGAGCGGAAAGATGAGATTTGGAACTTGCTGCCTGGGGATGAGAGGTTACATGGGAATCCTTGTTTGTATGTGGTGTGGTGTCACTTTGATTTGCTGATGCTGGTCAATGCTACTTTATTGGTATTCTTCCCTTTGGATTTCTGTGCTTCCATTGTAGCTAGATATATATACTGGGGACCCTCTGGATTTGGAAAAAGGCTTCTTCTGTGTTATCCATCTTCTTTTTCGAATAGTTGAGCATGCAATTCACATTACAGCTTGAGCTTTTGTGGAAAATAAAACGTCCATTCAGGTTTCATGTGATCATTTTGCTTCCTCTTGAATCGGCCAGAAAACATCCGAAAACGGGTAAATTCATAGTACTAACCATGCCGTGAAATCAGCTTTTATTGTATTAAACAACTAAGGATTGTGGTTTGGGCTACTGAATTCGGTGGGTTTGATCGCTCTTTTGTATAGCCTCGACCGTTCGCCAAACACTGCCTGCAGCGCGCGTGCCTCGATGCACATAGAGCGATGACAACTCCATCCCCTCGCCGCCCTCCACATCTGCACCACCACTTTACACCTCAGTTCTACACTCATTCCTCCTTCGCTTATTGTCTCTATGTTCTTTCTTGTAAAGATCTTGAACCTTGAACGCTCGACCATTCCCGTATCTTCTCCCTACCTTCTACATTCACTACGATCTCCTCACCCACGAAGCACCCTCGAAGTTTACTCTCCCTTCACCTCTATCCCTATCTCTGTAACTCGATTCTTCACACGACTGTCGGCTCATTTACTCGAACCCGACCGACCATTATATTGACAGGCTACCTTGACGCCGAGGCATTTGCTCGATCAACCCCCAATCCCTTTTTGGAATTTCCTCCCTCCTTCTCATCTCACCTTGACAGCGGACACCCTCGCTACCCTTGAGACTTCTTGGGTCTGTACAGAATCATGGCAGACGCAATCCAAGTGCCAGTGGAGTACACTTTTTGTTGGGATCCACAAGCTTGATCTTGATCATAAACGTCTCTATTTTGTGGGTTTAGACCTCATAACCTCACACCAGTCCGAGAAAGGTTTTCGCTGTCTGAATTCTATTGAATATGCCATGGTCTTAGTGCAGTCAATGTATTTGCAGAAATAGCTGCTGTAGAATCAATTATCTTCTCGTTTATGTAAAGTTTTAACAACGTAGTTAGAAGAGAGGGGAGGGAAGCGCTACAGTTATACACAATTCTCAAAGCTGACGGTCAGGGTTGCTCATAATGAGGCCCTCAGTCTAGGAAGTGTCACCCCACTCCTTCCTAATAGCCGATAAGAGGGAGGCGGAAGGAGATTGCAGGAACACTGCTTACAATCCCTCAAACATTGGTAGACCAAAGGCAACATTGCAACCCCATTTTAGGACGTTGGGATTAAATCTATCCGGGTATAGCTCTTCCATCTTTGCTTGGAGCTCGTCCGAACTCTTGCAAGTCGGGAGAAGCTTTTCGAATTGCTGAATGTATCGCTTTGTTGCAGCCAAGTGGAGTACCCCGGCTACCTCCCCGCTCATCCGATGCCCCCCTATCACGATTTCAGGGCCGAAAGCTTCAACCTTCTCGATGGCCGAGATCCACTCACTACGTAGCTCTGTCGTGTTTGCCTCACCCAACATCTGGTGCACATCTCCATACACAACATCTCCACACGGGGCGAGTTTGAGGCTCGGCACCCAGAGAATGGTTGAATTTCTTGTGTCAGAATGGCCCACTTCAATTGCGTGACACTCATGGCCTTCGATATTGAATCTCCCGCTCGCAGGGAATGCCTCTGAAAACACCAAATCGGTATCGATCTGACCGATGGGGAACATAGCTCCCCAGACATTTTCAAAGAAACTGGGCGGACATCGTACTTCATATGCTCCAAGGTGGCTGCCGTCGATAGTATGCGTATGTCCGAGTATTTCTTCTTCAGGGTGGAGAGGCCAAGCCAGTGGTCTGGATGGCCGTGGGTGATGTAGACGGTTGTTAGGCGCTTTTCTGGGACTGTCTTTTCGAGCCACTCAATGAGTTTTTCTGTCTGGGGGATAGTGATTGGAGTGTCCACAAGAAGCGCCTCCTTTTCGCCATGGATGAGAGTGAGAGATGTTGGCGACCAGATCCCTCCTTGCTTTCCGCCCGTGTTCGGCAACTCCCACGGAATTGGCGGGACGGTGGAGACATTGGCACGGAGAGGCATGGCTGTTTTTGAATGCTGGAGAGATAGATGAGCTGGATTTCCTGGGTTTGCAACAGGTGAAAGTTGGTTCGGTGCAGCGAGCAGAAATGTTTGAGCGATCTTACCCGAGATTCAGGGACTAGAAGTATCTTTATAGAAAAATTCGTCAGCGTAGAGCCGAATGCAGGCAGTCTATATTTCTTCGTCTCCTTTAACTGACTAACAATCAAACTACCGAGGACTTTCGAATTAGTGATCATGGCTTAATAAAGGTGGGACAGGTGAAATAGAAAGTTGACAACGCATACGCCGCCGGTAGTTACTTCAGCAATCTCCCATGGAACCCTATGTGCTGTACAAGAGTTGGAATCATTTCCCGAGAGACGTTGCCGAGTTTAGAGTGCTTTCAAGCCTCGGCGGGACTATCTTTACCAGGTGTGATTACTGATGAGAACTCGAATCATATATGGATACAAGAGCTATCTACGAAGAATAGGCTTTAGTCTAGTGAATCCTAGAAGCGATCATAATTGTTGATTTGTGATACTCGGTGTAGCAGGCATAGTGTCTTTCGAAATGAATTTATCGATGCATTATCTCGCTAGAATAAAATCACCCTATCATCTAGCGTGGCAATGTCTCACCAGAACAATGAATAGTAATTACAGAACGATGAATAGTAATCACCGAATAGATATGATCTGTCATTTGACCCTTCAATATTTACCCCGCATCCATTAGTTTAACACGGTATTCTTGTCCGGGCGGCAGTTGAATATCCCTATTCAGTCAAGACGACCCTAATAACAAGACTGGTAATAGTAATCATTTTGATCTCATCTGACCGAGGTTATCGGCGCGTACAAGTTAAAGGAGATGGATGAGAGCTTGCAGCAAAACTTTTCTCAACACGCATTTCAATACTCTTGTTCTCGAATAACTCACGTCCACAATCGCTCAAATACTTGATCAAGAACAATGCCTTTTTGGGTTATTTATCACCCCAAACATGTATTTGACGATGAGAAGTCCAAAAAGTCATTGTCACAGGACATTACCAAACTCTACACTGATATCGGTCTACCCGCTTTCTATGTCGTTATTGTCTTCACGGAGGTCTCAGACGTAAACATGTACGTTGGCGGGGACCAGACAACCACTCCTTTCATTCGGATTGTAGTCGATCATATCGCAGTTCGAATGGAAGACCCAAAAAACTATGCGGATTGGACTTCGAAAGTTGACGATGCGCTTAAACCTCACATTGAGAATAAAGGATACAACTGGGAATATCACATTGACGAGACGGAGCGTCGGCTATGGAAGGTCAATGGAATGTATGCACCGCCATTTGGTAGCCAGCCAGAGAAGGCATGGGTTGCTGAGAACAAGCCACTGTACTGGGAGGAAACGAAATGAAGGAACCGTCCGAGACTGCGATTGGGGTCTATGCATTGGGAGGAGGTTTGTTGTTGTGACTATAGTCACGTGATTACGAAGGCTCAGAAGGAAGCCACCTGTATTCGGGGGCTCACCTGCCGTACCTAGATAATCCCCTATATCTAATATAAGTCTATCAGCTCATTGTGAGACGAGAGAAATGTCTCCACTAGAAGAAGCTTGGTAACTTGGATCAGCGATGAAAAATTTAACCACTTGGTGTTACTCAAGGCGCACATACATCCGCGTGAATTTTGGGAAGGGAATACTTGCTAGAAGATCACAACGATCTTACTTCACTTCAATTCAACCGTCAAATATAATTATTCTATGACTCTAAGCAATTAACCCCATCCCTCAAAACTTTCTCATAACATCATTAACCAAATCCCCACCAAACGTCGCTCCTGCACCAAACACTGCTGCGTTACCGAACTTCGTAGCCATCTTCTTTGCCCATTCGTGATGCTATCTTTGATTAGTTTTGCATCGTAAACTAGGTGCTCATGAGACATACCTTAGGATTTTGAGGATGTGCGGGATGACTTGGATCTTGAGCTTCTTGGCTCATTTTACTTGGGTTAAAGCCACCGTTTGGGTTGTATCGAGGATCTATGTATTGGGATGGTTGACCATTTCCTTGCTGTTCTTGGCATTAGTATAGCTGGACTTCGAGTCTACACGGTTATCGGGATGTAAGAACGATTGACAAACGGAAGGGTACACTGAGAGACACGGCTATATGGAAAGATTGTTAAAATACTGGAGTACTTACAGGAAGTTGTGCCATAATTGATTGGAATTGAGCTGGAGCAACAGCACCACTTTGTTGCAAGTATTCGAGCTCAGTTCGAATGGTATTGAGAGATCGGTTTATGGATGCTTGGTCTGGCATGTTGAAGATTATTTATATATTTATTTGGTGTGAACTGAATATGGCAAGAGGGATTGTATTATCTTTTTATATCGTGATTTCGTTAACGTTATGTGAATACCAGGCCAGCTGAAGTCGCTATTTTCAGTATGATTTCCAGGAAAGGAAGGAGGTCAAATGACTCGACGTCATCGATAATGTTTTTGGCTGATGCATTTTGCCATGTTTGACCGCTTTATATTTGTCCCCCTCTTGTTCAATGTTTAAGTAGCTTCGACAACTCCAAATCTACTAAACCTCACAGTCTCTTTACATATAATCTATACATATACCAATATGCCTGTCCCATCATCTTTAAGCAAGACCATCGCCCTCAATAATGGCGTACAAATGCCCCGTATTCATCTCGGTGTTTACATGACCTCTGGACGAGAAACTGAAACCGCCGTATCAAACGCTCTCGCAGCAGGATATCTCGCAATTGATTCTGCTGAATGGTATGCGAACGAGTCACAAGTTGGTTCAGCAATCAACAAATATTTGAATGCCAATCAAAATGTCAAAAGAGAGGATTTATGGTTCACGACAAAATTAAAAACAAACACAAGTTATGATGCTACAAGGAAGGCCGTAAAGGATAGTCTGAAGAGAAGTGGTTTGGATTATATTGATTTATATCTATTGCATAGTCCGTATGGCGGAAAAAAGCGTAGACTGGAATGTTGGAGAGCGGTAGAGGATGCTATTGCGGATGGAGAGGTGAGGGCTGGTGGTGTGAGTAATTATGGTGTAAAACATGTAAGTTTCTTGTTTTCCAGGTCCTCTTTCCAACAATCTCCAAGTACACATTTGAATAGTTCCTCTCGATCGGTCCAATATTCCTGGATTTGGTCGGCGTATCCCTCGTCTCGACGTTCTAAATATTGTATAATTTCTCTCCGTTTAGTCGCAGACACGAGGCTAACATTTTTTCCCCAATAGTTACAAGAAATACTCGATTCCAAGCCACGAATGATCCCTGCTGTGAATCAAATCGAAGTCCATCCATTCAATACTCGAACCGACATTACTTCGTTCTGTCAATCGAACGGTATCGTAGTCGAAGCGTACGCACCTCTGGCTCGAGCATTACGAATGAAGCATCCCAAGATCGTCTCCTTGTCGAAGAAATATTCGTGTAGTCCCGCACAATTATTGGTAAAATGGTCCTTACAACATGGTTATGTGCCGTTGCCGAAGAGTGTAACCAAGGAAAGAATCATTTCTAATGGCGATGTTGATGGCTTTGAGATTGAGGATGGAGATGTGAAAGAAATGGATGGTTTAGATGAATATTTGGTGACAGATTGGGATCCTACTGATGCGGATTAATTAGATTGATTAGTATATTAGTATTGAATGAACCAGTTCTTAAATGCAATATTCATGATCGAAAAAAGAACCATATCAGGAATCTTGTCCCATCAACCCAATTTTACCTTCTCCTGAAGAGTGAAGCATTCTGCTTTGCCTTCAACTCCCGTACAGACATAATCGCTAAAGCCCCTTCATTACTTTTTGGCTCACTGTACACCAAATATTGATGAAGGTTGCGACCAACCATGGAGTTGCGCTGTTCTTCTAGAATGAAACATCTCCGCGATTTTGTAAAATGAAATCAAAGATGGAGTCGAGACTGAAATGTCCTTGTTCTATTTTCGGGGGATTCCTATAATATTTACCACGCATCTCCCCATCTCCCTCATAAATTACCCCTCATCCGATACCGGAAAAATTCCGATTAACGAAAGGATTCATCACAACTTTGACAAATCTTTGTTCCTATCTTCACCAAGAACACTCGAAACATTGGCATCCACCTTGAGCCACCTTCGTCGGATATATTGTAATGCTTTACGAAGTGTTGAGTCGAGGTAAGCGATTGCCGCAAGAAAATCCATATGAGGGTGAGGTGGCACAGTGAAGTTGTTACGCTTCTGCAGGAACAAAATGAAGTATTACCAAATAATTTCATGGGTACAGTTCCAAGACTTCGGGACATGTAGGAAGACTGGGAACTCTCGGGGAAATGTATTGTAACATTTTTATCCTGGACGCCTGGCTGCCTGGTTTGGGATGCGCGGGGGCTTTCATTTTTCCATCTCGCATCTTCATCAAAGAGTTAACTATCCTTGATAGTTACCCCAGCGTGGCTAGGGACCTTTGCATGCGCCATACATGCCTCAACATTGCATTTAGAAAAAGTTTGCCGAGCATGCTAATGCAAGATTCCGGGTACGTGAAAGCTTGGGCTGTCAATCTATATGCGTATTGACCAATAGGAGATGTACGATAAGAATTTCTATTTGATTCATCGGTGACACCGTATATAACATGTCATTGGTCGATTTCAACCTCTCTCCTTCTCTGCTTTCAGTTGGAGTTGAATAATCTTCAAAACGGGATGATTTTCCGTTGTCGGGATTTTGCAGGTATCCAGTAAAAGTAAAGATCCAGAGAAGAGGAGAGAAGGAAAGGGTAAACTTCCTGAGACTATCCTGATTTTGGTTAGATCAACGGGGGTGGATAAAGCAAAGGATCAATTAGATTTGATATTTCGACGTATCTCCATGGTCCCACGCAGATACACCAAATATCAAGTGGGATGAGAGCTTCAGCCATACAATCTGCAATGTAACGATACGACCGATCACGGCGTGGAGGGGGTCACGTCATGTATCAGATTTTCTTCAATTTTCTCATGGAACATGCAATTCCGCTGACAGAATGAGAATTTTCACGGTACAGACGATCATTTTCATAGTAAAAAGAATTATGCAAGAGATTGAGTGAGATCTATTGATTTGACAGGAAGAATGCAATTGGAAAATCTTTATCAAGTCATCCAACTTCATTTACTTTTTTCACCCCTCCTCCCCTCTATCCGAACCTCCAATATCGGAGCCACAAAAAAATACTGGAGGCATGGATGTACATACAAGGCTTCACCTAGCTAGACAATCTATTAGCACATTTCATCGAATATTCAATGGGTCCTGAACCGGCACCAAAGTGTTACTAGTTCGTAGACTCTAATCCACCCCACCTCGATACAAAAAGGTCTCTCTTCCCTTCAGTCTTGCTGCTTGCTTTACTCAATCTACAAACTTCTATTCTTCTTTTTCACTTAACGTTCATATTGCCACTTTCTTCATTTGATACCCAAACAACCACAATAATAATCATGTCTAACCTTCCATCTGAGCCTGAGTTCGAGCAAGCTTACAATGGTTTGTGCCTCCTCGTGCGCCCTCACATATCAATAAATGACTAACCAAAAATTCTTCAGAGCTTGCCTCAACTCTTGAGAACTCCACCCTCTTCGAGAAGAACCCAGAATACCGTACCGCCCTCAAGATCGTTTCCATCCCAGAAAGAGTTATCCAATTCCGTGTCGTCTGGGAAGATGACAAGAACCAAGTCCAAGTCAACCGCGGATACCGTGTGCAATTCAACAGCGCTCTCGGACCATACAAGGGAGGATTGAGATTCCACCCTACCGTCAATCTCAGTGTTTTGAAGTTCTTGGGTTTCGAGCAAATCTTCAAGAATGCTTTGACCGGATGTAAGTTTAAACCATTCACAACTCTTCGGTTTGATAAAAGCGGATATGAATCAAGAATAAAATGCTGACGATTATTCTCAACAGTGAACATCGGAGGTGGTAAGGGAGGAGCCGACTTCGACCCAAAAGGCAAATCCGACAACGAAATCCGCAGATTCTGCGTTTCTTTCATGCGCGAATTGAGCAAGCACATTGGAGCCGACACCGATGTCCCAGCTGGTGACATCAACGTTGGAGGAAGAGAAATCGGTTTCCTCTTCGGTGCCTACAAGGCCATCCAAAACAAATGGGAGGGTGTTCTTACCGGAAAGGGAGGAAGCTGGGGTGGATCTTTGATCAGACCTGAGGCTACCGGTTACGGTCTCGTCTACTACGTCGCCCACATGATCCAATATGCTGGCCAAGGTTCATTCCAAGGAAAGCGCGTTGCCATCTCCGGATCCGGAAACGTTGCCCAATACGCCGCTCTCAAGTGTATTGAGCTTGGTGCCACCGTTGTATCCCTCTCCGATTCTCAAGGTTCTTTGATCGCTGAAGGAGATGCATACTTCACCCCAGAAGACATTGGAAAGATCGCCGAGTTGAAGCTCAAGAGACAATCTCTCACCGCTTTCGAACACGGAGGAAAATACAAGTACATCGAGGGTTCCAGACCATGGACCCACGTCAAGGTCGATGTTGCACTTCCATGTGCTACCCAAAACGAAGTCAGCAAAGAAGAGGCTGAGGCTCTCGTTGCCAGCGGTGCTAGATACATTGCTGAAGGATCCAACATGGGCTGCACACAAGAGGCCATTGATGTCTTTGAGGCTGAGCGCAAGGAGAAGAAGGGTGAGGCCATCTGGTACGCACCAGGAAAGGCTGCCAACGCTGGTGGTGTCGCTGTTTCCGGTCTTGAGATGGCACAAAACAGTGCTCGTATCAGCTGGACTCAAGAGGAGGTTGATGAGAAGCTCAAGGATATCATGAAGAATGCATTCGAGAACGGATTGGAGACTGCCAAGAAGTACGTCGAGGCAAAGGATGGCGAATACCCATCTCTGGTTGCTGGTTCCAACATTGCTGGATTCGTCAAGGTTGCTAGTGCTATGCACAACCACGGTGATTGGTGGTAAATGTTTATGATGTTGATGAATTAAATGGCCGGATACTTTAAAAACTTGTATATATGATGCGGGGTTTGCGGGTTGGGTGGGAAATATCTTTTGCGTGGGAAATCAGGTAGCTTAAAGTTACAGCTTTGATGGAAATGAATTAAATAACCAAAGAATAATCTTAGTTTTTCGAAAGTGATTGATTATGTAGTCATGAGTGAAAGATTTTTGGGGCTGAAATGTGTTTGCTCGTTTTATGGAACATTTTGTATATTAGCAGAACTCCACAAGAACTGCAACTAGTTGGTTTAGGCAAGTCTGTCATCACATTTGTGTTTCTTAAATTGTACCTTTGTCCTCCTAACAAGTTACTCGAAACTAGCAGTCTCGAATTCTTAAGTTCATCATTACTGCCTGTATTACCCCTGCGAAGCGATTGAAGGCTTGCAAAATTTCGTGGAGAAATAAAGGGCTGAATGGTTTGTTGAAAAGTACCCGTCTGATGATTGAGTTGACTGATAAGAAGCATTCGTATAGGGAAGGAAGCTGCATGTAAAAAGTATGCATGGGATGGGATGGGATGAAGTCTTTGGATGCTGGAGGGGGGAATAAATTTCTTACGTCTGGGTCTGGAAGGGGATATTGAAATCCTGGTGTTCAATGCCACTTCTGTGGGGGTAGGAGGTACTCGAGAAGCCTGTTTTTGTATGGCTCATAAAGAGAACATAGATGATTCTATATGCTGAGAAATGTGCCAGGGGTTTTTTGGGATTTATTTGGCAGTGCAGTGGACGGTATGTTTTGTAGCGTAATAGAAGGCATTGGACATGAGGTTCCATGAAGACACATTTCATTTATGAGGTAGACATGGGAGGCTACAATGTGATATGGTTGACTTTGTCATTAAAGCCGACGCAAGTGTAAGTCGATATCGGATTGGTCAATATGAGTAATGTGTAACGTTACCATTTTGTTCCTCAAACATTTGTAATCTCTCGTCGGCCTTTCTAAGATAACTATAAATTTAAGCATCAAGGTTCTACAGTACCTGAAGATCGATCTTTTCAAATCCCCGACTCGTAGATTAGAAGAAAATCAGCTTTCGGCATGTGTAGAAGTGGAAAAAATCATGCAGATCTACCGAGCTACCCCGGATATGTCAGGCGGCTAGAAGTTTACTTACCCCTGGAGGCGTTCACTTCCCCCTGTCTCCCCCGGAAATCACAAGGCAGATAGAAAATGCAACAAGGGTCTGTCGCAAGTGCGAAATTCTCTTCTAGGGAGTCCACCAATCTGGAATCTTTGTAATAGTTAGGAGTATTGACTCTGGGACGAGCAATCTCCGCACTTCTCGAATCATCTCAAACTGCGATGGTAGTGCGAGGAACTATGTACCGGGAATGTTATCACTATCCTTACACAAGTTTTCCATTTCGGCTGAATCCTTTCGGTAGAATTTTCTAGTCATGCAGCCTTGTAACTCCGTGCCTGTGGCTCATGTGGTACAGATAGAGATGGCAACAAGATCTTTGGAATTGCGGTAATCCCGCTTGCAGATAAACTCTGTTTACCCTTTTTCTCCGAGCAGAAAGAAATAAGAAAAGGCAAACATCCTTCGCGCAAAGATTCGGTTCTCCTTTTTCATGCATGTGAAGTGTGGAGATATCCTTCACAAGATACAGAATGTAACATCAGACACTTTGGACGCGTAGGCGTTGACTTTCCTATTGTACAAGTGATTTGAGTTTCATCTCCGATGATCAAAGAATTGCCTGTCATGTGAATTCCAATGATAGTGGCATGCTGGAGAGCCGCGCAAGAAGGACCGAATGCTTGGTGCTGGTATTGATGGTCCCTGGTAACTTCATCTTATGGAATTTGGATTGAAGCAAATGAGCGAGTGTATCATGGTTATCATTTGCTTCTGTCGCGTTGTTGATTTGAGCATGGGGAAGTTAACAAGAGGTAAAGAAAATGTATAAAACCATAGATATGGAACTTGAGAGGACACGTCTGGTCACTATTCTTCTTACTTCTTGTATATAGCTTTTTTTTTCGTCTCCAAGTCATCATGATGAGCTCAAAGTCCTCCTTGTCACTTGGGGTTTACTTCCTTTCGATCCTTTCTACTATAAATGCCCAATATTCCCTCGCAGCCACATACAACGCAGCCAACTTCTTCAGTGATTTTACTTTCTTTACCGCAGCTGATCCAACAGCTGGATATGTGGTATATGAACCACTTGCTGCTGCTGAAGAAGCCGGGCTAGTATCAACAGCAAATAATCAGGTATACTTGGGAGTGGATCATACGACACTTAATCCAAGTGGAGGACGAGAAAGTGTGCGATTGACCAGTAACCAAGCATGGGGTGAAGGTATAATGATCCTTCACATGGATGGAGAGAAAGCTGACCAGACAAGGCGTCTTCATAGCAGATATCGAGCACATGCCTGGTGGGGTTTGTGGTATATGGCCTGCCTTTTGGATGTTTGGTCCGAATTGGCCAAATAGTGGGTTAGTTTCCAGCGTTTCCAAATTGGCAATGAGATTACTAAAGAATATTTAGAGAAATCGATATCATCGAGGGAGTCAACCTTGGCACAACTAATACGATAACACTTCACACCGCCGCTGGCTGTACAGTCAGCAACGCAAATTCACAGAGTGGAACGACCACTATAACGTCAAATTGTAATCAAGACAATGCGGGTACTGGATGCGGTGTTGCTACATCGGTATGTCAACAAACATCCAATCACGAAATGTTGGATACACTAACCACAGAAATCAGAACACCCAGAATTATGGCACCGGCTTCAATGCAATTGGTGGTGGAGTCTATGCCATGCAATGGGCTAGCACTGGCATTTATGTCTGGTTCTGGCCTCGAGGTTCCATTCCAGCTGATATCACTGCTAAAGATATTGACGTCAGTTCTTGGGAACCCCCTTAGCAACCTTCAGTGGTAGTGGTTGTAATTTTGACAAGTCTTTTGCAAGTCAGAATATCGTCTTTGATACAACTTTCTGTGGAACGTGGGCGGGATCTGTTTGGTCTTCAGGATCTTGTGCTAGTGCGGCTTCGACTTGTCAGGCTTATGTTGCGCAGAATCCGAGCGCGTTCACTAATGCTTATTGGTTGATCAATTATGTTCAGGTTTGGCAGTAGAAGACGGTGAGGATTGGCGATTGTTTATGGGGATGTGGGAGGTTCGCATATTTCAGTACATGTTTTCTTGTATATACTGTTGTAAATACCTAGGTCCTGTTAATATTTTCTTGGGTATCGGGAAATGGTCCTACCAGCGATGTCTTACAAGTGGTGAATCACACCAACTTGGAGAGTGCTTGGAAATTGTGAATGGGCCATGTCATTCAGTTAGTTATCTCTTTGATACAATCGATTACCTGGTCCCTCCGGTGTTGATTATTTCATATCGATCCTAATCCAATTCCCTCACTTGTGAGGTAAACACATTTCCACTGTATCTCAGCAGGTATCAAGCCCCGTGGTTTGAATCTTGACCCTAGACGATATTCGAGGCTCGAGACAGGTATTGACCACGCTTAAAGAGCACAATTCTCACCTGGAACTCACGAGACTCTACGGGCCCTCTCTGATATCCGAAGGCATTTGTAAAAGGCAGACTGATAATCAGGTTATATTTGAGGATGTGCAAATACTTCACTCGTGGTGAACACATTCGTCAGCTCAATAACCGCGATCTCGAAACCAGGATTATGATTCCATATATGGTCTTCATTGCGGTTCCTGGGTAGAATGAGAGATAAACCATCTTTATCAATTATCTTTCGCGACGTTGAGAGAAGGTTTGGTTTCTGAGCTTGTTTTGTGGAGCTCATTCCAGGGGCTTGCAAGGTCATATTGCCGTTAATATCCCTAAACCCACAGTGTGTGCACCACATTCGCAATCGATAACGACGTCGCTCGCAGAACATTTATAGTCTTCCTTCAGAACGACGCCCAAAATGCGATACTTAATCGAATAGCTGTTGGCTTCAATCAGTAGTTCAAATCACAGATTTGCGAATACTACTAAGAGTGTTGGAAAAACGCGTCCGCGTGCAGTCATATCACTGCAATCTGCGTCGACGCAAAGCATAGTCTAGATATTGGCTGGCTGCAACAATTTACTTCACAGAGAACCTGCGGTAAGAGGAGCGATACAATGAAAAGAAGGCTAACCCTAGAAGCTCCTTTATCAAATTGGCTTGTGAGACATGTCAAGATTGTTTGACTTGAGCCGAAGACGCGAAAGCCGCACGACGATACTCTATGCTACGTATAACAATACAAGAAAAACAGAGGGAAAAATGAAAGTCAATAGTGTTAGATTAATTTGTGGAGGTTATGACCCAATATCTGGAGCTGAGCACGAGGTCACCAGCTTGTCATGTGATTGCCTAAGTACAATGTATTGTACTTGTGTCAATTCCTAGATTCAACAACTATTGCCATTTACATCTACATACCTATATTTTATGCCACGACTCTTATCACCAATCTCTCTAAACTTAACCATGAGCTGCAATCAACAGTGACTATGCGTCATGCCTTTTTCTCTTGACTCGCAAGTCTCTTCTTATACGCCTCACAGCTCAAGCGGATGCCTTCCTCCAAACCCACTTTTGCTTCGTATCCCAGGATTCGTTTCGCCTTTTCGCCACTTGCATATCTAATAGCACAAGCATCATTCACACTGCCTCTACTTAAGGTAGATTCTTTCGAACCAGTTAACCACGAGGCAGCTTCTGCCAAAAGGCCGGCTACCCAAGCCAAACCTTGCGGTATCATTACTTCGTAAGGCGGGATATGCCCGAACTCTTTCCATACAGCTATGCTAAAATCTCGGAATGTGATTGGCGTGTTGTTTTGTATGAAGAAGATTTCACCAGCAGCGGTTGCTGTGTGTGAGTGGAGATTTTCAGACGCAAGCACATGAGCATCCGCGACATTTGTAACGTAGGTTATATCCCAGAGATTATCAGCTGATCCGATAATGAAGGGGGTCTCTCCTTTCGCTATACATGCATGTATAGGGGGAATGAGCTGTTCGTCACCCGGACCCATGATGACTGATGGTCGAAGGATGCATGTTGAGAACGTAGTGGAATTTGCTGCTAGAACAATTTTTTCTGCCTTTGCCTATTATTCGAATTAGTAAATTGATTTCCCACTTCAGAATTTCACTACCTTTGATTCGCCATATATTGATGACCTTTTCGCCGTCGGCCACCGTTCATCAATGTTTGGATAAGAATGCGCCCAATCATCAACCACAGAGCAACAGCTACTTGTGTAAATAAACACACCTACCCCAGCATTTTTCGTAGCATTCAAGATGTTACGAGTTCCCTCGACGTTCACATTTAGTATTCGCTCCTCTATCCTGCGATTGTATCTTTCGCTCAACGGGGGAACTATTCCGGCCGTGTGAATAACGACATCCGGCTTGGTGTAGCGAAGGACACCTATTAGTTTCTCCGTATCAAGAATATCGCACGCCACAAAACTGATGTTTGGTGGGTATTTCGACTTAGTTCTCCATTCGAAGGTATCTTCACTAATGTCCAAGATTTTGATTAAACTAGAAGGGTACTTTTTGTGCAGTGCATCGACAATGGCCGAGCCAACAAAGCCGAGGCCACCGGTTACTAGGACGCTTTGGATCACCATATTGTAAGCTTGTTGGCCTAGGTGTAATACGAAGAAAATGTCAAAGAAGGTTTGTGTTAGCAAGGGAAGGAGTTATCAGCAAGTGTGACGAAGATCGTCGTCTGTACATGATAGTCACACCTCCCCTGTCGGAGATAGCTCCGAGTCCATTTCCTATTACCAATATTTGAAAACTTCTGAAGAACTCAATTGAGCTCTGCTTCAAAGCCAATCTCTTGTGGATAGAATCGATCAAGCTTATTTCAGGAGATATCTAACATCATTTTCGAAAAAAGACTTGACATGGTACTAATCCACCCAACTAGACAAAAAATGTTCATTGTGCTCTATAGTAGCATTCACAAACATCGAAATCCCGCCCAGCCCTTCAATTCTTGCCATGTATCGTCAATGTCAGCTTGATTTATATTCGGTTCTATGACATATCGGCTAGTTGTCTTTCTGAGCGATGATATTAGAAACTAATCCCAGCTCATGGGCAATGAAATGTATGTTCTGGGCTCTTCCCCACAACAGGGGGACTGATAGTGGACTAGCGGAGTGCAGTGCTTGTTTTAGAGATCAAGCCCTGTAATTCGACAACTAAGCCCGGTAAGTCTTCAGCCACAGACTAAACTATGACTAATGCAAATGTTTGCGCCACAACCGTTCTTCAAGCTACATTCACTCGACTTTTCATCTGACGTTTCTCAATGTTCAACATCAGAATGCAATTTGCCCAATTCCCTGTACGACGTCGGACGATTTACATAATAGGAGGAACCAAAGGCCCGATGAAATATGACCCCTAATAGTATCAGAGATGACGGAGATCATCCTCATTCCGATGATACGATATCTCACACGAGCATTGGAAAAAGATCTCGTGACCAAATGGAGCGACCACACAAGATACCAAACTCTATAAAGTCATGTAATGAATGCAGGCAACAGAAAGTAAGTGTTCGCGACATCCGGTGTATTTATTTTACTGACTCGTACCTCTAGCTTGGTTGTAATGTTGAAAAGGATCCATTCAAGCCTTGTTGTAGATGTACCCGTCTTGGCATCGAATGCAAACTAGACTCTGATTTCAAGAGAGTGGCAAAGAGACAGTATGTTAAGATCACAACTCATATTCAAGCGATATAGTACTAATAATTATGCAGCAAACATGCGGAAATGCAGAAGGAAATAGAGGAGCTAAAAGAATTGGTCGCAAAACAAGCAGCACTACTTGCTGTAGCAAATTCTCCTGATAATTTTGGAAAGGAAAACAACGCGTCGTCTTCTACAGATTCGAAACCAAAAGACCAGAGGATTGATGATATCTTAGTAACCGGTGAACAACTTTCCTTTCTGTTCGATCAGTTGAGTCTCTCTTCATGTTGTAGCTGCCCCGGAACTCAAGCTCATTTTTCCCATGCAGGTACTTTTCGCGATATCATCATATATGTCCCATTCTGGATCCTACTCAAACATGTGATCAGACCTTTGCTCAAGACCCAGTACTTGGATGGGGGATCGTTCTTGTATCAGCTAGACGTTACCCCCAAGATCCTACCTTGGTACTCAACTTGTCGAAAGCATACATGAAATCTTTGTGGAACTCTATATCTGATATGCCTCAAAGAGCGTCTTCTATAAAAGCTCTGGCATTGTTATGTACTTGGCCTGTACCTTTAATAAGAGGCTTTACCAAGAGTAGAAATGATAAAGCTTCAGCTACTATGGGACTGAGTGAATTGGATCCGACCTGGATGTTGAGTGGAATTATGATGCAGATTTCTCTCCAAACTGGAATGCATCGACCCCGCCATGCACAAGATTTTCTTAAGCAGACAAGAGATGTCTCGGAAGCTGAATTGAGTGATAGGAAATTAACGTGGGCTTTATGTAATATTGTCTCTCAAAGGTTTGGCTCTAATTCCATCATCACGGATTGAAAAATTAATATAACATCCAGTGTTTCGACTGCGAATGGCCAACCCACAATAACCATCTATGATTGGGGACTTGGAGATGGCCTTGAACAAGATTCCGAAATCCTTCCACCAGGCATCAAACAACGATTAAAGATTGAGAAGTTTTGTCAGAAAGTCTCGAAAACATTATATGGAAATAGCTCCGAAGTAACAGGAGTCTTATCCAATATCGATGAACAAATTTCAATGACTAACATGCTCGAACATCAATATCAACAATTAGAGTCCGAGAGTGTTACGTTCTCATGTAAGTACCTTCTTTGGCAATAATCTTTTCTTATCCATACGGCTCACAATTCTAGCACTTAATAAGTTATACCTACTTGCCGCTCGACTTCATTTGCACACCTTTGCATTTTATGTCCCCGAATTCTCACCAAACCACTTAGCGGCCCTTTCTTCGGCATATAATTCTGCCACAAGATTTATTCAAGCACTTCTCGACTACGATCTTCATTCAGAAGCAATCCTTCCTTATTGCTCGTATTACATTCTCAAAAACTTGATATGCGCATCATGTGTCCTCCTAAAGATATTGAACAGTACATATGCCATGCAATTCGATAGCACACAAGGGAGATCCCTCTTCAATGCTGCGATCTTGGCATTGAGATCCACAAGTTTAGCTACAAATGACTTCTCGGATCGCATCGCTGAGGCTCTCGCCAGAATGTGGAGGAGTGCTGGGTCAGGGGATTTGAATCGAAGACGCGAGGACTTTTCCCCTATAGATATTAAAATTCAATCTAGAATGTCTATAAGCCATGTTCATGATTGCTTTCTACGTTGGAGAAAAACAATTAATCCTCCCGCGACTGTAAAAATTAGCAAGTTTTCCCCAACCCCCCTCTCCACTTTCCTGCTTCCAATTTCTTCAACTCTAACTCCCAAATAGTCTCAGATACCAATTGCAACGGTCCTATGAATAATTCTGATACCTCATACAACAACATGAATGGTGATGTTATGCAGCAAGATCAAGGTGCCACTGCAACCTATTTCCAGCCTGGATCATTAGAAGAAGCGATGAATTTCCCACCTATGATTGCAGATTTTGATTTGCTAAATTCATTGGATTGGAATTTCGATGAGAATCTACTTGCTACTTGGACATGAGTTAGTACGCTCGCCCTGCGATGGCGCATCAATACAAAATTCACTTTTGGACGCTTTACCCTGATGAAATTGCAGGTGTCAGCTTCCGCGTCAACTGAAGAGCTGAGGAGCCGGTTCCGGCTTCATGTATGGGACAAGATGAGTGTATGGGGAGGCCGGGAAATTGGATGGTTCGAGGTTAATCATCTACTATCTGGGAAGATGAGGAGTGAATGGATGGAAGTTGCCATCATGGAGTAATTTCCAAGAACTTCTAGTATTTTCTGTCTGGATTTTATACCTATATCCCTGAAGATCGCAGACAAAAGACACTGTGAAGTACGAATCGAGAAATCGCTCCGTCATTATCATTTTATTGGTGGTCACATAATCAAAAGTTCAAACAAATATAATCATAATCCCTAAACATGCGTAAAGTCATTCTTTCATTTCTCGTATGACGCTCATTAATTCTGCTCTATACCGAATCCTCAATTTTCTACCACGCAGATCCCATCCTTAAAATTTTGATCCATTTCTATTCAGCCTTCTTTTTCTCATTGAAGTAAGAATCATGACGCCAATATAGAACGCCCCCATAAATGCAGCGACAACTGCATAAGCTACTTCTCCATTCCGTGTATTGGCAGCCAACTGCAATCCTAATCCACCATTGATTACAGCAAGGACAATCAATATCCTACCGTACCATACATGGATATGTCCAAACATTCCTCGTTGCTGAGCTCGCATGTATCTCCAGTGATGGATGAGCCCGAGAAATGGTTGAATGAAGAACAAAATAACTAATATGATCCCGAAGATCATGTGAGTTGTATTCGATATCTATAAATCGTAAGCTGGGAACATTCTAAGAATAAAAGGAGAAGAGAAGAAACTTACAGTCTTTCCCAAAGATGGTGTAACAGCCGCGCCGGTGACGGCAGCGGTCCCAGAGCCCGACGATCCAGAATCGGAACTAGATCCAGACCCAGAATCCGAAGTCGAAGTTGGACGGCCAAATCCCCCAGTATAAGTGCCCGTCGCAGTAGCCCAAGGAGACGTGCCCGTAAACGTGCTACTTCCAAAATTCCCAAACTGTCGCTTCGCGATTTCGTCAATAACGATGCGTTTTGCGAGTGTTGTTGATTCGCCAAACGAGCCATATTTTAATCCTGCGAGTTTGATTCCCAAGCCGAGACCTACAATCAAGAAGGAAAAGGATAGGATTTGGAGAATGGCGTGGAGCCATGGTCTACCGAAAACGCGCATGGAAAGTGCGCCGAGGGGGAAGAGTAATACCACGGTTATTCCCATGATGATTCCATGTGCCATGTCATATGATTGAACGGGAGAAAGTCCACTGGAGCTAGAAGAACTAGATGAACTTGACGAATCCGTGGAGTTACCACTAGACGAAGTCGTAGCTGCAGATGTTGAAGTGAAAGGATTTGTATCAGATTCCAACTGAGCTTGCGACAAATCAAAAGTGAATGATTTATGGTTAGATCCCGAATGTTGTTTAATGGATGTCGAAGTATCGGTAGTGTCAAGAGCAGACCCAGAATTCCATGCTGCTATCCAGTTTGATGATGTGGATGTTGTGGATGATAATTTAGAGCTACAGCTTGTGCAGAGAACATTGGCGACCATGTTCCCATCCACGATGCCACTCCCGGAAAGTAGTTCGACAGTTATACTGCTATCGTACTTTGGTTCGACTTGTCCGGTTCCCTTTCGAGGAGACAGTGTCACATTACCGGTACCATCAGCATACATAACGAAGATGGTACTTCCGGACATTTGGGAACCGATGCCAAGAGCAACCCATTGATATGAGGTTGGTGCCGTGAGTTGAAAGTAGACATTGTTTGAATTACTTGAAGAGATTCCGACAGAGTAAGAGGGACCACCAGAAGTAGCGGAATATGTTGCGAGAGAATAAGCAGTAGGGACTACGATGTGGGTCAGTCATCCCTACTTCAGTCAGGCTTAGAGTGGTACATACCGATGCTTATGATCGAGGCTAGCAAGGAGACAAAATTAGTTACCTTCATGTTGAATATTTAAATATATTTCATCACAGTATCGATATCAATATTGGATCAAAGGAAAGTCCATTATTCAATATGGGAGACACCGGGGTTTTAACATTGAAAATGTTTGAGGACGCCGAAGAAGCAAAATCACAATAAGACGAATACTACGAGCTGCTTACGAAATGGCGTCCGCAGCTTGATTCCTCATACAAGTTCAACCAACCAAAATCAATTGGAATAAACAACTGCAGTTGAAACAGATCCCGCATCTAAGCTTACCTTCCCGCGCCTTCGTATTGGTAGTACAATTACAGTTTTACTTATAGATTTAGCATCATAGACGTGCAATCAAAACTTTGATGTGTTCTTAAAAAGCGGCAATCTCAGACATCCTCTGATAACCCGATAGATCTACAGGACGTGCGTGATTTTTAGCATGCCAGATTCCCAATTCATCATTTTCATAGATCCCGGACGGTCAATGCTCTTGTCAGAAGTTTGATGGAAGTTTGAGTTGTAGAATCAGTCGATTCAGCCAAGTGAATTTGATATATATCGGGCTCATGTGGTGTTTTGTGTGGGCAATCGTAACGATGTGGATGGATAAGAAAATATTGATTGCGCGTCCATGCGTATGCCAAGTAATTTGCGAAATATACCGGTAAGGCTGGGACGTGATACTGAGTATCAGTGTGAAATTTAGTACAGAAGACTGTACTCTGTAAATGGGGCTGATATGTCGGAGTTTTGTAATGGGGAAGTCCGATTCCAACGACATCCTTGTGTGCGGATATTGAACCTTGTGCCCGGACAAATAGACTTGAGTTTTTAGCGGGGCGAAGCTTTTATGGAATTAGAAATCAATAGCTACAAAGAAACCTGAAGTATCGAGGTTTAAAAGTATAGAGAAGATTGGTTGAATGGGAAATCGTAATACATCGATGAAAGACATAGCCAATATGGTGCTGTGAGATTGTGCGCCAACGCAGAACAAGAAAAATAGAACATAATTATGGATGCACACGCAGAAAAAGCAAAAAGACATACCCTTCGATGACGTATCTCACTGGAGATCCCAAATACACGGCTGCTTTCACAAAAGTTCACGCCCAATGCCCTGGATGCAACCCGAATTCCCTTCTCCAATGTTATGTTATAGCTTCCCTATCCGCTGGTTTATCGCTAGCTACTATATCCAACACATCGTAAGCATTTGGTTTCCCGTGGCTCCACTAAGTTGGTTAAGCTTCTCTTCCACCGCGCAAGATCTAATGCCGCATTCTGAGAGGCGCGAAGTGCGAGACATCGAACTCAAGTTGAATGAAAGGTTCGAATATTTACTAGGCTTTCTGTCAAAGAAACAAAAAGGCTACGCTTTCAGTGATCTGTTGCCTCGCAAAATTCGACTTTCCCAGAATTTGTCGTGTTTCATGCGCAGCCAACCTATTCGATCCAGTGACCTCAAAGACTGTACGGATCTCACATTGCCATGTGCTTTTCCGAATCTTCTGTCTTCCATCATTTTGCCCAATAGCCGCCTCAACTTAGACTTGCAACTCAGTATTCCCTTCTTTCAAAACGCCCAGAAATTCGCTCCAACTCTTTCATGAGAGAATCCAACGATTCGCTTGCTCTCCTGGCATTATCTTCCTCAACCTTTCTTTTGTACTCTGCCTCTTTTGCTTCCGCATTATTTGCGGCTTCGCTTTCGCTCGATCCCTTCCTATAGGAGTAGCGTCTTTCTCGCTTCCCCTCGTACGTATAGTTACCCGGTGCCTTTGATGTTTGAGATCCCGCGTTACTTATTACTTTCTCATACTGTCGATCGTAAATACTTCGCTGATCTTTATCAGATAACACTTCGTACGCAGTTCTGACCTTTCAATAAATCAGCACTAAGATCTCTCTTGGGTTCCCCTATTGTTAGACGAAAAATAGTCAACCTTTATAAATTCCTTCGTTGGCCCACCATTGTTTTTATCAGGGTGGTAGGTTTTAGCCAAAGCGAAGAAAGCATTTTTTATATCTTGCGCAACAGCATCGTGTGAAATTCCAAGAGCTGCGTAGTGGTCTGGTATTGATTGATCCATACTTCAAATCTGGGGAAAGGGTCGCTTTGGAGTATTCATACTCCCATTTTGGGCATGGCCCACTCTTGTCTGCACTTTAGAATGCTTGTCGTGACCCGCAATTCTGCATAAGGGTGTGGCAGAATGGTACGTGTCAATGCTTCATTGCAGTAGGAAATATTTCAATAAGTTAGCAAACATAATCAGGGCGGTTTGATAGCATTTCCACATGTTAATGAGCAAAGTTCCTGGAGAAGGCAGTCAACTCAAAACGCAGGGAAAATGTGTCAACACATGACTGAATTACATTTAGGGTATAAGACGTAATACTATCGCTTGATAAACGGCATACAATCAGGATGGGCCGTATATGAAATGACAGAATACACCCAAGACTAGGAGGATTTTTATCCGCCTACCATAGCATAAGGACCCATCTCCATTACTTTTCAATGGGAAGGCGCACACACTTCTCGTCCCTTTAAACATTTATGATACCACCCTAACCACTTTATTCTTCCAAAATCGCAATACTTCCCGGAGGCACCTACGTCAACATTTTATGTAAATTTTGCTTCCATGTCTTGAGGCCGTAGAGATTCTTGCGAATCATAACAAAATGGAATGGTCGTGCTTAGTACCGTGAGATGAGACTGATTTTTCTAGATTTGTAGCTTCTGCTATACATCCTGACTTGTTTCCGTTCTCTCTCTGTCGAGTCTCAGCACCTTCGGCGACTAGTCGTGAGAATGCGACAGCTGGGCTGGGTTCTTTGGGAGATCCGCTTACAACCCTTTTGTGGCTTTCTTCTAAATAGGCTCCTAAATATTGGCTCGGTGCGCAGTTTGCAATCTGCACTGAGTCTGCAACCATTATGCGGTGGAATGTTAGGGTCTCCGAGCGACAACCTATTCTTAGCAAAGTGTCGAGTCATTCATTATCTCCAAATTGAGTCACCAAGAGTTTCAACGCCAGTATTCCATATCCAACAAAAATTCTGGTTGCAACCACATGTAGGCTCGAGATCGTAGAGTAACAAATGCGCTTCAAGGAGTTGCGTTGCCCGCGCTTGCATGTCGGCTCATACCGAGATGTGCTCTTGAACGTCGCATGAAGGAATTCGCATTACCAAACATAGCAGAGGGAACAAGTCCAACACAAGCGATGGCAATCTTTTCAACGACTACCAATGGGGAGTCTTGTTACACCAACCATAACACTCACAGCCTTCGCGGGTAATATGCCACAGCTAGCCGAATCGAGATCGTAAAATTTGAGATGGTTTCTTTCGAGCTGGGAAGTGGATGTGCAGGTATGCAATTCAGCATATTGATGATGTAGTTGTCTCTGAAGACAAGATTTGGGAATTGTATCTCGCACTGGATTGATCAGGGTTCGCAGAGAGCGAGGTGACCATCTTGCTTCTAAGCTAGAGTAGGGATGAAAGGAAAACACAACGAGAAGAATTAATCTTTTAAAAGAAGAAGTAGAGGAAATACAGAAGGGTCTGTCAATGAAATTCGAATCTCAGAGGGACTTGTAGAAAAGAGAAATGCTTGTTATCAAACATGGTTGAAATAGAGGAGATCATTTTGAAACATGGGGTTGATTAATCTGTGAAGCTATTCCAGCCGGAGTTAGAAATTACTTGCACCGATATTGATTACTAAGCGACAATTTATACCCCAACTCATCGTTCACAACAACCAAAAAATCATCAAGATAATCATGGCCAGCAAACAAAATACAAATGCTTTGAGAATCTCGCCTCCACTAATAAACTCAGCCAATCCCGTAAGTCTACCTCTTTATCACTGAGTCCCATTCCTGTAAAAGAAAGCCGGGAGACTTCCGTTCTGTCTTGAATTGCACTATACACACAGTGTTACTGATAGCGCTTGTGTGCTCTTTCTTAAAAAGTTATAGTTTGGATGTACTTTGCAAGTGGAAAGTACAAATCTTATAAGAGTACTATGAAATGTTAGAAGCTCATTGTCATCGCTAGTGGGCAACAAATAAATCCGACCTCCTCGCCCTTTACAGCTGTCCTCACACCGGTGCAGTTACGGTCAGAACTTCGCTTTTGAATCCGTTTCCACACAACTCACAACTACACCAATATACTTTCTTTGATCCTAAATCCAATTCCACCAGCGCCTCAATTTCCGAGGGCCGGAGTAACGTCATTCCAGGCGAGACGAATAGCCTAAACACACTCGGTTACTCTCCTATATCTTTAGACTCATACCTGGAAATTCTTCTTGAGCTTGCGCAAGATAAAAACCTTCAGCAGCTTACTTCAAAACCATGGATCATTTCCGTAACCGGTTCAGCTGAAGAGGTTGGTAAATGCTATGAGCATATTTTGCGCCAACATGGAAAAGCCAATTTGAATCTTATGATGGAAATCAATCTTTCATGCCCTAACATTGTAGGAAAACCACCTCCTGCATATAATGGGGAAGCAATGGCTTCGTACATTAAAGTCATAAAAAGTATGAAAACAGGGACAACCAACAAAATTCATGTAGGCATCAAAACTCCGCCGTACACGTATTCTGAGCAATTTAAGAACTTGATTTCAGCGCTGGAATTTGGAGCCTTACCTTCTGGAGACAACGTCATATCATTTATTACTACAACCAACACTCTCGGGTCATGTTTGATCATAGATGACCTGGGCAACCCTGCACTAGGTTCTTCAAATGGTGAAGGTATTGGTGGAATGGCTGGTGTTGCATTACACCCCATTGCATTAGGCAATGTCAAAACGATCCGAAGAATGCTAGATACATCACCCTTAGAACATATGAGGAATATAGAGATAATCGGTGTTGGAGGTGTAAAAGACAGCGCGGGATTTAGCAGGATGCGTAATGTCGGTGCGTCAATAGTGGGGGTTGGGACGGCATTGGGAAGAGAAGGAGTAGGTATCTTTGGGCAGATTCTTTCTGGGGTGGCAGAAGAGCTTTGAATGAACGATTAATATTCCGACTCAGTACGCATGTCATGTTGCGATGTTATCCGGGTCGAAAGTTACGTTGGTGGACGCATATTCCTCATGCGATACGATTGGATTTTCATTTAGAGGCAAATTTTTTCTATCATCAGAACAAACATTGTCATCATATATGCTACCTTGGATGGGTCGTCCAGAAATAACAGATTTTATAGATATTTATGAGTCTACCTTTTTGCTCTCTTGTCCGTGAGATACTCCATATATCATTCTCACCGAGATGACAAGAGAGATTTGGAAGTCAAGATTATAGTCTTCAAAACGGATGAGTTAAAAACTTCGGATCATGATAATTATGGCATCTAGCTTCCAAGTACTTCTCCGTTCCCTTTCATTGTTTTGAAGATTATTGTACGCATACTATGACGACGCTCAAACACGGAACTCGTCCCACCACCTGTCTTCATCTTTTAATTGACCATTCTCATCAAACTCAACTCCCTCACTCTTCAACAATCCCAACTTTTCATTTTGATTAATACCAGACGGGGCGTTCTGCGCTTCGCCCTTGAATCCCCCAATTGCCTATTGTTGACCAACTCATCAGTACCGAGAATAAGTTATGATCACGGGTTTAATGGACTAACAAAGAGTTCTTACCCCATCAGCACAGATAATTCGATGACATGGGACCTGCGGAGCATAAGGATTTCGTCTCAAAGCTCCTCCAACTGCCCGAGGAGCAGTTGAGAGAGCTTTGGCAAGAGAGGCGTAAGAGGAGACTTTCCCTGCAGGGATCTGGAGGAGAAGAGTGTAGACTTTCTGTGGAGGTAGAGTTAGAAAGATGATCAACAGACTTAGCTGAAACATACTCGTTGGAAATCTGTGATACCCGTCATGGTGAGATTACCTGAATCAGATTTGAAGCTCGTTTGCGACATTGCTACACAGACGGATCTCTAGACCCCGGACTTCAAAGTGTCAAATTTTTGACTCTTGAATTTGCCTTATGGTTTTCATGAATTTGAATCTTGAACCTGTGTGCATGAATTGTAGCTTTTGAAAATGCAAATCAAGACTCTCTTAATAGTATAAATTCACCTGCCGGTAGGCTTATTCTGTCTCCCTTATGCTTTTGCGACGAACCAAATTTGTTTGCTCTGATATTTGTAAGTAATGAAGATATTTCGAAGAGGAAGATACAATTCTAGCAAGAAAGAAAAATAGGCACATGTATCTGAATGGTCTTGGCAACGAGTGGAGGTTGATGGAAGGTTCTCATTGGCCACTTCTATCACAATGATGCTGAGTCATCTTCCCAGTCAACGACGCTTGAGGATATAATACCAACGTATTTAATTAATCCAATTCAGAGCAATGTATCTAAATATCAATCCTTATCCCGGGTGATTAGTTAGTTCAGATGACGAATAAACATCCCTTCCCTACTTCAACTCGACGCTACCAAGCGCTCCTATCTCGCGATCCTCTGGCGCATTCTTCATTCATCTATAGCGTGATCACGACCAAAATATATTGTCGTCCCACTTGTCCCTCACGTCTCGCACGTCGAGCGAATATTATTTTCCACGAGACTGCGGAAGAAGCGCAGAAGGATGGCTTCCGAGCTTGCAAGAGATGTCGTCCTGATATTGATGAGACGAGGGCCAAGAACGTAGCAGATGGGGGCTTGAAGCCAAATAATAGCGCTTCTATGATAGTAAAAATTGTACCCAAGACTGACGACCTAGGTGAAATGGGAAGAGGAAGAAGGATGGTTGATCAAGCCATGAAGATGATCGAGAGCGAGCTGGTCAATGGTGACCAAAAATGGACGATAAAGCGAATGGCAAAGGAAGTAGGGCTCACCGAAAGTCACTTTTGTAGGGTATTCAAGAGAGAGACAGGTGGAACTTTGGGAGAGTACAGGATGAAAGTTATCGGGCAGCAGTCGGTGGAAATGAGCCAGGGCAATGTGACGACAGACGATTGGAATATGCCCGCGGACACTGACCTGTCGTTTAATTGGGATAGTTCCTGGGATCAAATTGGCGACATGAGCACCCCAGATACCATCATTCCATCTTTTGGTCTTCACCCGACCAGTGTATCTGACATTCATTCAGACGACGGAATGCAGTTTTTGAACCTGGAGTGCTGTGAAGATTGATCAAAAAACCAAATCACATAAGACCACGCACCTAAATCCTGCATTTTAATTCTTCCAACAAATCTATAATGATCTTTTTTGAATCTGATAGATTTTGCTCGTCAATTCTTTTCTAAAAACAGACATTGCATTTAAGAAACCCAAGTCGGGAACAGCGGAACTTCATTTCCAACCATGTACCGGTAATCGCTAGCATAGATCCAAGGTCTCAACGTCAGCATACGTTAGCTTGATTCGAATTCAATGTATCAGCATCACAATCTTTTCCATCGTCAAAAAAATGCAAGTAATATCAAATTATTTCTACATCACCACATGAAGCTGCTTCGACCTTTCCACAAAACCGCATCTTCAATCTAAGCATTGAATTGATGCATCAATTCCATGATCATCCAGCAACTCAATGGTGGTACTTAATTATCCAAAACATCTACCTTCTCTGCGTAGCACACTGGAGTGGCACCCATACCATCGTATGCGTATGAGTATAGCTCTGGATATTAGTCCTGGAAGAACGTGCTTTACTGTGGGCAAAGCCTTCCTTGCACGTTGAGATTATCTTTATATGGTCCCGTGTAGCATGCCTCGCCGGCTCCATAAATTCACAATCGGAAGTGGAGCGATGATGAGGAGTGCCGTTTATCGAGACTTCATACAGATTTGCTGCTGGGCAGTGTCGTTGGATTGACATCGGTCATTTTGGTAAACGGGCACTTGATTTCATTGTCCAAGAAATTGAACTGCATAGGAGCGTTCATGTCACTGACTTCAAATGTTGGATCCAGACAAAGCCGGAAGAGAGAAGATACATTATTGGTAAGATTATGTCAAGATGAAAGACCTGGGCTGTCCAAGTGCTTCAAAGTAGTTTCTCTAAGTGCTCAGCGTGGACCACTCTTAAATTTACTATCAGCGCTGTCAGTATCGTTGACACCTCTTATGGTTTTCCAACTTCTTAGATGTCCCTTTTTGGGAAGGGGGTGGAGCTGGGAGCAGTCCTGTATATTATCAATTTTACTATTGGAATTCGCGGGAAAACTCGAATACTTGAGATTACTGGTTACATTTATTGCCCTAAAAATACATGGAAGTCCAAATAATCATCCCAATATTTTCCAAAACTTCAATTGTTTTTCGAGGCAAAAAAGAAACTCCCTGCACACATTTTCCGGGACATGCTGACAACAAGCAGAATTTTCCGATCACTATGACAATTTGTGGAATGTCGAATCTTCAAACTTGGAAAGCGTACCAAACGCATACACCAGAAATTTGAATTCAAATTATCAAAAATTCAAAAGTTCAAACTCCCCATCGCTACCATAGGATTCCATTCATAGGGAATAAATCTGGTTGAATACCCCTTTTAAAAGGACTGAGCAGTAAAATGTTAGCTTCAATTCAGCTAAAGTAGAAGGAAAACGAATGGGAAAGTACAAACATCATCTTGTTAAGCCGGAGCTTGAATCAATCTATTCAAACATCTTCTCGAATCGGCAGATAGCTCTTTTGTGTCGGGGTCGACGACTGCCCAATCACAATCCAAGTCCATGTTGAAGAAGTGATAGATCACGTCTGGAACTTCTTTGCAGAATTTCAGACCGACTCTGTCGTCATATGCATAGGCATATGAATTCTTGCATCGTTTTGAGAAATGCTGGCTAGATGCTCGGCACTGGTTGTGATTGTGGACGCCTCTACAGCATGCCTCATCGGTATTGTGAATCTTGCAATCGGAGGCACAACCCGCATGGTTTGGCTCGTTACCAAGAACAACTTTGTGAGTATTTGGACACCAACCACCGGTTGGGTCTTCGGTGCAGCCGTACGGAAGACACTTCTCGCTGTCAGGAACTACGAGCATTTTGGTTGTGTAGCCATCTACAAGACTGTGATCCAGGTGAGCTCCACCAGCGTGTACATGGCCATTACCCTTTGGGTTAAATGTCGCTTCGTTGACGTTGTAAATATCGCCATTCTCTCTATAGCGAAAACCTTCGGTGGTACATTTGGTACCGTTATCATTGCAGCCGAATTGGACAATTTCCCGTCTGGTATAAGCGGTGCCCTGAGGCCACAACTTTTCAGTGTTTCCTTCGACTAAGACCTCGCCCGGCTTTATCTGTGGACGTTCCTGATTTCCTGAGGTTCTCAATGGTACATGAACGTAGTTATCGTTGTAAACTACGCCTTCCAAGAAAACCGGCTGCTCCGTCGCGCCAGCATTTACATACACGTGAACTGTACCTTGAGAGTTGGCTGTGATGCTACCCCTGATCTTATGGAATTCATGTATATTTGGGATTTGGGCCAGGTATGGCGCGGAAGATATCTCGTCTGCGAAGAACTGAAAGTTGGTGGGAAGCTTTGCCGGATCTTGAGCCTTGATGCTTCCGACGAGGAGCAAAAACACTACCCATGGGTCGACAATTTTTGAATATTTCGCCATTTTGAATGGTTCAAATCCTATAATCTGTCAGTCATGTGTGATGATATTGTAGATGGCTACAGGGATCTTCATCATTCGTTACGATCTCTAAAGGTCAACCACTTCGTTATAACTATGAAGGAAAGATTTGGGGACACTGACCAGAAATCTGATGGTATATGAATCTTTGAGACGTTGTAGTAATTTGTGCTTTCGGATTCAAGCTGAACAGTTTCTAGTGAGCTCTATTGGGGGCAGAGATGAGCCCTTTTATACACAAAAGTGACTAAAACGCTATAATGCAAACGTCATTCTACGTTTGTCAAATAGCTTATTTTCAAAACCGAGATACTCAAGAACATCGAAGTTTTCAAGGCTAAAGTCTCTAGTCTCTACCTAAATGCCTCAAGATTAGGTGCCACATCATCTTCATGGTAATGTCTGATCCATTTTCGCACTCTCGTTATCTCATCTAGACTTTGACTGTTATTGGATTGAAGCTTTCAAAGTAGCTCATCTTGGATATGAGGGACTTTTTCTCCGACGTAATAGCAAACTCGCAGCCCTTAGCCTCAAATATCAATTGCAGATCTTAAATAGCCACGATTGGCCAATAGTACTAATCGCTGTGTGGATCAGAAATCAAAGAGTCTGTGTAAAAAAAGAACCATTCTTCTGCTCAGACGTGCACTAATTTGTATATCGTTTCGGAAGCTGTATTATCTGTCACCTAGATTGCTCTTTCTTTTTCTCTTTCTTCTTCACTTTCCTTCTTCATCTTACTTCTTTCCTCGTTTCCTGGGATCTACTTGTGGGTGGAAAGGACACTTCCATTTTTCGGTGTTAGATTACGTATTGCTATATAAAAATGGATAATTTATTCTCGTGCTACCAAAAGTAAATGATTTGCTCACTCTCATGTCACTTGGGTTCTACGATGGCTAGAATCTATGACGAAAGACTGGAACCTATGATTGGATATTAAATTTCTATGAATTTGAGATAGATTTTATTTAGAGCTTCTAGCCATCATATTCTTGAATCTAGCTGGTATGAGACTAAATTCATTGCGATTTTTGTAATATGAAAGTGTGTTTTTTATACTCCCATCAGTCAACTAGTAGAAGATGCTTGGTCATTGTTAGTCGGTGACTAGCACGCGCTCAACGGTCGACTATTAATTAGCGGGCACTAAAAGATCCCTTTTTGGGGGATTTTTTTTGAAACAGCATTACACTTTCAAACAAGCTGACAGAAACTTTTTTGACACTCCAAACTGCCTTGGTATATCGGCGATGATCTCTATTTTATATAGCCTAGACTACCTGCAATTTAGTGTTCCAAGTAGGTAAGAGCAGGTACCAATTTGAACACTCTCAAACTGAATTCATCGCAATGATAGATCCTCGTGACTTATCACATGTCTCAAAATTCACAACGATGTTCTCGTCGCCTTTAAAGCATTACCAAAAATCTTATGCTGATCATCTAACAAGACAGTTAATTAGGTACTATTGAAAAGTGCTCGTAACCAATAATAAGGTTTGTAGAAAAGAGAAAGAGCTTGTCAATTATAATCACCCACTAGGCAAATCATATTCAAGAACGATCAAGTTACTTTGTCTCACATTATCCAGCATCGGCTGCTCGTTATTAGGTCGTCAAATTGAATTTTTGTTCAACTACTGAATTGCTAGACTGAATCCGTTGACTTCTCGGATTTCCAATCTTATACTACAACGGGACAATGGAACATGATCTTATAAATTAAGTTCAGTGAGTTAGGAAATTTAGATCAATCATATTGAAACCCAATTTGATAATCCAGGGCCATCGTAAAACTGTATAGGAAGGTGCTATAATATTTTTCCTTGAGAGGGAGGGCAATTCCTGGCGTAAGCGAGGCACCTTTGATCGGACAGGATCACGGAAGTTAGAACTAGAAGCTTGAAATCGTTGCGCAGGTGTCTTGGAGAGAAGTTGAAAGTATTCTTTGCGTAGGTTACATCAAGGTTGGCGCATTCAACGTATGACCTATGTATAGCCATGCTCTTCGTAACTGGATCTAGATTAGGACTCAGTTCGTATTGACCTCTTAACAAATCACCATAGCTTGAGAACAATACAAAATGATGTGCATTACATCATGAAAATAACGCAATACATGAAACCGCTTCATCCACCACTCTCACTTGGCGAATGCATTCAAAACTTTCTTTTCTGTAAATCTAAATCACGCTGCTCAACGAGATTTAACGTACTGGCATTACGTTCATGAAGTTTTCCATTTCCAAGTATTTTCAAACAAATTGGAACTATACTTCAGGCTGGATACCAAATACAGCACACAGCTCTTCAACGAAAATCTAGAGTCTGGTAGACTTTTCACACCAATATATTATGATGCTACGATCTGAGTTTGTTAATTACATAATTTCCACGAAACGATCGCCTAAACACTGATTGCTGGGTTATGAACTCATTCCATATCAGTAGCTCAGTTCGTTGAATATGGAATGATGACTAGCTTTTACCAGGAAATCTTTGCTTTCGACGAAAGGTAACATCGGGTGTCACAACCATATTGCCGTAGGCACTAATATAGTCATAGTCATAAGCATACGCATTTCTGACGTTCAAAAATACCAAAGGCATCCCCGCTCTTGAATACCGCGTCCTATGAAAGGCATTGCAAACCCTTTTGCGATTGTTGGTCGGCAATTTTTCCTCTACACTTTTTCACGGAACAACTACCACAAATTGATGAAACATGACCGCGAATAACCTATAACTTTAAATACACTCGTGGGATAGCTCAGTGTCTTATTGTCGATGAAATTGTGGTGCAGACGTGATTGGGTATTGTATTTTTCATCTGGAGGTAAGAAAAATTGACTTTTATACCCAGAAGATTGGTTTTGGATCTTGAAGGATCATGATTTATTGGCTCGATAAATCAATGTTATTGAGAGAGATTTCTGACACTTCCATGTATTCCGCACGTTCCGCAAAGGACACATAATTATTGCGATCTATCTAACTTTTTTGGTCAACGTGGTGTCTTTTTGAAGATCTCTGATCGTGTGGTTATGATATCATTACAGTCGGAAAATCGAAAGCATGTTTAAGTTCTTCAGGGAGTCCAGAACGGCCCCCAAAGCTTGGAGGGGTATCGACGTGATCCTGATACACACATTTATCTATCATAACTTACATTATTCGGCACAAATGCAGGAGGTTGTTGGTATACAACTTCAGTAGGTCTTGGTTCTTGCTTAAGCTTCTCTTGTCGGAACATACACCTGGCAACTGCAGCGATGACAACCACTACTGAGAAAATGCGGACAGCTATACCTGCAAGCGCACCACGAGAAAGACCGGTCTGTTCTTCGGACTTAGCATCCGTTGCTGGATGACTGAATCCGGTTGTGTCGCTTGCTCCAGGCTCTGTTGTGAGAGTTCCGTTAACTACCACTGTGCCGTTTGTAGTTACATTGGCACAGCTCTCAACCGTGTGTTTAGATATAGTAGGGACAGAATTTGTGGCCATCGATGGATTTGCTTGCCAGAATGTAAAAGTGTTCTCATCATGGTTGAGCATGAGATAGGCTGCGGTCAGAAAGTAACGGCCTAATGTTGACGGCTGATTTGACGTAACGCCAAATAGAAACTCCCTTTCACTTTCGTTAAACACTCTACTACCATTGTGTTCAATTGTGACAATAGGAAGCATAAATTGACTATTTTGGATGGTTACTTCAAGCCCAGAGCAGTGGCAGAGCTAAGCTTTATTGAAAAATCTCCTTAAAAGCTAGAATATTGCTTTTGGTAATAGCAAGAATACCAGAGAGTTGATACTCACTAAATGGTTGCATCATATAGTTGAGCCAGCCAATGTAGCCCGTAAGAGACTCCTATAGTTTGAATCTTGGGTTTGTTATGAAAGGTGTCCAAGATTAACCCAGGAGCCTCGATTAAAAGTTGGCGTTGTGAAACAATGCAGACCGGCAAAGCAAAGTATGAAGAGAAGATACCGGTGGTGGTGCCGGTGCGGTTGACAAGTTCAATATCAGATATAGTCGCTTTCATACGAATCCAGCATCCTGTCGCGTTGCTGTAGTCTGATGCCTGAGTATAATTCTGCCCGATGACCTTTTCGTGATCGTATCCTCAGAATACGACCTGTCCGTTTGGCGGTTGATCTATCCACATCCGTCCCCAGAAAATGGACCATACTTTTGATGTGATTTTCCCTGTGTCGACGAGGGCTGTCTAAAAATGGTGAGTCAGTGCCCATTCCCATCGCATGGAGTATGGTCTATCCATGATCCCAGGCTTCTCTCGGTATCTCAATCGGAAATTTAACCAGATTGGTAGAACCCGGCGAAAATATGTCTAAACCTGCGCCGCTGGTGGTCATGAGGACTGCAATGCCACTTTCCGCACTGTGGCTTGCCGTTTCGATGGTTGCCGCTCCCGCTATCACAATACTGCTTACTTTTTCACAACTAGTCCATTCGTTCTCGAGGAAAAAGTTTCCACGACGGACCCTACAAATGGTGTCGTCGAAAATCATACTGGTATCGCACAATGCATCATAATCATAAAGCCAGGCATTGTTCAGCTCACTTGAGGCGTATTAGCAAGAAAGACTACAAATCCAGAAATGGGTGGAGTTCTTTACGCCCAAGGAAGAATCACTGTATGCTGAGCTGGATCTCCGAATTTAATTGGTATACCTCGAATGTAGGAATCTCCAATGTCAGGAAGAACTTGAACGTCTTTCAATGGCAAAGAGATGGCTGTAGTCGCATAATGCTGCATCTGCCAGAGAGTACAAGAATATAAAATGGAGGATGAAATACATCGTGATGAAGATGGTGTAGATACGGCGGAAGATGAAGACTCGCGGATCGTGGCTGTTTACGAAGGAAAGGCTGCACGGCGCATTTGATGAAGTACGGGAAAACATCCAAAGCGTTACCCACGCGCCTACATACAGTCTTTAGGACAAGCAAAAGCTCCATCGGCCTCCAACAATGGGGTTCAGTCATATCATGGTTCTTCGTCCTTTGAAAATTTCCTTTCTGGTAACCTGATATAGTTAAGACTCAATTGTCAGACAACAAGCTTTCGATACCGAGACGACCTGGACCAAATTGCTGGCACAGAATAACATGTTTGATCAATCTCTTGAACCTATTGAATTCATGCCGAAGTCATTATTTTCTTATTTTATCATATCCAGGGCATTTCACATGGTGCTTATACGGCGGTGCAGACCTATTTCAACACTTGGAATCAGTGGAGTGTTTAGACAGACGTGGTCGTTGCAGCTCTGGCAGAGAAATTAGCTCGTGCTTTGTCCATCAAGCCCAAGAATATAGATCTAGATCAACCTCTTCATGAATTTGGGGTGGACTCTCTTTTTGGCTTAGAATTCTTCTTGTCGCTTTTGTTGGCGGTATTACATTTTGCTTGCATTTAAGCTGAATTGAAAGATGAAAGATGATACCAATTTGTTTAGCATGAATGTCATTGAAGTAGAAAATTCAATGATTTGATCGTTTTTCTTAGCAATCATCGAGGTGTGAGTCTATCCAATTTTGAACATTATCACATGATCCGACTAACCCCTTGTGCTCCAAACTTACTAAAATCGTGCTAACTTTGGAAGAATATCACACCTCTGAAGCTTTCCTCTACATTCATTGCCTTGTAACTGATTGTCCGAATACACTCTCAATATGACATCGTCCAAGTCAATTCACGATATTGTTCTTTTTGTTGTTCCTACCTAGACTCTCGTCTTCTGAAGGGATAGCAGGTCTAGAGGTCAAAAGAGACCGCGACAGGCCTTAATATCTCCATCTAGTTTCGGACCAGCCTTCAACATGTCTAAACAACATCAATTGAGAATGACCATCTATAAAAACCGTGTGGGTGTATGGAAAAGCTAGAACTTATTCTATTTGGAGAGATTTAATCCTCGTCGGCTGAAAGATAACGCGTATCCAGAGATTGGGGCTGAGCCAATCTAGATGAAACCATATATTACCATTAAATTTATGAGGACAATGTTCCTCTCAGAAAGTTACTCCGTACTATATTGCAACATCATCTACATCATACTTTCGGGAAGACGGTTCATCTCAACCATGGAAACAAAGTACATTCTGCCTAATATTATTGACCGAAGAAACCGCTGAAATGAAATTGTGGGCCTCGTCGTCAAACATATTAATAAAACCAGCCATCTTTATTCCAAGCTCCACCAGAGCTTGAGGATATACTCGAGTACCATCATCTTCCTGGCTACTTCCGTAGCCTGGCCTGCGATATGTTCTATTTAAATCTACTGCATACTGGGTAGGTCTTCAATGCAGACCATATGTTGAATGATCACGGACCAACCTTTGATGCTACTGCTAGCCCGGTCTCTGATCCGCAAATCACGTCTGACCGCGACAATTTCTTTTGAAGATCTGTTCTCGATACAAAAAATTGGGTTATTTTGAATGACTAGAAAGGAAGAGCAATCTCTTAGTCCAACGCACAAATTAATGATCATGAAAATCTTTACCTCAAACCTTTGCAAAGTATTCCCCCCACGCCGTTTTGTTTATATTGATGTTTTCTCAACTTAGGTTGGCATGTCCCGGATCTTCATATACAATGTGGATCGCCAGGGGTTTTGGTCTAGAACATTACACAGACCATGCAAATGCATGAACGTTACCTTTCGTCGTCAAGTTTCGACTTGTGATGAACTACTTTTAACTTTTAGACTCACTGAGGGTTGATGTGAAACGACGGCTAAAGAACCTTAAACATGAAGTTGTGGATGAAACTAAAACGGTTAGACGTCTTGTCATAAGGTGACAATCTAGAGCGACCTCCGAGATCCATCGGTTTTCGGATTGGAAAACATGGTGATGAGCTAACTGAATATGATAGCAGTATCGGCTAAGTTTCCATGATTAGTTGCCGACTTTGGCAGAACAGTGGTTTTTCGAAGGATACAGCTTTACTGTGATATTAATAGCCTGTTCCCAAAGATGAAATGGACGTAGTTGGGTATCGGAATGGCCCGTGGGCTTTGACATCGACCTAACACACGGCAGCGCCAAATCACGGGTACTCGAAATTTACAGGTGTCCGCTTTACATTAGCATGATCACGCACATGGCAATATATCCGTGCCTAGAATGTCATCGATAACTTATCAGGTATAGAAAAGCGAGACGAAACAAAGCGCTCGCAAGTTCCAAACCCTGGATCACGGGATGGACTGTCGTCTGTGTTAATACTGGACTCGGAGAATTAGACATGCAACAAGAGGATCTTGGGATGAAGTATCTTGCCCATTAGTGGTCTAAAGCCTCGAAGTTCGGACTCAAATATTCCAACTGTCTCATTCCATGAACTGGTGGTACAATGAGTGGGCCTGATCACGGTGGGTCATGAAGTGCGCTTCTTCTTCGTTGAGAGAACACAAGTGTCCAGGAGTTCCACACCCTTCGTTTCGTATTGATTCAAGACGTGCAACAAAACCAAAGCATCTTACAGTTTAGGTTAGAATATCTCGTTACGTCATGTCATGGTGAAGTATAATTTCATCTGATTGGCAAGGTGGATAAGTCGTCCCGCATCTCAAGTTACAACAGTCTTCGGAGAGTTTAACAGATATGCAACAAAACTTTCGATCGTCTGATCTTTCGCTGGAGCAGATGAGATGAACACGAGGTTCTTGGAAGATGGATATCAGATCCACAGGCTCAATATGTATTTGGATCTAGTCAAAATGTATGTAAAATGTGTCCGTCTCGGATTAGTCTTCCGGGTTGATTGAACATTGCCATACTCCTTTTGTCAAACCTAAACAATTACCCTGCGCTACAGTGCCAACCCGAATGATGAGGGTAAGCAACAGAGAGTAAATATCGATATGCAAGGACCTTCATCCTGGGGAGGAACGCGGATATATGTCGAAGTTGTGTCAACTATCCCTTCTGCTAAACTTCGGAAAATTAATTTCGATATGCAACAGGATTTCTGCCTCAAACATTCAACATTCTCAATCACTAGTCGTGGTCAAGATCTTGTCAGGCTCCATATAACCGTGGCCAGTAGTATTTTTTGTTGCACATCTTGTTTTATTCCCGAAGTTATGCTCATTGCTGAGTATGATTCTTTTATCGAATATTGCAGAAATTTGTGCAGTAAGTGAAAACTACATATAATTCTGCATAAGATATATTGCGGAATCCAACAAGAGCCTAAAACTTGGTGTGAATTATTCGTTCTAGCATGAAATATGAGACATCTTCATATCATGATGTATTACAGATGAGCAACAAAACTTTGAATATGAAGCACCAGGGCCAGCATTTGGTACCCTTCTATCGGAGAGAATTCGTCGACATGCAACAGAACAACAGATGGAAGATCTTACTTAAAACGAGTTAGCTCTGGTCTGAAATATATATTGCTGATATGCAACAACATGCTGCAAGTTATCGTTTTGATCTGCTAGTACACAACTTTATATTACAGATATGCAACAAAACTCTCGTCAGCTCGGCGTCGGGTTCAGTAAGAGACCTGATGACATCGGAGAATACACATGACACGCAACAAATCGCTTTCTTGCTGTCTCAATCCCCATCCTATCCTGAGACACACCAAACCGTCGATCAGCACCCGTGAATAGAAGAGGGATCATCTCCCTAACACCTGGTCAGCAATATATATTACAGACGTGCAACAAACCCACCCGATATCAGAATCCAAGTATCTCCATGTCCAATGATACATCTTACCAGTCCGGAAAATAAACTTCGATGTGCAACAAAAGCTTCTGTTCCAGCCTCTGATCAAACTAGACCAAGGAACCTGTTCTAGACAGGAACCAGCTCCATAGTATACTTATACTGTAAGAGAATAAATTACAGACATGCAACAACAACTCTTCTCTCAGTGTCTTGAATCGCAAGTGAAACCAGATCGAACAAGTCACACCACAAACACTATCGACGTTGCCCAAAAACGGCAATAAGTCCATAGCATTACAGAGTAAAATATATTAATATCTTACAATATATCACCCCCTCTTTCCTCCCCCAATAAGAAACAACAACATATATATATATAAATATATTGCCGACCAGCGACACAGAAAATCCCACCTGCACACTCGCAAGCTCACCCATGAAAAAGTGCAGTGCATGATTGTCAAACCCTAAACCTCGTGATAATCCCTGTGTGGAGAAAAAGCGGGGTGTTTCAATATAAAAATAATCAAATACACCCCCTCAATATACAAGATACGGTAAGCGTCTTCCCAGTAATCAAGACAATTAGACGACTGGTGACCAAACAAACACCAGAAAAAGTAATGAAAATAATAAGCTGCCAACCTCTTTTGATTAATGTATATTACCGACATGCAACAAATGTAAGAATGTAGTAATGCTCACGATGGGTGCAATTAACTTGTCTATATGATTAATTTGTGACGGACATGGCCGTGAATAGTACCTCCGGTTTCTAGATGAACGTGAGGGGCGCAGCCGTTTAGTTTCGTTTTGAATATATATAATTCGTATGTAAAGAGTAATATCATTTATTTACTGGAATGCGATTGGATGCGAGTAAGTGGCTGGGAGAAATCGTCTCTCGTGATTCATTGCATTCATCGCATATACAGATACCTCATTTTCACGTCATATCCATATAAACCATCAATTATTCTTCACTGCCAACCACTACTTCCATCTCCCCACATACTGCCATCCATACTCTCTTCTCCATTTCCCATCCCCATCTCCTCCATACCAATCTCCATTCCGTCCAACTCTCTTGTGAAAAAGTCGTGCTCTTCTTGCAGTAACTTTGTATCTGCACCCATTCTTTCTGGATATCTTCTCAGATTGAACCAGTGCGTGAGGGCTCTTAATGCTTGTTCCAATGGCAACGCTTCCTCAACTTCAGCATCTACATCACTACCTGCTAACCAGTCATCTCTTAATTCAGGTCTACAATGTAGGTACACCGCCGTAATGACTCTCATGTTTCCCTGCCTCCACTTGCGACCACAGTATGGAACCTGATTCTTGAACAATTTTAAAGTATAAAGACGAAGTTCGGGTTGCGGAATTTTGAATGACTTTTTGAGAATGTTGGATGATTTGTACTGAACAAGAAGTAGATTTCGATGAGCTTTGTTCTTACAGATCTTTTGCATGATGCGAAGGAAGTTGATGGATGAAAAGAAGTTGCGCCAGGAGAATTCGGTAATGGGCTCCGAATTGGTTTCGGTAGTTGGGAAGCCGAGTTCTTCGACTTCTGTATCTCGTCGAGCTGCATGCTGACCTTCTTGAAAAGAAAGGGCTGGAAGCTGATCGTCATTATTGATCACGGTACTGTCTCTTTGTAATTTTATTGGAGGTGGAGCGGCATCATCCTCGCTGTCTTCTTCAGTGGCAGCGGCCAAAGCCCAGTTGCTGTTGCCGTTACAGAATGCGAAGAAGCTGAAACTCATTAGTCATGGTTTCATATCACCAGGCGAAAAAACTAACCTCAAGTCTTCGCGGTCTATTCTACTGTCCACAATCCTATCTATTTCTTGATGGGCGAACATCTTAAGAATCAATGGTAGATAATTGGAATCCAGTAGAAGCTGCGTAAAGTATTCGAATTTGAGGATATCTATCAAATCAGCAAATGAGTCGATATATGAGGAGTTATCAAAACTTACGGGAAACCTTGAGCCATTTTAGGACAATGAGAAGAATACCGGATACTGCCTTTGAAGTAATCTCTCTGAACCTCATTGCCTCAATTTCTTCTACTGTGAGATCTGCAAGATCAATTGGATTTGGTAAAGGTATGTTTGCGGGATCTTGGGCTTGGCCTGGTCCTCGGGCGCCATTGGTTCGTGCACTTATAGGGACGCTGCTTTGTGGTTGAGCATTTATTGACTGATTCATCAAATTCGTAACATTCGCCAACATAGCCTTGATGAGAACTATAACAAGTGATTGTAAATGCGGAATGGAATATTGCTATTGAAACTCGAGTTTTAGAGTCTGAATTGTCAAATGGGGCAACCAATAAACTTACGTAGAAAGACTCTACCAGATCCAACTTTCTTTTTACCTCATCACTAATGTCTTGTCGTGGTCCATAATCAACTTCTACTTTCGGCGACTTTGACTTTTCAGATTTGAGTCCATCAGCCAATATGTGGTCGAGATCAAGTTCTTCTATATCCTCATCGTCTCTGTCATCCCATCCACGTTCAAATCTTAGGAACCGTTCTCTTTCATCCCACAATTGACGCATAGCTCTAGTCATTCGCATTCTACCAGCAAATAGTTCGCCGGCTTCTAATATCGACTTGGGAATATCACTTCCTTCCCATCTACGACCTACAAGTAAATCCTGTAGTCCTGCATTGCCTTTCCCACCAGCACTATTGCTAGTGCTATCAAGGGGTGGGTACATAAATGGGAAGTTCTGATTTGTTTGATAATTTTGTTTCTTGCCTGCCTTTCCTCCAACTGGCGGGGACGGAGGTGGCGATGGAGCAGGCGTAGCTATGTGAACTGGCTGATGAAGAATTGAAGCTCCACTGCTATTGATATTCGTTGGGAGATTCATAACGCCGGTTGTGCTGGCTCGGCTTGGTCTATTCGGTAATGGTGGTAATATGGAATTATTATCGGGCTCTAGGGGTATTAAAGGTTCTGGGGGAATGTATGCGGGGTATTTTGAAGTGATTTCTTGTCGAAAGATATGATAGTCAAGAGGGGAGGCAGTAATTATCTTCTCGCCACCTGAGTTGGCAAGTTCGTCGGTTGCTTTTTTGACTTTATCGATTTCCTTGGTACCTCCAAAGACGAGTAATATGGATTTCCAAAACAGAAGAAAGATCTGTGCATATAGAAGTAAGCCAACAGGTTTTGTGATGTCTCTCTGGAATACTGACTCGTGTTTGAGGTAACTCGTTAGCCTCATCCCATCGTAATTTTCCAGTAATCGTCAACAAATAATGAACAATATTTGATTCCAGGTTCACTGCAATCTCAAGCATTAGTATTTGGCGATGAGCATGTTTTAGAGTATTAGACTTACGAAGAATCTTCCTTGCAGTATCGAGAGATTCCGTGTGACAACGAACGCCTTCAATGGTCAAGTAAAATATAGTCATAACATTATCGAGCTCGTCCTGAACAAACGGTATATCATCTTCCGTTATTTTTGTCTCTCGAAATTCGTCATCCCTTTCGCATAGTCAGTTTTATTTCACGGCACATGATGTTTTTACCCTCACCATAAATGTTTGAAAGCGGTTTCCATGACTTCATAGACCATTTCAATTCCACCACTCTCTGCAAGAAGTGATATGCTTCTCTTCATACTTTCAACGTGCGAAGGTGTCGCTTTCGTTCTTCTTTTCTTTTCACCCAATTCAATAGTCTCCAATTCCTCCTTCTTTCCTGCAGTTTCATCCCAGTTGCCTAGTATAATATGTAGTAAAGTTTGTAAACTTTTACATCTCCTCCGCAGGTCGCTAGCATGCAGGCCCTGAACCTCCCTCTTGACGAATTTCAGTTGTTCCTCCCGACCGACTTCTGTCCAAGGTTTCGCAGAAAATTTCTTCCATCTTCTCTGGAATGTATCCTTTGCTCTGTGTAGCCTTTTGAACTCTGCCTCGTTGTACGAAAACCACTCGTCCACCTCTTCTTCAAACATTGCTGTATCGCTATAAACGAAGGTATATGATGTAGGGTCAACCTTTGGAAATTCAGTAACGAGTTTTTTCAGTTGCATCAAGGAAAGCGAATCGTTCGGATTGCCAACCATCTGCTGGGATGAAGGCGGTGGTGGGGGCTGATGTGGTGGAGGAGGTTGAGGCTGATTTCGTGCAAGTTGAGGGCGTGCGGTAGAAGTACCGGTGGAAGCTTGAGATACTGGAGTGGGCGCAGGAAGACCTACATCTGCAAAACCAGTATCTGCCACATCAGCAACATCCTTTGAAGGAGGGGCATCTGGAACTGCTGGTTTTGTCCAAAGCGACATTGTGGAAGATCTAGGGGGCTGGTGAGAGGGGGGGCAGGCTGTAGTTCGGTCAATCGTCAAATCGCAACATTGTGAGCAGATAAATTATGAGATTTTCGTTGGGATAAACATCAGGAAATTATAATTTGGAAAGTTATGAATTGCGTCGCATTTTGACATTTCCCATGTTGATTAATGGCTTACGCTTGACGCGATTTAGAGCTAACAGCTGTTCCGTTTACGATAAGGAGATAAGCATAGTACGGCGTCTATTCGCAGGAGAAAAAACAAGCGGAATTTGACCATCTGAATCTCTATTAAAATCTTATAACTTAATTAAATGAAAATCAATTACAAATGATTTATATAATTTCAAAGAGATTACATGAAACATCAGCTTTTAATTATTTGAACAGTATTTCGAAATTTATTTTCTATAGTATTCAAAGGAAGTGTTCGAGTTGTAAAAGATATTATAGAAATGGTCAAATACCGTTTGTTGTTCCCCCGCGAATAAGGCGTCTATATAGAAAGAAAAAGCGGCTAAGTTTGACCTTCAATACTTGTAATAATCCCATTATCTCTAGATTAAGATGAGATACAATTGTGGAAACGGTTTAGGATAATCAAGAGGTATTGATTGTTTCAGCGTTTCCAGATTCATTGGTGGTTATGTTTGTAATTAATTTACAACTCGGTTGATTGAAATATCCTAGTAAAGATTTAAGTGATGAAATTCGGCCTCCCTTTTCTTCTACATAGAGGTGTATGGAATAAGTTATGTTATTCCGCTTTTATTGGCCACGATCAGTTTGTGTGGGCAAAATGATCACATTAGTGGCAAAACAAAAAGGGAATAATATAACTTATTCCCTATACCTCTGTAGAGGGCTTGTGGCTGTGTTGCTTTTGATTGAAGGTTTACCTCCATAATATTCTTGCTGCCCGCGAGGCATATTCGAACTGAACGGCATTATGTGTACAGTAAGCAAAATCGTGTACAGTTTCAAAATTCAATCTATGAAAATTCTCAACTAATAAAAAAATACTCATAGCATCATCTTTTTGATTAGGGGTCTTCCTATGCGATACTTGCGAACAACTTACAGCATAGTAGCATTGAATGAAAGACAATTTTATCTGATGAAGGTTTTCGCAAAAACCAGATTGGTGTAATATTCAAAGATGCCTGTTTACCGAGAAGCTCGTTCTTCCAATCTCCCGATGAATCTTTCAGCTTCGTGGAATAAGGCGCATGCTTATGTTGAATCACCGAGTCAGCATTGTAACATAATTATAGTCTGCATATTAGGGAGTGCGTCCCATCATGAACTGATTGAAGCTGCAATTCGTCCCAAATAATGGGGGAGCTGAGGGTTACTCATATTTAGTGAAGATTGTGACAAGGCTTCATAGCCAGTTTCACGATTCTAATGCTCGCTTCGCGATTTAGATCAGGTTTTCATAGTGCTTTGTGTTAACACAACATAGACTTCTTCCAAAGAACGAATTTGGGTGATTGCTGGCCAAGAAAAAGTTATTCAGAGAAGTGCCAACATTCTTTTGAAAAAAAGCGGGATGCACCTCCCCTAAAATCTCATAAATGCTTCTCAAAAGACCCCTCCTCATACTTCGGAAGAGATATTAGTCGTAACTCTCCCCTCAAAAATAATTAATAATATATGAAACTTCTACGTACTCTAGTGAGTCCGCTTTACCATTTATGCGGAAAAAGATAGGTGGAAGATGAAAACTGTGTACAAATATTTAGACACCCAACCCCCTTACCAAAAATTACTGTAACATCATACATACGGAGGTGGCGCAGTACCAAGCATTTCACATCTTCATTTGTGAGCTGTAAATTATAGGTATTCTTTACGGGTGATGATTGTATAGGCAGCAACCGGCCGGGAATATAGATGCTTAAGCACTTGAGTTCTACATTTTCGTGTCTGACAGTTCCTTGTAGCCATGCGTGGTACGATCTAACAATAACGATATGTGTCTATTGGATATACTGAATATGTATTTGAAGCAAGCTAGAACAATAAACTGATTTCATTATCTAAATACACGAGTTTGTGGTGCTCAAACTAACACTACACAAATCGCTTATTGTGTCCCGACATTAATGTTATGTCACTGCGATGATAGCTCTTCTAGACTTATCAAACCAGTGCTTTAGCGAATTAAATGTAATTAATATATACGTGAAGTTCATGCCATCGGCAAGTAAATAAGAGTGGAGGTTCAAGGCATTTCTTGTGGTTGGCTGGCAGGAGTCGTTTTAGCATGCAACTCCTGGGGAATGAAGTGGGGAATTTGGATCTGGCTCTGATGATTTTCTGGATATGTCGGTAGATGTTTCTCGGAAATACTGGCGGCGACTGCAGCTGCGGCGATGAGATTGTTTTTCTTCCTTTGAGAGATACGCCAAATGATGATGATTCCTCCGATAATGGCAATCACAGCGACAGATCCAATAACTGCACCCACAATAACCCCCGTCGATACCTTTCCAGACTTTTGACTGTTTGCAGTCGAAGTACTGGATGGGGTACTAGATGAGATGGGAACACCACTTGGGCTTCCAGTATCACCGTCAGCACTATTGTTATTTGGTGTAGACGGTGAAGTGCAAAAGTCGTCTATGAGATTGTTGCTGCGATCAACGGCCACCAGATCTTCGTTCTGGGTAGGATTGGCTTGCCAAAGTGTGAACGTATTTGCATCTTGGTTTAACATCAGGTAAGCGGCGGAAAGAAACTGTCGCCCTAGCTGTGGTAGATCGTTGGCATTTATAGATTGAATTGCATTGAGAACGAGTTCGGGTTCTGACACATTTGCAACCATAGCGCCTGACGTGTGATCTATTGTGAGATTGGGAACCACAAGTTGATCGTTCGGTATACGGACAGAAATTCCAGAGTCCAACGTGATGGTAAAGTCACCAGTGTAACTGAAACAGTTGTTAGCATTCGCATAATTCTACTAATCTTTGAATACATACGGGCTTGAGTTATTGCCATAAAGCATACCATAGTAGTACCTTCCAAATGACCTGTCAGTTATGGTTTGATTGGTGAGTCCCTCAAAATTGATGAAATAAGGAGTGGTTGGAATCGTCATTAAAACGGGGAAGCTTGGTTGAATACATGCTTGCATAGCGGCAGATTCAACTCCGGCGAATAAACTAGCGTCAGTTCCGTTTGAAAAGTTTAGTACTATATTCGTAATGGTGACAAGCATGCCGGAAGAGCAAGATGTCTTCGAATACGAAAGACTACGAGTATAATTGGATCCGGTAACTTTCGCACGATCGTAACCCCCGAAGACAAAACTTCCATCTAATTGAGTCGCTGCTGTCGCCCCAGTTCGGCCCCAAAACATGGACCACGTGCGAGATGCGATTTGGCCTGACGAATAAAGGGTGTTCAGGATCGTCGAGTTTGTACCAAGCCCAATGGCCATCTGTGGGTTATAACCTTGTTCTCCCCAGTCTGCATCGGCAATTCCGATGGGAAAATCAAGAACGCTAACATTTGAACTCAAGGTTATGTTATCGGATACCATGGCTAGTTGAGGATATGGAGAGTCGTCGGAGGGGTACGTATCAGCGGTCGGCACGCCGCGACTTTTCGATGCAAACTCGTCGTATGAGCCACCACGGAATGTTGTGCAAGCCGCGGTAGACCAACTGTTACTGCAGAATCCATTTGTTCCATAGATGAACGAATTGTTTAGTGGCCTAGATACTGTAAGTCAGATTTCGTCATCAAAAGAACTGCAAACTGACCATTGAGGGAGGAAGGCAAAATGCTGTTCTGGACTTCCAACCGACAGATCTAGCCCTCGTGCTGTCTCTCCTGTAGACAACGTCACATTTCCAATGCGTATAGGGATAGGAGGAACACTACAGACAGCAGATACAAGCCTGACAGAAAAAATAAGCAGCCAAAATCTTAACATCAATCGCAGTTGACCACAGAAAGCCATAGCGATGAAAAACAGCAAAAGAATGGGAAAGAAGATGCAACAAAGGCTGTGTCTTGAGAAGAGAGAAGAACGCCTTGAAATCTATGCTGTTCACGCGACCTGGTATACATATGTTGGTTACATGCAACTTGCTAATTTTGGTGAAGTTTGAAATTAAGTATTTTTCTCCATAGGGTAACCCCGATGAACGAAAATGTGTAAGTGTCAAGACTTGGGTTACTTCGCCAACTAGACCCCAGACCTAACTGGCGAACTAGGAACTTCTCTACTATCATGGTGACTGTCGTGTTGGATCTGAGCAACTGTTGATCCATTGCATTGGTCGAACATACTATAACATCTGACCAATATTTAACCAGCGCTAACCCACCATACCGGTATCCAATAACTAAGCACAAGCAGCGCATATATCAAGCTTGTCATATTGAAAAAAGTGGTTTATAGCTGCTCGATATCATGAGGAGTTTGGAGAATCGAAACCCTCCGAGACTGGGTGTGAGTCCTTCATTTTTAGATTATCTCATAATGTGGGACTTGGTAGCAAGATCAACCAGGTACTTAGGCACAAGGCAGGATTACACATGACCCCCAGCAATCACCTATCATCCATTGTACGCACTGATTTTTCTGAATTATTAAGGAAAGCCCAATTCTATTAACATCTTCGAAAAAGGCTCGAGCCTCATGCTGAGTGGTGCATTTCCCTAACATTTTAGCTATCCGGATACTAATGCATGTGACATGACAATTAGGTTGAAGCGGTTATTTTACCGAAACCATAATTTACTCCACCGACATAAACGCAAATGATACGTGAGCTTGATTGGTTAATACTATACGACACCAAAACAAGGTCCTGCACCTACAAGGGCACCCTGAACTTATTAGCAAATCACAGCAAAGGTTGACTTATCATTAAACAAACAAAAAATTTCAGCTCAAGAACTAACCGTTGAGAACGGTATGAAAGAATTGATTTTGCGGCAAGAAGAACTAGTCTTCCCCTATATGGTAATTAAGGTATAGTTAGTTGCAATACAAAGTTGCGCTTACTTATAGATCGAACACGACATCTATTTTATGTCACACTTGCGCGCGGCAATAAGGGTAATGGTACGTTTCGTCTCTTGCATTTTGGTGTATAATTCGTGAATAACCATGGGTATCAGAGTTAAGGGGAGAACAGGGGACGGAATGGGGGGCGGAGGCAGGGCTTTACAGGCTCTCCTATAGGCTCGTGCTGGCCCCCATCATCATGAATGTGGGCCTAGCAGCATGGAACGGCCGGAAGTGCAGAAATTAGCTGAAGAGAGAGGGTCGCTATAGTCTCAGGCACGTAGCGCTCCGTGTACGAGGCAATGTTTATCCCTCGAGTATGATGTGCCTTGGGAGATTGTCTTATACTTTACAATTCTCACGGCTATCATTCATTCTTTGTATGAAGTAAACATGAAAATGATCGCTTCTCTCCCATTGCAAAGGTTCAGAACTATAGCTCTTGTTTCTGTCGCCTTGCTTCTCTTGTTTGTTACCATTTTCTTTTATCATCCATCGAGAGAGGCTCAAATTCGGTATGCACTTCCGGAATGGCCGAGCCAGAATGAGATTCAGGCACAACCTGTTCCTCCAAACTCGAAGATAAATGCGCCTACTGAATACAATATTCAACCTTACCACTCTTCCTTCTGTGCCGAACGTTATGGTCGCCCATATCTTGAGAATATGCGTGATACTGCTACCGCATACTGTAAGCCTGGTTCCTCTGCGAATTTAACCTGTTTCCACACGACCAAGTGGCCTGGGTCAGGTAGAGATACTCTGTGCCTCGGGCAGTCAGCAAGATGGGAATCTACCGAAAAGAAGTTCAATCTCGGATGTGAAATTCGAACCTTGGATGGGGAGGAAAAGGCCAAAGGGTACCCCGATTTCAACAATTTTCGGTCTTACTGGTACGGTACTGGCACGAAAGTTATCTTTGACGACCATGTCTCGGTATCTAGAAAATCCCACTCAAATTCTACCACAAAAAAATATACCATTCTTGTCAAACGCGAAGGCGAAGGAAATTTGTGGCATTGCCTAATGGAAATTTGGTCGACATTCATGACCATGGATCTCCTGAAAATGGCTGTTGATCCTACAACAAACGCTCCGTTTTACACATCTGAAGATGTAGAAAACACTCAGATAGTCATCCTAGACGAACATAAGGACGGCCCTTACATAGATCTTTGGACCGCGACTGCACAGAGACCGATAATCAGACTTAACGAGCTTCTCGAAACGACAGAATTCGAGAACATCATAATCCCATTACCGGGTGCCAGTAATCCTATCTGGCAAGGAGACTGGCAAATTCACGATTGTGGGCTTTCGGAGTTACTACGTTCGTTTTCTGATCGAGTTCTTGATTTCTACAATGTGGATCTTTGGAAACCTCACGGTGGGGATATAGTTTTGACCTTCATCAATCGACGCCGACGACGACTTGTTGATCAAGATTCCTACCTAGAAGAGCTCATGTCGCGCTATCCCCATGTCAGGATCCAAAATATTGACTTCGAATCCCTATCTTTCTCAGAACAAGTCAGGGTAGTCCGTGAGACTGACGTTCTAGTTGGAGTTCATGGAGCCGGCCTGACTCATGGTATGTTTCTTCCCGAACGGTCAGTAATGGTTGAGATCTTACCAGAAGAACTCAACCACAAGGGTTTCCGAAATCTGGCTGGTCTCCGATCGCACACATATCTCAGCGTGCACGCTTCGAAAGTGCCGGCACCTTCACGCCGGCAAAAGCGGGAATGGCATTGGGAAGATCTCTCGCTGGACCGAGATCGTTTCTTAGATCTTATAGACGTCGCAGTTAAGAGCGTATATAACACAGGATCGCGAAATTATGATGTGAATTGATATTTGGGAGTTTTTTATGGAACCGGGAAAGGCGTTTTGGAATAGTTTCTAATGAACACACTCAAGGTGTGAATACTCTAGTGGTCATTGTCGGTACTCAATAACATGTAGTTTGTTCTCGTTTCTAAAAAGCTTGAAATAATCATTTAACCAATGGCTTTAAAGAACGAGACTTTGCATAACTGTCTTTGAAATTTGTATCTATCAATAAAATAACGAAGACGCTTGAGCATCATTGGCTCTTGTTCAATCTATTTCAACCCATTTTCAAAGCTTCGACTGTCTAGTATCACATGTTGTTAAAGTATATACCTTCATCAATACCCACATATATATATGCTCAGTGCTGCTTATATTGATCGGATTTATGTCGCGACTACTGGATTATGGGTGGTTCGAGGACGAGAAGATGCAATCTTTAATCAATCTATTTTAAAGGTGGAATACAAATTTTAGTATATGTGACCCTAAATGAATCCTTTTAATCAGCAAAGTCCGTCTAGTTAGATTTCTGTTGTGTCCATGGAGACATGGTGACCCATTTCTTGTTGAAACCTTGAAATTGCTCTCTAAAATCACTGACAGCTAAACCTGATATAGATCTAGAAGGTTACTCAACTATTGCGCCCCAAGCAGCGAGCTAAGTAGGCTCGAGTCACAGTTTTGGAATTTTCAAAATGGGTTGCTTTCCTGATAATTAGTACAGGAACTGATTCTACTCTAAGTGGCTCAACATCCGATCAAGCTCAAAGGCTGTCGAATACTCATACTATAGCCCAAAAAACGGAAGAAATGTTGTATGAATGATGGAAATTACTTTTTGAGAAGAAGTACAATTATCAAATAATCAGAGAGGTTATCTGAGCAAATAGGAAGGCTTTAATAGGTATTGTCTTGAAAGTGACTTGTCTATTATGTATGAGAAGAACGACGAGAGGAGACAGTGTACTTTCTGTGTCGCGGCAGGAGCAAATTTTATAGCATACTTCAATGAGTCGAAAATGTGGGAATCCAGTGGCCAACAAAGACGAAATGATCTCGGGGGTAATATTAGTTCAGCAGGTTTCGAGGTTGGAAAATCTTCGAGAATCGAACTCAAAGTGTAAAGCATGGGCGTGAAATCCAGTTTTGTTAGACCAAATAATCTGGCCCAGAATACGGCACGCAAATCCCGAATCGCTAACTACCATCTCAAATGACTTTTGCGTGCTTTTCTCGTGGGGACTTATGTTCAGCAGAATCTTCCATTTGTGAATTACTATAAATAGTTCATAATAATAGGGCTTGTCAAGGACATACATATTACTCCTAATTCAAACTCATAAGATTCTAGTTCGACATCGCGACACACGTGTTGTGGTGGGGGGCGTGGGCACCCGTGTTCAGACCGAAATCTTAGATTTCACGTCACAACAACACAAAAGAATAGCCGTCCCTCGTACCGTTCACTCATCAAAATTATCTAAGTCATCCTGCTAACGTTTCTCAACCCCGTAAGATGTTTTCTGACTCTTGCATCCGTAGTACATTCAAAACTTTCCGCAAGCGAACGTACAACCTCGACTGCATTATTTCCGAGCGGCTCTTCTCTTATTATGCGTATTACTTCAAACAAAAGATCTAGTAACGGCTTGGAATAATGCGGCATGAGTACAACCTAATCATCTCGCCAGTCGCTTGAAACTCCCAGCAAAGCATAAATCATATCATGGGGGCTTGTAGATACGAACCCTCTGGACAAAGTGACTGATATCCAGCGACGCAATGTGTGAAAATGCGGGGAATGTCCTTCGCCAGTCTATGCGCAGACACAGCGCTCTCAGATGTGGCACGGCAATACTCGGCACCTATTTTTGTTTTGATGATGCCACCGGAGAAAAGTGCGATAGAACCTTAAAAGCCGCTACTGCCAATGGATTTTTTGCCACAATGTACTTCATAGCTCTTTGCCAGATGTATCTCCTGCAACACCCAAATACGACACCAGTACGGAGGTTGACATAGCGCGACTAGGGCCTTCCAATACTCATGATTGGAACCTCCAGACAACTGACCAAGCTGATTGCAGTAGTGTTCCTCGTTGCTTTTTCTATCAGTCGTTCTAAGAACGGCTAGAACTGCAATCTCTTTAATCATTCTTAATGTAGTATCGCTTTTCTCTGCCGCACTGCCTAGCCAGACAATGACCCTCAAAGCACCACTGTAAATCTGTCCCATGATTTTGATCTGAGCATTTCTCTCTTTGACCTTAGATTGGTTGATATCAAAGCATCGATCCATATGTGTCTCTCAGTCTCAGAGAGCCTAAGCTGCATCAAAGCAACATACAAGTTTTTCCTAAAAGTAATATCTCCACCGTTCACGTTAATCATCGGGTCATCATCACTTTCTTCTTTCCATTCGTAAGATAATGCCTCGTAAGCTCTTTCGCCTAGCTTGGTATGCATCAAGTGGCATCGGATAGGCTCATCGCCAGAGCCAGGATGTATCACGACTAACCGAATCGCAGTTCTAAAGAAGAGAGGTTTGTATTTCAACTTTGTTTTAGAATGTGACGTACCCTTGGTTGATCTGAAAGTAAATGCAAGAGAATGCTGTGTTATAATTATGATAATATCTCGAAGTTATGTTTGTACAACCTTTGCGGCTGACCGCAGCCACATAGAACCATAAGCGCCACAATGCTCTATTGGCTAATAGACGCCGCAAGACTGTCAGAATCGTGATGGCAGAAACGATGGACCGCATACATATCCATGAGCTTAGAATATTTCCTCTGACATTCCTTTTGGGGACAAGTTCACACTTCAAAACTACCATGGCTATAGCCTTACAAATCATGAGTAATCCAAAGTAGCTGAACGAGATAAGTTTGATTCCCGAGGTGAAAGGGGGTTACGCAGGAGGGGTCAGTGAGAGGGCGATGATAAGTGGGGCTAAAGGAAGAAAAGATAAGAAGGAGCTTGGCAGCAGACAGGGCTAACATGAGAATAAAAATTTCAACTGAGGTATTTATGGAGTGGATGAATAAATATTGCGTATTTACAAGAGATAGGACTTCATTGAAGACTAGCTTAACCAAGGAGATCTTTGGCGTGTTTGAAATTATGCATAATGATTTCTTCAATTTGGATCGCCTTCATGCCAAGCCAGCCCCTGAGTCAGATAAAAGGACTATTCGCTATGGACCTCACAAAGGTGGACTCAATAGCCATACGTGGTCTTCGCCATTCAAGGATTGGAAAGGAAAACTCGCGTATGCGAGAACTTCCAGTCTTTCCATGCTTATACCACAAGAGCCCAATAGAAACTTCGTATTCAGTCATGAATACAGTTAGTGGATATCGATCAAAAATATGCTTAAATTTAAGGTATCAGGGTAGAGCTACCCGAACCGATGTACATATATTGGAAGGTGCCATGAAGTTTCGAAATATTTTGAGTTTATCGCCACTTCTCCTTGGCAAGACACATGACATTCTATTCCAGGAAATTCACTCACGAGTTAGAGAAAAGTCACCATGCGAAGGCGTATATCACGTGTTGATTTGTGATTCCTTGATCGTAAGCTTCAGACTCGGGTCCTCCCAGTCAAGAGCGGAACATTTTCAAACCATGGTCTAAGAATGACATCATGATTTTAGCCATCACAGTACGACCAATATTCTCTCAATCGATCAAGAATCTTATCATACTCATTCTTATCCACAAATACGCCAATCCATCACCTCTCCTCCTTCAAAGACATGAAAAACAAAGTCTCTCAACTTGAATTTTAGAACTTTGACCACTGAGATAGGTTGTCTCGACTTCCACAAGCTCTTGATCAATTGTCTACGACCAGCGCAAGAAACTTCTCGCAGATGCTGGATTGATCTTCGCGTTTGGATCTGTGGATTCGCACCTGCAGCACCATGACCAACAATATCTCGCGCAAGGTTATGTGTGTGTACAAGCCGATGCGAGATCATTACAGACCTTTATGGAGTCTCGAGCAGAAAAACGAGACTCCAACATCCATGCTTGATAGCATTTCACTCAGATACAAAGATTGAAGAATCAGGAATCGTCTTGGAATGGTATCGTTTGGCCGAATGTCGCCCGGGCGTATGGTTTCAATCATATACGGTTCTGCTGCCCAGAAATCCGGATTGTATCTAAACAAAAGAGTGCACCGAAGGAATCTCGGATTCTCTTGTGTAGATATACCACAGAGTTGGCATTCTAGCCTTGGTCCTTGGTCCCTCCGAACTGGGATTTACCTTCGGGATTCAACGATGAGCCTAAAAATTTGTTCCGCGATCCAGAGAAATTGTTTTCCAGGCCGGATGTCGTCGTGGATAACGATGATCTACAATCCGATAGAGAAACTTTGCTGGCGGTAAAAAGGACTCTGTTGGTTGACCGGAGAATGATGTAATCAGAATCAGGAATGCCTCCGACTCAAAATATCTCAAGGTCAAATCTTGGCTTCGCTCGAGAAGAGTGTAGAGATTGAATGGTGCCAGCGAGAACGGAAACTGTTTTCGAGGTACAACATCGAGCTCTCATAACCTGGTGATATCAGTCTTCACTTCAACTCTTGACGGTGAATATGATAGTGCAAGTCCAATTCACTCTTTCTTCACATTTCTAGACGAACTTCTCAATCTAGATATGTAACCTTCGACCTTGTTGGGATTTCTTTTGTGGCCTATGATCTACAGGTCCCCTTCTTCAGATATCTTTCCATAAATGTCTTAGCGCGTGTTTAAATTTGGATATGTGGTACTTATTACAGGTGATGTACTGGAATCCGATTGTGCAACGGTCCAGACTAAACTCCATTATTCAAAAACTTCCTGTGAATGGATTCTATTTCAACATTCAAACAACGAAAAATCGATCGAAAATGTCTTGAAGGCTGATTCGTCTCCATATAGTGCAAGGTTTTCATTGTTGGGCCTTGACTACCCATTGGAAAAACTGAGTGTTATCTCCGAAGTTCCGATATCTTTGTATCTTATGTCACATTTCTATGTTACATTTGTTTAGCTATGGAAATGGATATGTCATGTTGGTAGCACACTGCGCTTTCTCAACGTCGCATCGAATCTGAACATCCATCGCCCTTGCCGCCTGCACGAAAACCGGAACGCCTGCCATATCACGCCTTTTATGATAATTGGTTATCCTCATCCAGCTATTATGGTAATTCATTTCGATCCATTGCGATCATCTATCGCTCACTACTAGTTCTCCTCCTGTTTCTCAACTGCCGGCACCGCCCACAACCTGCAGATCATTTGCGGTGATCCTTGCATTGGCAAAATATCTTATCACCACAACTAGATCAGAGCATCAAATGTATCTGCCCAATCATTAATGTGATGGTAACTTTTGCCAAGCTTGATTTTCTACCTCTTTTCTCCCTTCGATCCGCCGCCCGTTTGACCCGAAGGCAGTTGTATAAACTGGAACTCTTTACCATCTTGTTCGGCTTTCTTCTTTAAAGCTTCGATATCCAAACCGTCCGGAATATTATCGCCGTGTATTGTTATACTGAATTTATAGCGTTCTTTACAATTTGGCTCGTGAGCTGGCCAGTCGGCCTTTTGACAATCGCGAGAGCAATATGGAGTTTTGCACCGTTCGCAACTGGGGAAGCTTCCCATGGAAGTTTCTGTCTTGTGGCAATTGGCACAACAGCGGACTGGCTTTGAGAAAGAGGGTGTTGGTGGCTCTGAGGTAGAAGATCTTGAAGACATAGTGATGTTTTGGCAGACACGAACTTCGAGGACTTGGCGATGTGAACAAAAGTGCTATGCAGGGCTAATGCTAGAAGTCTGGCAATATGAGACGATGTATACACGAGGATTGAAGGATTTGAATACCCACTTTTGGAATAAAGTCACTAGTGAGATTTTGTGGAGTGGTCAGAAATTCAAAACGCAAGGTGGCCAAGAATTACTTTCGTACCTGCCGTGGAGAGGGGGGTTTTATCTACATTTGTAGGACGAAGCTGTCCCTATCGATATCCCGTTATACGAAACTGATGCATATGGGATCATGCCTTGACTCCGGAAGTTGCACGAGACAAAGGGTAAGAAATTTCACCACAAGCTGCTGAGTCGATTCGAGACCGCGTGTAAATTATTTGCATTCTTGGATATTACTTCATCCTTTCATTTATATAGCCAACATTTGGGCACGGCCTTCAACGGGCGTTCCAAGCTATTTGGGTGTAGCGATACCAATCATTTTTCTATGTTCATTTAATAGGCACCGAATGCATATATGTATTGAATGAAAATTCTGGTAGTAAAGATAGTAATTGGTAATCGGAAGAGTTACCCCACCTTTGCGCAAGTGATAAAAAGAACCGAGGCTGGCTAGATGATTACTCTTTGGAGTATATTACCGCATCTTGCACTTTTGGTGAATCTCAATCTTTAACATACAACTACTCTAAGTCCGGAGTTGATCTACAGCTCCATCCTCATTGATTGGTGCCCAACAATTCAAGCCGAATTTATTTAGATACTCCGAAACCTAATACAGTCAAAAAGGAGCTTCGGAGTAGGGGTACGGACGGTAGTGGGGTGCATTAGTTTTGTAGATGTGACCCATCAATCTGGCTCGGTTAACGGATTTGGTTATATGTGCGCTTACATTATTGGTAAGTGCTCTGATTGCTCTGATTCGAGTGAGTCGATTATCGTCATGTTTTTATGTGTCACCATGAATTTTTAGTGATATCGTGTGCTTATATATGCAGGTTTGTCACAATTAATATATCTTTTCATAACTGTGCGTACGATCACAAGCAAAAGGTACCACCATACCACCATTACTTTGTACCTGTGGAAAACCTTGGAATCCTACATGTACTGGAGTAGTATTCGACCTCCAAAACTGGAAAGTCGAGATGGGAATGATACTCCATATATGCAAGGTATCTCTTTGTTGAGACGAATTGACGACCGCTGCATGAAAATAAGGTAGCTAATTTCAATGCCAATCGTTACACAATGCACGCCGGGTTAACGTTTGGAAATACTACCACGCTCAGTGCGAATTCACTTTTCACATTTATGTCGATCTCAGATTAGGATCACACAGAGTGGCCAGATACGTCTGTACATGGCACTACACGGCTCTGATATTATTCCAGGAAAGTTTGATCTGGCGGCGATACAAGACTATAAGAGTTCCAGGTGCCTTTTGATGGAGCAAGATTCACCAAATCTTCATTTGGATTTGGATTGACCAACTTTGTTGCTGCTCTCCGAATACCCTTATTAAAATTGGGGTTGAAGATATGGAATCGAAGTTACATGAAATACATAATGGGATTCAAGATATTTGGGTATTACATTCGCAGTGTAGACCCAGATATACAAACAGTATGATCTTCAACGCATGGTGCCACGTCTCATAGTGACATGTTTACTACACAAAATCGTGCGACAGTTACAGATTGAGCCCTCGGTATGATGCAAGAGTTATCATTATCGTTTCTTTGCCACCGATAACAATCTTTGCCGAGCCGGTCTTTGAATACAGCCGTAGCGCGGAGATTATGGGGAATTAAATGGCTAGGAAATGGAGTTCTGCACCGAACTTTCGCAGCATGACCGATGCATTTGCCACCGCACCTTTCGTTTTTACCGCTCTGTGCGGAAAGGCCATACGGCGATACATTTTTGACTGTTTCAGAATTGGGATCTTTTCTAAGGGAGGAAATTACTTATTTATTGTTAAAGAGA